TAGCTCTGTAGAATACTCTACTTTCTAGGCTCATTAGTTGATCTTTTGCTAGCTTCCTTCTGAAAAGCTTGAAAGTTTGCAGATGCATAATTGTTCTTTGGTACTAGATTCTTTAGTATATAATTTGGTGAGTCTTCCCCAGAAAGTGATCTCTAGAATAATTTATCTCAAATATTTCGTATGAAGCAAATTCTTCAAATTTAATCCGTTTTCTCATAAACATCTTATGAAGCAAAACCTCAGTGGTTCCTATTCGGTTGTTCGATTTTTCAGAAATTGAGAGATTATAATCCATGTTTCGAAGAAATGAACTAGAGACTTGTTTTGAAAATAGTTCCCAAAAGCCTTCTTTTGTTATTCATTCAATTCCAAGAAATTCGTATAACCTTTAGATGATAATCCCTCGGACTAAATTTTCTAAAAGGATGATATATTTCATTAGACAGATTTTCTTGTATCCAGATGCTCTTTTCATTTCCATCTAGCTCTTTTATCCTCATTAGTCTTATCTACCTCTTCCATGAGAAAACATATTCATTTTAAACTTCGAGCTAAAAACCTGCCTGGCACAATTAAAAATGTAGGACCTCATGAATGGAGAAAATGCGGTGTGACGTCGTCATCTCCAGATGGACTCTCCTCAACTTCCAGAAGACGTCTTTTCATTGGCTCACCCATTCCTTCACACATACTTACATCCTTCTTCTTGTCCCATCATCATTTTCTTCGTCTCCTGCTACTTCTACTCCTTCTTCTCCTTACTTCTTCTCCTCATCATCACTTTCTTATATGTTGCTTTTTTCTCTCACTTCCTTCCCAGATATCCTTCGCGCTCCTCAGCATCTTTATTCTCGCCACACTCTCCACGTGCCCTTTTATTTACTTGGTTCCCTTCTCCCAATGCCTGACGGCCACTAACTCGTTGTCTCCGTCTCCATCAATCAGGCGTATCCAATATTTCACTCTCGTTTCCTTCATTCTCATCCGACATTTTTTCGCGCTCCTCTTCTCAGTCTCCTCTACTCTTTGCTTCTTCTTCTTCTATCTTCTCAACTTGGTTGAAACAGTGTCTTGTCCTTCTCCTCCTCTTTTCTCTCCTTCTTCTTCTTTTTCATCACAGACATTTTTTTCATCTGCGATGCGGTGAGTCGTGTGGTTTGGTGCACTTGTGGAGTACTCTTTTTTGTCTTTTTCTCATTATCTCGGATCTTATTCACATATGATTAAACCTATTTCGTTGTTTTTGTCCAGGTATTACTGTAGCTTCTCTTCTACCCCCACGTTTTCCCGTCATCTAACAACAAGCTTCTTTTTTAGTGATTACTGGGTTTGCGTTAACCCTGCTAGTTCCGTAATTCGTCATAAATCCCCAAAATCGTTTTGAAAGTGCATATATCGTAAAACAAAAAAGATCATGAGAAAACTCAAAAATGTTCCCACATTTAATTCTGTCGACCCTCCAGATTCCCATAAATGTTTAGTTTTAGGTCATAAACAAGGAGATAGACTGAGAAGTCAAAATTTGAACTTTATAACATGCTTATCAGAAAAGTTCTGCTATGGGATATTCTCCTCAGTCTTTTATTGAAATCTTCGAATCCAATGACTTTTCAGGCTACTGATATTTCTGGCTTTTACCTAAAATAACTTTGGAACTTCGAATCTGGAGAGTTCCTATTACATCTTATCTAGATCCATACTTATATGATTCCGGCCCGGACCAGCCTGGTCGGCGTTTAAAAAAAACATGTGAAAAATTGATTGAATTCCACCTCAAAGAAAGTGTCCTGGGGGTTTCCGCCCTTACAAAAGCATCGAAACTTTAAAATTGTTCAAAAATTTCAAAAAATATACCCAGATCAAGCTCAAAAATTTTAAAAATCAAGATTACCGTCAAGTTTCCAATCACAATATTTTGGATAATCGAATATTTACTATCTATTTGAACCCATCCAAAACGCCTTTTAATCTTTATCCTCTTGTCAGTCCTGTAAAACACCTGTTTCTATCCTCTCGTGTACCTTTCTTCTGCATTCTCTTTTCTATCTATCTTTTTTTCTCTCAACTTTGAAAGTTACTCACTTTTTGCTCCTGCTCCTCATCCTCACAGGTTGTTTCTCTTATCATCAAAATGATGTTTGACCGAGGATGACGCCTGTCTAAACCAAGTTTCGGTGGTGATAGTGACAACTTTCTTTCTTTCTTCTCAATTTGTTCCATATCCATTTTTCTTGAAACAGATCTCGTAGCAAGGGAAAAAAAAAGAAAAAAGTGGTGCCAATTAGTGACCTCTCCCCTCTCATTTTTCTCTCATGCCGTCTTCGTTGTAGTTGTCGCCTGCCTCAAGAATCGCCGCCTTCCGAACCTCCTAGCACTCCCGTTTTTCCCCGTTTTCTCTCTAATAATTCCCAGCGATTTTCATTTTTCTTTTTCGTTTCTTTTCTCCTTTCATCATCTGCGTCTCTTTTCTTTCCATCTTCAACTCTTTTTTCTATTAGCACTTGAATGAAAGTTGCACTTTTAAAATTTAACTTGTCAACAACAGGGAGAGATTCTTGATCAATCCTTATTTTTGTTTTAGTATCTCCCCATTTCGTTTTTGTTCTTTTTTCCATTTCTCTATAAAATACGAAACGGAAACGAAAAAAGAAAGAAAGAGAAGAAAAATCGAAGGGAAGACCAAAAGGTTTTGACAAATAGACTACCGAAAAACAAACAATATACGAGGGTTCTAGACGCAAGAGACGCAACTTTTACCTCTTTCTTTTTTGTGTTTGAGCCTAATCGCTTTTTTGGTGATTCGCTGATTTTGAAGTGAAAGAGGTGTGGTAGAAACCACCACTCCATGATATTAGATTACTGGTAACAGATTTTTAAATTCTACATAACTTCTAGAAGATTTTTGTCCAACCGTTCTTAAAAGTGCCGTTCTGAATACAATTCGAAACTCTCAAAGGTGAAAGATTGGGTCAATCATCTATTAAAGGAAATACGGTACTCTAGCTCCGATAAACAGTCTTCTATTTTTTGTAAATGTCTCCCAAGCTTTCGATATTCTGGTACCGAAAATCGACTAGACAGTCTAAAGCGAAGAAAGAAGTTGCAATCACTCTCGAAAAAAAACAGCGACGTCATCATGACGTTTTCTATAGTTCAATCCTGTTCGCCTGAATGCTACAATTAGGAATTTCCGCCTGCGATCTCAAGTGACTTTTCCGTTTTTTTTACTCTGAGTTCTTCTAAATTTTCTATATTTTCTGAATCTTCTTTCTTTTTTTCTTTTTTTTTACCACAAAAAAATATTTTGCATGAATTTTTTTCTACAAAACGATCTGATAAGATTATGTCATCGCTTTCTCTGATAGCGAGACTCGAAACCGGTTCTGTATTGTTTTCATTTGCTTTGCCTTTACTTAAAAGTCTTTACTTTTTTATTTTATTTTTCCGGTCTCCACGCCCATACGATGGCCATTTACAAGAGTGGTTAAATATTACGGTAATGGAGTGTTGTCTTTGAATACTTGACGTTTCTTGATTCATGGTTTTAATTCTTTATTTGTATCTTCACTTATAGATTAACTTGAAGGATTTCATATGAGATGAAATGCTCTCACAAAAAAGAGATGTAGAAAAAAAGATGTTCAATGATTGAAAAACATACATTTCTTCATGCCTTTTTAACAAAGCTTCTATTCATCTTTGAACTTCGCATTCGTTAAAAAAAGAAACTTTTTCATCATGATCAACCTTTTGAAGATTATCGAAATATCGTTTTCTGACCTATAAAGTTTGTGTGTTTAACTCTCATGCTTTTCTGGCACCATGGTCCAGAAACGTGACTATAAATGAATTATTAATCAGAAGAAATTCTAGGATGGCTAGAAGAAAATGAATCAACAATTCACACCCTCATCTTTTTTTCTCAAATTTGAACTTTCTTTTGCCTTTTGTTCCGATTGTCTTTCAGAATCGGAACTCTTCCCCGTTTTTCCTTTTCAGAAAACCACGTGATTTCTATTTCATTCTTCTCTTCTTCAAGACAAAATTGAAATGATGATGATGATGAGAAGTCGTTACTCTGTCAGTTCTCTTCTCAATCTTCTTTTTTCTGTCTCATTAAGGACTACTCATGTTTTTTTCTCTTCTCTATTTCCACCCACACAATCTTTCATTGACCAAAAGTCACAAGAATTAAAAATTTTTGTCAATGAATTAGTATTCATTTTTGAAAATTCGGTATTCCAGTCTCATTTGCGTTCTCTCATTTGTACGGTAGCTAATTTGAACATTCAGTTTATAGTTGTTTTTTGAGTGGCAGAGAATTTCACTGTATTTCGGGCGATTCATTTTTATCAAATCTGTGAATACCTAAATCAAACTGTTCAAAATCAGGAACTCAAGGATTATGAAAATTGGGATCGGAATCTTAGAATCGAAGCTTACGATATTTTATTTACAACTCCATCACAAATTTTAGGATACATTAATCACAGTTTATATTAGTTCTTTCCTTTTTTCTACCGCTTCTTCTCAACTTTATATCTCATTACAATGTTATCACTTATTATTTCTCACCCATATAATTTACGACACCGCTTCTCTTCAAAAGAGTACTTTCATTGCTCTTTGAACTCATCCACCACACCTTCTTTACTCCGTGTCTTTGCTACCATAAAAATCGTTTCTTCCGAGCGGCGCTCAAAAAACCAAAAAGTCCGATACAAAAAGCCATTCGGTAATGTATAATGTTGCGCCTAACCCATTTTTATTGATCATTTCTCTTCTCTTTTTTGCTCGCTATTCTCCGGTTTTTGGATCCATCGTTTGTCATTAATACTGTATTGTTTCCTCCCGAAAACAGGAGACCTCCGTATTTTCAGTTTCAATCTTTGGAAACATTTTTCAATGTTCTGATCTTTTAGGTCAACGTGGATCCGTTGCACAATCCGTTCGAATGGGGTGCTCCGGATGTGCCCCAGCCTCAACAAGCTATTAATCCTATGCCTCCACCTCAACATCCACCCAGTTATTATGCCCCACGACGATCGATTTCGACTATTACTGGACCAAATCGTCGAGATGTCGATGCATTCTATCAACACAACTTTCCACAAAAGGTAATTCTTTGTCATGAGATTCCGTGGGAATTCACAGAAGAATGAAGCATATTCAACTTGATTGGGGTTTTGAATGATTTTTCTTTCTTATGCATATGAGAATGAAGTATTACAGATGAATGGAAATGGAGAGCATGAATTTCAAGCACCATCGTCACACCATCAGAATCGACCGTCGATTATGTCAGGACAGTCAAACCAGTCTCAGCAACTACCAGTGAGTTTGGTGTTGAAACTCAAAATTATAATTTTTAGTCGATATCCAGTACCAACCGTTGTAGTGCAAAAATTATGAAAAAGTTGGACATGATGATATTTCCAAAATCAAAGCGTAGAGACCCAGATGTAAAAAACTAGCAAAATAGAAGATCCCTTTAATAGAAGTTCCCATCAAAAATGTGTTGTTTGTGATTAAACATTTCCGACCGTTTTCAAAAAATTCCGGAAACATTTATTTTTTGAAACACGACTTTTTTGCTCAAGTACTTGCTCAATTTTGGCGGAATTCGTATTTTTTCGAAACTTTCGATTTAGAAGATAAATAGCCGGAAGGTAGAAAAGCCCCTCTAATTGAAAGGCTTCCTCTTGGAGCAATCTCTGGCTCTTCTAATACAGATTTTACGGTAACTGTCGAACAATTATCCTTAAAGGCCAGATGTTTAACAATTTTTTCTATGATCCCAAACATAGTTGATCCCAAAATTTGAGAAAACCATGATTTCTGTAGTAAGAGAAAACAATTCTAAACTTAAGCCTGACGCATTCATTCATAACATCTCTACTTCTATCGAATTTTCGCATTTTGTTTTCTCAACTGATCTAGAAATATTGTTTTTCAGACCAAGAATTTCTCATATGAGCCACTTCGATTTTCACCACCAAATGTTACACCGCCGCCACAGTTCAATGTAAGTTCCAAAAACCATATTTCTTGAAAATCAGAATTATTTCAGGAAAACAATCGAAAAAGCAATCAACGCGTTCGTTTCGATGAACTTCCAAACTATCCAAACCCCAATAACTTCTCGGTGCCTCCTCGAAAATGCTCTCTGGCTCCGAACTTTTTCTCATCCCAAAACTCTCATCATATGTACCCTGACCAATATGTAAGACCTTGATCAGATTTGAAATATTGAACTCATGAACATTTCTTTCAGACACCTCGTACGTGGCAAAACAACGAATTCATGCCAAACCATCAAATCCATCCTTATCATTCTAATCACCAACAACCTCCTCCGCCACATCCAGATTGGACAAATCAGGTGAGGATTAGCATCAATTTTAGAAAATGTTTTTAATGGTCTGGGTCTGAAATGATTCGGTTTCAGCCTGTTACTAACGGAAATCACAACCAATCTCATAATCCAATGCACATGAGAAAACATTCCAGTGGTCCGCGTGTAGATATCAAGTTGGAGCATGTTGATAATCCGTAAGTTGGAATTTTTTTAAAGTTATAGGGTCGGGAGATATTTATGCCAAGTTTGATTCTGAGGTACCATGGTGCGGCGATGAGATATTTTCAAGAACTAATGAAGGTACTGTAGTTTCTAAAAAAGAAAAACACACAGACTTCCCAATACTGTAATAAAATAATTGAAAAATCACATGTACATAATTGGCAACAGTAAGAAGAGAAAAACGTGCACAATAAGCTACTTTTTGATTTTGTTTGGATAGATTCTTACATAATTGTTGTGTCATCAAAAACAATTCAACTACTGTAAAACTCGTAATAAACTTTTAACTTTGAGTCAATTTATCTCGATTTCTGTCAAATACATCAAAAAGTGGCCAACTGATAAATTTTTTATCATAGTTTCAAAATTGTTTTGTCAGTTGACAGATATCTTACACAGGAGCCAAGAAAAGTTAACTCAAACTTGATAGTGCGGGGGAGGGGGTCCCTTCTAATACAGGTTTTACGGTATAATAAATTCATTTTTCTACAACTTTGTCGTGAAAATGGTTTTTCTCGCAAAATGCAAAGACGCCTGAAAATCTATAAGTCGGAAAAATACATTTTTCTGGAATAGCATTTCCCGACCAAAAAATATTCTCATCTTTACCAACTCAGAGTTTTGCATAAGATGGGTTGCTGAAGCTGACAAGATGAGGCTCATTCCTATTCATTTCCTTTTCCAGCTCGTCTTCTTCTTCCTTATATTTTAGTTTTCTGAAAGCCGTTGTTCATCAGCTGAAAAAGTGAAAAACGGAAGTATTCTTTTCCATTTCATTTTTTTTTCCAGAGTACATGTCACTGGAACCACCACAACACGGATAGTAGTGTCCCGGAAACATGAAAAAATACCCTTTTGTGCTTTCTAGTAGCTTGAAGCATAATTTCGGTAGAAATAAGTCTTGTTGAATTTGTGGGAAAACATTGCTCGTTTTTCGTGAATCTCCAAGTTTTAAAAATTCTAAGAACTTTGCCAATCAGGAAATAACAAGTTAGAAAGGCAATCTGAACATATATAGTTTTATTTTTGAACGCCTCAGTGAGGAGTCCTCACAAAATAATTGAAACTGGAAATGTGGCATCTGTACCAACCGTATAATTAGAAGGGTCTCTTTGGTAAAAGGCCTCTCTAATAGAAGGGCCCCTGAAAAAGAGGAATCTTCTCAAAATGTGATGTTTAAAATTTGAAATTCCTTTAGATTTTCAAAAAAAAAAAAAAAATATTCCTGAAATTCTAAAATTTCATGAAAATTGGTTGAAACACTATTTTTTGCCCACAAACTTAATTTTTGGTGAAATTTATAGATTTTTCATGAACGAGAAATCACCGAACTTTTCGATGCAAACTTTTCAAAAAAAAATGGCCGGAAAAAAAGAATACCAAGTTAAAAATCTGTTCACTCTAGAAGAGCAATCTTCTTTAACCTCTAAACTGATCACTTTCATCCAAAAATCCTTCATTAAGAATTTCAGATTTTCCAGACAGAAAATGTACTCCGTTTTTTTTTGAGATATCCGATTTTCTAATGACGTTAACGCGTTAGTTTTTTTTTCCAGTCACAAGCTATAAATTATCTATCGAAACCAAAAATTGTGGGAAAAAGTTTAGGACTCAAGAACCTATGTTAGTTCAAGGATCTTCTCAGAAGGCGAGAGTACAACTGATTTCAGAATCAGAAGAATATGAAGAAGACAGTGTTTGTGCATGTTGGTTCTGTCTGTCTCTTCTTCAATTTCCGTTTTTCTTTCTACTTTGTTTTCATCATCAAGAAAAAAACAGAAGTAGGTGTTCCTAAAATATCTCAAGGCACAGAAACCTAAATAAACTTCAGCTGTTCTTCGATTTAGGTTTCTGGCATTGATCTATGTCATTTCATAGACTAATTGACCTTTCCACGTCATTTTGATACACTTTTTGTTTTCAAATTCGTTTTGTTCCATGTTTTCTATTGCAGAATTGCGATCGTAGCCGTTGTTTTCAACCGAAAAAAAATTGAAAAAAAAGAGAGAGAAAGAGAGAGAGAGAGCGGGAGAGCGGAAAAGAAGGAGAAGAAGAAGAGAAAGAGGGCGTATGTGTCTATATGTCTGTCCCAAGTCTCAGGGCTTGTCTTTTTTTCTTTCCCTTCCTTCTTCTATTTTTCCTCTTTTTTTTCGTTTTACCGCCTGAAAAAGATGAAAAGTAGGCCTGAAAAAATGGAGAGATCGCAATTTTCCGCCATCGAGAAAAGTTTTGTAATTCTGTCTAAATCATGAACAAGTGTGTGACTGTTTTTTACCTGTTCCTCCTTTTTCGTGTTCTTCATGATTTTTGGTTTTCTGATGGGTGAGAAAAAAGAGATGGGGTATCTCACTTGGTCACGAGTAGTATATATAAGAATTCAAGATATCGCTTAGTTTTCTTCCATTTTTTGAATTGTTTGCCAACTGTTTCTAATTCAAAGTCAGCTGGGTTTTTAAAAATGCCAATTTAAAAATCAAGAATCGTTTCTAAATTTTGTTCAAAACTTATACCAATAACCTGGAAACCTTCATGTTTGTGAAGTGACTCAAGTTTAAGTAAATCGTTTTTGAGCCATTCACTACAGTTGGAATCTCTCATTTTAACTTTTCCAAAAATATGATGTTCTTGACAACCACTTCCTCCTGTGTTTTTCATACACAAAAAACCGTAACTCTCTGACGAATTTCGTATTTCCACCTTTTTTCCGTATTTGAGTGGCAGCTTTTCAAATACAGCACAATATAATCTGTGAATCATCTCTCCCTCATCAAAACACAATTTTTCCTTTTTTTTCGCGTTTTTTTCGATCCTCGTTCTGTTCAGTTTTTACAACGGTTTTTTTTTCGGAGCGATTTAAAAGGATCAACATTGAACTGAAACAAAAAAAATAATTGTCGGATTTTGAACAACTTTAGTTTTTAATACATTCCTATCGAGATCGGTTTCATATACTGAATGATGTATTATATATTTTTTCGGAAGCTCTTATTCCTAAATCCTTCTGTAATCAAGTCTCAAACCTTGAAAAACGGAAAAAAACTATGAAAAGAACGAACTTATATCTTCATTTCAGATTCGGCAATCTATCTCACGACATGATGGATGTGACAAGCAGTGGGCAACCCCCACAACAGACTGTGAAATCGGAGATGTTGTCACCACTTAAGGTATGTGATTCAAAATGGAATCTATAGATACGTGCATCTCTGATAAGGAAGTATAGAGTTTGTAATTGGTGCACCCAGGTGCCTATGACTATTGAGTTAGGATAATTATAGTGCGGCATTTCAGAAACCAAAGCGCGTTTTTATTGATTTCTTGAACAGAAGAGTTGAAAAAAAAGAAACTAATTCAATTACCCTTCCGTTGTCTAGAACAATTTAATGAAAACGAAACTTGCCTGCCTTCAAATTATTGCCTTCCAATTCACCTTATTTCAGTTTGTATCTAGTCTGACTCTTATATTCTTATCTTAAGATTTCCAAAGTCTTTTTCATCCTACACCCTTCCATTTTGTAGACCTCCTATCTAGACAAAACAAACAAATATGCCGCTTTCTCCTTTATTTTTTTCACCAAAAAAGACCCTCTTCTTTTTCTTTAGACAAACCTTGCGCACGTACGGATCTCGGTTCGAAAGTTCAATCTTTTCACAAGAGTCAAAGAACATTTATGTTATGCCAAAAAAGTTTATATGTGTCTATTTCTTTATCACCTGCCCCGCGACTTCATATTCCTCTCATTTTTGATGCGGTTTTCGTATCTCTTCGTTTTTGTTCCACTTGCCCTTATCACATTGCAGATGGGGTTCTCCGCACTTTCTCTTAGACAGTTCTCAGGTTTTCGATATATTTATCAGGTGTTTGGATGATTTGTATCCCTTCTCTTCCTCATCTGATTCTAAAGAAGACAAAGTACAATATTTTCAGATGGACCAGTTGGATCCGTCTAAACAAGTACCGTCTCCAACTTTCTTGTCCATGTCGTCGTCACTTCTTCTGAAACAACAACAACTTCAGCATAAGAAATCTCATCACAATGTTCCATCCAGAAAAGCTTCGATTATGGCATTAAAAAGGTGAGTGCATCATTTTTCTTTTGAGTGAAAAAAAACCATCTGGCTCAACGGCTCGACGATTTTTCGATTTCGCACGGTGCAAATTTCCACTCGTTCTGTCTCTTCTTGCGAACTGTTTGTGTGTCTGATGTTTGCACGTGATCACATCACTCACCTCCTTGTCCTTCTTCTTCTTCTTCTTCGTTTTTATTCTCTCTTGCAAAGAATTTCATTGAGGGAGGTATTCGCAAGTTTTTGCTTCCCTTTTGCCCCCGACATGCGGGTGTCGCGCCAGCTACCGACACCAAACTGGTTATGTAGTTGTAGTTGGGAATAGACATGAAACGGTTCAAGTGATATTGTAGAAAACGAACAAAATTGATGAACTTTTTCACTTTCCCTTCAGGAGCCTGATTTTTGAGAGTTTCTATTGCAATTTTCCTTGTAAACAAACTGTCGATCTCTGAATTTCGAATAAAAAGTTCATATCATGGATATCGATGTACATATAAAAGAGTTTGTTCACATCCTCCCATTGTTCGGAATGTTTCCCTGTCAGAGAGTCTAGACCCCCTCCATTCCCCTGGATCTTTGCTGTTCCTAACTCTCAATTCTAGAATTCTGCTTTAAGTATATATATATTTTATGTCGTTCCTTCGTTTCCACTAGACTCCTCTTTTTGTGTTATGATTTAGAAAGAAAAAAAACAACAAAAAGAGAGATTTCTAATTTCCTGTCTACTACAGAGAGCTCCTCGCACCTCCCTCATATTCTTCTTTTTTCTTTATTTTCATACCTAGCACCCAAATATCGTTCGTCAGGTTTTTGTATCACTGATCATCAACATCATTTTTGAAGGATATCTGTCCCTTCCTTCAGTTTTTCCCACAATGCCCGTTTTTCTCGATCGGCGGTCGCCTGATGCTTCTTCCTCATTTCTTCCCGAAAAAATAGTAGAGTGCCTCTGGAGAAATGAGAGAGATTCGGGAAAGGACGTGCATTTGCAGCCCCAGCAGCAGCAACAGCAGAAGCGACTGCTGGCTGCAGGAGAAGAAAAAACATCGGAAGGGTGTGGTGTCTCGTGACCCAGCTGTCCCCAGTCTGCTGTCTCTCTAACAAAGCATGCTATAAACATTTATCTCGTAGCTTTTTGGTGTCTAAGAAGAAATGAAAGTAGTGGAAGAATGGGATGAACGAACGGATTCGTCATTGGGGATGCTTGCATCTTCTAATCAGATGTCTTCTCTTCGTTCCGGGGAACTCGAGGGGTGGAGACGGAGATGGTGGAGAAAGCATGAAGTGATCACTAGACTAACCATCAAGCAGTCCTACATTTCGAAAGGGGTTCTCCTTATATCGTCCGAAGGAATCTATCGGAAACGTAGCATTTAGAGACCACTGATTCTCTATAGAGCGACATTTCAAACTAACCTTGTTGACACTGTGTTAGCAGGGACAGTTGACTGACTCCTCCTTTGAACTATTCAAATTCTCTTTTGCATTCATTTTTGTTTGCCTATTCAAAGATCTACGAAAGAGAGAATTTTTCTAGTTTCAGATTGAATCTTTAGAATCTTTAATTTGAGTCCAAAAAATTCGTATCCTTCTAAAGCTAAGATTCAGCGATAAGGATTAGGTCTTAAAAGATTATAGGGTTGTAAAACTATAATAACCTTTTGATTAATATTCATATCCTTCATCTTCTCTCCTCGTCTCTTGACCAGTTCCTACTTCGTTTTTATTTTTTGTTTTTGCTCATCTTAATGCACGATTCATGCACTTTTGCAAGCGCAATAAGAAGAGCAGCCCCAACATCGCTCGAAATATCTTCTCTTTCCTTTTTTTCCTTCTTTTTTCATCCGTGCTCTCTGTCCGTTTCCGTCCAAATGCCCCCTTCTTTCTGCGGAAGGAAAAAAGGGGAGATAGCTCAACAAAAAACGTGTTGTGCTCTATTTTCTCCAGGCTCTCCTTTCCCTTTGGATCTCTGTGGTTTACGGGGTCCCTTCGGCTATTCTTTCGGAATGAGCTCATGTCCAGCTGTTGCAAATGTGCACCAGTGAATCACGTGATTTCTTATCAATACGATCGTTGTTTTTGTTCCATTCCTTTCTCTCTCTCTCTTTCTCAGTCCACAGAAGCATCCCGTTCAAGTTCGGTGAAACAACAAACAGACAGTGTCTCATGTCCTGTTAATCTTTGCACTACCTGCCCCAACCTGCGTCCTCTCTGATTCCTACGATGTTTCAACACCTTTCTCCTCTGTCAGCATTGAAAACAGGAGAATGCGAAAAGTGGTTGCGTGCACCTTTGGTTTGGCGCGGCGACGGCGACCAACGGTGTACCGCCGGTGGTGCTGATGATGAAAAATTGCAAACCTACAATATCGTTTCAGGTTTAGCCATTTTCATATTAGAAGTAACACTCATAGAAAAATCAATTTCTAGATTGAACTGTTGTTTTTTGCAGTTTCATCCTCTATCCTCTAATCCGTTTCTTTTTTTTAATACCTCGAACCTAATTTCCGTTCATATCCCAAAGTGCATCTAGCAAGGAAAACACATGTACGAAAAATATAAATTTGTGAACGTCTCTGGGAAAACATGAACGCTTTCATCAGAGATCCTAATCGTAATTTTTGGAAAACCAAGAATGATTCGAGGAAATTCTTAGTACCTGAACAACGAAAACCGTTCAATCTGTCTGTTTATTCAGCCGAATTCAAATTAATTACTGAGGGACGGGAATGTCTTTTGAGATTCAGTTCACGGACCTAAGACCACAAAGATTCTGATTTTTAAATACCCTCTTCGTCTGATTTTCAAATTCAACTACCGTATAACCTGTACTAGAAGGGCTTCTAACATTTAACTTTTAGCCAGTTTTTCTGGCTTCCTGTCAAAAATATAGGAAAGTTGTCAGCTAATAAATTGCTTATCATGGTATCAGAAGCGATATGTTAGTTGACATTTTTGATATCTTGAATAAGGATTGATATAATTCAAATTTTACAGTTTTGGAGCTCTTCTATTACAGGTTTCCAAGCAACTCTGTCGTTTCAGAGGAGACCTCTTTTTGAAATATATTTGTTAGGTCCATTTTTTAATGACTGTTTTGTACACCTCCCAGGATAATCTGAAATAACAGAGGGAGACACAGAAAAAAAGTTGAACTTTGTGTTTTTGTTTTCCTTCCTCTTTCCACGGACAGAAAATACTTTTCTTTTGCTTCCTCTTCTGTTTTTTTTCTTGCATTTGTTCCATTCTGTTCTTGTCTGTATGTCCCGAGTTTGCTCGGAATGTTTTTGTTAGATTTCCTAATTCTGAACAATAAGTTTCCCACTTTGAGACATAAAAAGGCACAAAAAAAGAGACTCGTCTCCCCGGAAATTCCCAATCTTTTGTATGCACATACGTGCTCCTTTTCTACGACTTTTTCATCTTTTTCGGTCAAAAAGTCTTTCCCGTCTTGCTTCTGCTGAAATGATCAAAGTTCGAGCCAACCGAGTTTTTCTCTCCTACGTCTGCCCATTTTCTCCGTCCATCAACCCACAAACACTTCCATTTTATTTCTGCAATTGCAGTCATTACCACCTCTTCTCTCTTCTCTGGTACCTGCAAAAAACACGTAATCTTTCCAGTTTTGTAGAGTGTCGTTTTGTCTACCAACTTCCGTGTTCTTTGTCTGTAAAACTCTCATGATTTAGTTCTCCTTTCAATATTCCTCCTGACTGTCTGATAGCACTGCGGGGCAGCATAAAAAGTGTCACTTCCATGTTGTTATTGTCCATTCCATCCCACACTAAAAGCGTTGTTGCATCGAGCAGAAAGCAAAAAAATTTGGCTTGCGTGTGCTTCTCCAATTCTGATAACAGGCAACGACCTCTTGCCCGCCTCGATTCTAGCCCTTTTGCTCCTCCTACCCTCCCATGATTTTTTCATTCGATTCTCATTGCATTCAAAATGATTCTCAACACTGGGAATTTCAGTCAACTACGTACCCCACGTGGGTCTCAACTCAATCCATTGTCTTCTTGCACTGAACTTCTACCGTATACGCCACCTCCAATCCTGGCTCCCATGCGTAACGGATCAGGACTATTCTGTCAGATTGCCAAATCGGCGAACTCATTATTGCCAGTTGCAGAGGTAATTTTTTTCAATTTATTCCCGAAAGAAATCAATCAAATGCCTTTCAGCAGATTGCCGGTTCTCCAAGCTGCAGTAATGGATCAGATGCAGATGTGAAGAGCATTCTGAATGGCAAAAAGAAGAGTGAAGATGGAGACGGACCATCGAGAAAAAATGGGTTCTTCTATATGGCTCAGCAAATGAACCAAACCAATTTCGCCAATGAGCTTGAGGCTTTGAGAAAAGAATCTTGGGCGTCGACGTCGTCAGCTGATGAAAAAATGCAGGCAGAAAGAAAAGAGTCGCTGGAAGCAATCAGAAAGTCGTCGTGCATGTCTGACAGCTATTACGATTATGATGGACCGAAGATCAGTGATCCGAATCCGTAAGTATTTCTTCAATTATTATTCTGAAGATTTATAATTTTGCTCAAAAACGAATTGAGTTGACATAATATTGAAACACAAAAAAAGTTTGTTTAAAAAAAAAAGCATCACTTTCAGGCACATAAATTTGGGGAAAACCTATCAAGCCCGTGTGAAGAAATGGGCAGAAAGACAAGTACCACAATCGGAAAGAGACGACATTGAAGACCGAGATGAGTGTGTGTTTTCTTCGGAAATCCTGAAAGACATTGATGTAGAACAAAGTAAGTTTTTCTTCTATCTATTCCGAAAAAAAGCATCCGTTGTCTCTATAATCAAATTTCATTTCAGTCAATGCATTCGAATTGCTTGCATGCAGTCAAGCTTGTCCGAGAGCCGGAAGAAACAAGGAATTGGCAATTCATCTGCTCATGGAAAACAAAGGAAACATTGAAGCAGCCGTTGACGATTTGTTGAGAAGTGATACTTTGGATTGGGAACATTACTCAAATATCTTCGGATACACTTACAACGACACGACGCTCTGGACTCCAGAAGAGATTTCACAATTCCAAGATGCAATTTATAAGTCAGAGAAAGATTTCGACAAGGTTGCTGTTGAGGTATGTCATTGCGAAAACCTTCGTCTGAAATTCAATCTCTCATTTTCAGATGTCTGGAAAATCAGTCAGAGATTGTGTTCAGTTCTATTATTCGTGGAAGAAAGACTGTCCAGATGACTACCGAAAATTGAGAAACCTGAGACGAAAGAGGCAGTTGTTGGATATCAATTTGCAGAAGAATCAACTGGAAGAGCCAGAAGGTCCACCGAAAAAGAAAATGTCGTTGATGGAATCTGGAGAGTCGGATAATGAATCCACTGCTACAGAAACTTCCTTCGTTGGTAATGGACTTTTGGAGTTCCGAGACCGCGCCTTGTAAGCCTTGAAGGTTTATGATATACTTGCTTTATGAATATTTTTCAGCACCTCTCCAATAATGTCATCACCAAGAGAGGAAGCACTTCTTGGAATGTCTCCAGTCTCAAAAGATTTGTTTGGAATCCAGAAGAACTACCAGCCATCAGTTCCACGTGCTCATCATACTCCATCAGCTTCTGCCGGCAAGAAGGGAGCTCAACCAAGTGCTGATGGATTCTTCCACTGCCGTCTTTGTGATAAGTGTTTCGAGAAAGTAAAGTCTCTGAATGCCCATATGAAGTCTCATGCAATGAAGGCAAGAGCAGAGCAAGAAGCCAAAGCTCATGATGCTCAAATCGCTGCAGCTGCTGCTCAACTGACTAGTGCAGTTGGGAACGCTGTTGGAAATGCAGTTGGAAATTCAGTTGGAACTACTGTAGCATCATCACCGTTGAATCCATTTGGAAATGGTCATCTCGGAATTACAATTCCTTCAACAATCGGAAGTTTAACTCCACAGCAATTGACACCTCAGCAAATAAACATCAATCAACAGTTGCAATCGCAATTGAACTCTTTGAGTAGTCTTAGTTCTCAACTCAATTCACCACTCACTCCACAACAGCAACTTCAGCAGTTCACTCAGCAGCAACTCATGGCAAGAGCCATGCAACAGGTAAAACTACGTTGACTTTTGCTGTTCTTCAATTTTCATTAGACTATAACTTTTGACATTTATTACATGAATTCACATATCAATTGGACTTTCAGAACCTCTTCCAACCGGTCACCTCAACACCACTCGTACAATCAACGCATCCACTGATCCAAGCGGGTCTCCATTCCATCAACTAATCTCTTCATTTTTGAATTTCTATCTTTCACAACATCATCACAAACAGCGTTTTCCATGTTTTTTAAAGTTCAATCTCGTCCGGTTATCGGGTCACATTCCATCTAGTTTTCCGTTCCTTTCTCGGTTGCATAACACTAGTTTTATCCCATTGATTCGAACCATCCCCCCGTCTAGTCTCTTCCTAAGTAGTTCTATGTCCCCGTGTCCCAAACCATGTCCCATTTCTGTCTCTTCTCAACCCAATCTCTCTTCATTCAGTTCCCCTGGTGTGCTTTTTCTCCTCAACGAACTGATGCTGTTGCTAGGATAACTATTGCGCATTTTCAAATGTGGTTATTCTGTAAATATTTATTGATTATGGTTTAAAAATGAATTAATTGATTATTAAATATTGAAAGTGTTGTCAAAAAATAAAAGAGCTCGAATCAATGACAGCATTTAGAGACGGCACTGGGTCCCTATGATCTTCTCGCGTAGTTCTCGTCCGTTTGGAGATATGAACACGTTCTGAAAATCGGAGTATTTCGCGTTTGATGATCTAGCAATCCTTAAATAAAGTCACCTTTGCATGTCCCCCAATTTCAGCTAGTTGCTCCTCGTCTGGAGGTGCTAATCTATCCTTTACTGCTACAGCAATCAGCTGCAATCCTTTCGCTCTAGCCCCTCTAGCTGCATCTCGTGGATGATCTTGAGAATATCCATCTGTGAAAACTACCAACACCTTTTTCACATTTTTCCTTGCCGGATGAGCCATTCCTTCGAAAATTTTTGTCGCATATCGAATCGCATCAGCAGTCCTTGTAGTTCCACCATGTCGTTCCATCAAGAACATTTCTCTGGAATTTTTTTCTAATTTCAAGAAAAAATATACATCAACATACTCTATCAACTTCTCCTTGTCATTGTGCTTGTCCAAGTATACACGGACATGGGTCCTACCGGGACCAGAGTAACTGATCAATCCAACACGAACTGCTTCTTGTGATATGGGAAGAGAACTAATTGCTGATGCAGCAATATCAAGGTATCTGAAAAAAAACAGAAAATTTTTTAATATTCGTTATAGATGTCTTACTGTTGGCTCTTATCTCCTGTCCCCTGTGATAGATCAACTAGGAAGAAAACATCAGCAGTGCAGCTGTACGGTATCAGAGATTTTGCAGTTGTGATTGGAGTTCTCGATGTGGTGAAAAACTTCATCGGATTCATTGCAGTAGTCACTGGAGGCTTCTCAGTCATCGCAAAATGAACACTTCTCGATCGAACTTTGAAATTTTTTCCATTCAATTCCTCGATTTCATTTCCCCCTCCTTCATGTTTTTTTAGTGGAGAGTCTATAGTTGCAGCAGGGACAGACGATGGGGTTGTAGTGATGGAAGGACTGAAATTCAGAAGTTGGGAAAAGACTACATAAATTTGAAAGCAGTGAATATTTAGCCCGAAAAAAATAATAATTTCCAATAAATATACCGTAGTCGTGTCTGTGGAACCTGAGTGATCCACCAAGGTTTCCTGAAACAACTTTGTTCAAAACTTTTGTTGAAACACTATGTATTAACCTTGCCGTAGCATAACTTGTTGTGTATTGTGGTCTGCGAGTGATAGTTTGAACAAAAGTGGACCTAAAGTAATTTAAAAACTGAGAATGCTCGCTAACTTCAGAAACAAAGGAAAGTAACTAATGAATATGATTCCCACCTGGTGGAAGCTCGTGTAAATGGTTTGGCTGTGGTCATAGATACAGATGGAGTCCTGAATTCAATTCAACAAGTTTTAGAAACTATTCTATTAAGTAATTCAAAAATTACCATACTGTCCAGAATGGAGCACCGGGAGGTCTGTAACCCAAAAACTATAGAAGAACATAATCAATCCCACAAACCTTGTGGTCATCCACCAACGAAATTTGGTTGTGGTTGGAGGACTCCTAAGTGAAAATTAAATACAGAACTGATGAAGACTATCTAGCTCGAATAAAGTTAAAATTATCTAAAAAGCAAACGTTCAGAAGTACCGGGTAGACGTTGTTGGCGTACTTCTAGTATACAGACGAGACTGTTGAGGTTGCCTATGATTTCGAAATTATACAAGAGTTGCAAATTTCTCCAAACCTCGTAGAGCTAGTATAAATTGCTCGGACGGGAGGTTTTGAAGTGGTCGGAAAGACTTGGTGTACACTAAAATTAAAACTTAAGCTATTCTAGATCCAACAGTTCAAAACCTGAATGGTCGAGTAGTAGTCATTCGCCTGGTTGTCATTGGCCTAGTGGTTTTTACAATTTTACTGCTCGGATGAATCCTGAAATAGTATCGAAACAAGGTGATAGAAATTGGAAAAAAAAACAGTTCTAAAAATTGAAATCATTCTAGATATCTACACAGTATCAAAAACAAAACATTTTTGTAGTGATAATTTGCTGAACTGGTGGTCGGCTTGTCGTAGACAAATGTGGTTGTTGTTTTCTACTGGAATTTTTCAAAGTCTACCGATTTCAAATAATCGAACCTAGTATAATACGGAGTTGTAGGCGTAATTTCGGGTTTCCTAGTGGTAGACAGTAATATTTTCCTGAAACTTGATTCGAATCTTTACTTTCTAGAATACAAAGTCACCTAACAGAGGTACCGACATGCTTTGAAGTAGGGAGTGGCCTTTTCGTTGTTGTGGTGAATGGTGTTCTAAAATTTTGTGAACGGGAATAACAAGAGAAGTTTGCATCTCTAAATCTATTCCAACCTGGTAACATAGGTCTGAGGACGCTTGATCGTTGTATACGGTTTTCTTGTGGTGGTTTCAGAAATACTAAAGAAATAATGAAATACTGAAAGTTTTGAACCAACGGTCACAAAGCAGTTATTTGTTATTCTAGACAAGTAGACGATTATCAATAGCAGCATAATAGTCAGCGTAATGAAAAGGACGAAAAACTATATTTCTAGAAGCAAAAACTATAACCCAAAAGTTCAACCTATTAAGTAAACGTCTTGTAGTTGTGAAGGGAATTTGTGTTGTAGAGAAGAATGCTTTCCTGGAGATAAAATTTTTGGATGAACATATTGAAAACTTTAAAAAAATGAATATAAACCTCGCAAAAGTGAGCCTTGCGGTGCTGAATGGTTTTCTGGTTGTCGATAGAATGGTCTTCCTAAATTTTCAGAAATACGTTTTAGGAAAGTATTGATCTTCAAAGAAATTTATTTTGACTAACCGCAAAGAAAAATAACTTGTTAGAAGCGGAGAAGAGTCATAGCAAATACTGAAAATATTAACAACAGAGACACTAGTCGATGTGAACAAAAATTATGACGCTAGTGTTTTAAAATACCAAAAACCTTGTGACTGATTTCCATGAATCTTGATTCCATGTGGAAAACTTCCTAAACCTGATTTTATTACCCATACAAAAGTTCTTATCCTAACCTTGTTGTATATTTTTTGACTGTGGTAGGATTGAACTTTGGTTTCTTTGTAGTGGTGAACCATTTGAAAGGTTGGGGTTTTCTCAAAGAAATGTGTGAAACATTTCTAGTTAATTGAAAATGCTTACCTGGTGCTAGCTTGATAACTTCCAGAGAACTTCTTTGCATCGTATTTTGTTGGAGTTCTGGTAGTGTACGAAATATGATTTCTTGTAGTCTTCGTTGTTCTTGAAGTAGTTGTAGGAATTCTAGTGAAACTCTGTGATTTCGTAGTCATCTTTTTAAAAGTCCTTGTTATAGTGAATTGTTTGTTGATTTGAGATAGCTGTTGTTGTTTCAGCTGCTCTTGTTTTCTCTTTTCTTCAATAAGCGTTCTCGATGCATCATAGAACGTGAGTCTGCGAACAAATGGATCACGAGTCGATGTCCAAGGATGAGGTGTAGATGTTGGAGATCTTCGAATCTCATTTCCTCCGCTGAACTTACTGGATTCGGTGTTGAACAAATCAGTTCTGTTCCGACCGCATAGAATCAGTTTCTCAAAATCTGTTTCTTGATCTTCAGACAACATCCTGCTGTAAGAAAAACTCTCTAAAAATTGTCGATTCTCTGACTTTGTTCCAACAAACTTCGTTCTCTGGAAACTTCCAATTCTGTAAATGTGAAGGGCAGGTGCCAACGAAATACTTCTCCACAACTTGGTCATCGTTTGATTCACAGGTGTTTCAGAAAACAAGAGAATCACAAACGGCTGAAATGCTGAAAAATTGTTAGCTTTAAATGAAAGTTTCAATTTTCAATTAAATCATACTTGCAGTTCTTCTGGCAATTTCTCCAGTTGCAATCTCAAGGAAACGATCATAGTCTCCGTGGATTGTGCTCAGAACTGATTGAAGTTCCGCATTGTTCTGAACACTTTAACATTAGAAATAATTTTTGAAAACTCACTCTTAAAACTCTTGGAACATAACGATCGTTTCTAGATAATACTACCCATTTTCTGATTTTCTGATTTTCTGGAAGTTGTCGAGCTACTTGAAGAGCTCTGTTTCTTGATACCTGAATGTTGTTAATATAAAAACTATTTAAAAAATCTGATCACATACCTCTAAAGTTTTATTATCAATGACAAATAAGACATCAATACAGGCCAAGCTCTGGCGGAGGATAATTAGAAAAAGTGATAAAAGAGCCAAAGAAGAAGATGGCCATGGACGGCTCATCGTTTTCTTGAAATTAGCTTTCTCGTTCTTCGTAATGTGGAACACAAAAGGAGTAAGACGAAGGGAAAGAAGGGCGACGGTCCTCGCATATCAAACTGTACCATCTTTTGTTTATTATTCTTATTCATATTCTGATGGCTTATCGTCGATCTTCGATTCTTCTTCGATTCAGCAATGTTCTGAATTTGGCCTCTTTCTATTTTCCCTCCTTGATTCTTGAAATGAAATGTGTGGGGAGGGTAACGAGTTGTTCGAAGTTGATAAAACATTTATTAGGTGTTGTGAATGATTTAATATACATGAATACATAAGGGAGTACACAGTTGGGTGTGGAAAATAGAAAGACAAAACCTGAATAAAAAAGAGGTGAGAGGAAAAAAATAGAGAGTTCCTAAGTAATTGGTAATAAGAAGAAAAGAAGGAATATTTAAAGAGACCATTTGAAAGTGATATCTGAACATGATACCCATTTTAGACAATTAGATACAAAGTGAAGAGATACAATATTATTATTAGTTTTCGGAGAGATTGTCTTTTCATACATACCACTCCTTGAAATCCTTTTTCTTCGCCACTCCATTCCCGTTTCCGTTACGCATCATTGTGGCCGTTGCGCCGTTTCCGTTGGCTATTACTGCTCCTTTCAGCGGCTCGTAACCATTTCCGTTGATCTGAAATAAACGATTAGACGAAGAAGTGAATGGAGGTCCTTCTCTCTTTTGAAAAGGAATCGGCAAAAAAACTCACGTGAGGTTTAGCAAGTAATGGTTGAGTGCAAGAGTCATTGTTTCGGTCATGGTTCATGGGAGGTGAGAGTTCAGGAGCGATGGCTGTGTATCCAGATTGAGATTTCATGGCCTGAATTTTCATAAATTTAATACAGATGAATATTTATTACTGACCATAGTGTAGTGTTCGGAAGCTGGTGGATTCTGTCTGCATTTGAAAACAAAGAACACAACGGCAGCGATGGCGATAATCACAGCCAAACTGGATCCCATGATGAGTGGAGTCCGTGGGAAATCAGTGACGGTGGCGGCCTGAAATACTTCCGGTTTTTAGAAGGTTTCGAGGCAAATAATTCGGAGGCTACAGAATTTTTGGGGTCATGTGGGTACAAAGCGATTGAGGGGACAAAATCCACATTTCGGGGGAGCAAAATAAATGGAAAAAATTCGAATTTTGTATGGCGAATTTTGCACCCCTGAATTGCTTTGTACCATCTTGTACATCTGAACTATTTTCCAGATTTCGAGAATTAGATTTTCTGATTTCCTACCTGCATTGTAGTAGTAATGGTATCTCCCATAGGTGTCGTTGGTCTAACTGGATATACTGTGAAGTGAGGAGTCGATTTTGGACGAGTTTTCTGAGGAGCTATACTGCTTGTGATGAGAGCGGTTACTTCGTTATCGATATCTGAAAAACAATTGTGATGAGAAACAAGCACATGATTCTATAAAGCAACCGCCCTAATCAACACGCGGGAGGAAATGAACACACAGAAAGCCGAACTGATTTGCGAAATAAAATAAGGAAAATAGGGAACATGTTGATTGAACAAAAGGGAAAGACAGACAAAAAAGTGGAAAATCACAAAATTGTAACCCACAACAGATATGAAAGTACTCACACATAGTTATTCACAAGAAAAAAAAATAAGAAGGATGGGAGAAAAAGTTATTTAGAGGTTGGTAGCGGAGCAGGAGAAGGAGGAGCAACATGTCACTTCTCATTTGGATAATTGTGTCTCGCTCTCAACACATTTCCTTTTCTGGAGTCCAAATATAGAAGAAGGTGGAAGAAGCAGAAAACAACGGATACGCCCTCTATATCTTGATTTGGTTGCTAGGACTACATGAGCTATGAAAACAGAAAAAGGTGAAAAAAGTTTGAGCTTATCAAATATTCTAGTGGTGTGGAGGTACCGCACAAAATGCCTCCGATGGGAAATGAGATTTTCACATAATGGTGAGAGGGTATGGGGCAGCTCTCAGAGCAGAGAGCAACTAAACTTTGAAAGTTTTTTATGCAAAAAAAGAAGTCCTTTGACGTTTTCTGGGATAAGATATTAGCATAAATAAATCTAAGAACGTTGCTCTTCCGGAGTATAAAAATCTTGTAAATGCACCGATGATCAAAGGCGGTATGTCATAGGGATTACAAGCATCGATTACGCATTTGTAAGAAGTGGAAGAGAAGGGAAGAAGACGTCTTTCTTTGCCGACTTCTTCTTCTTCTGAGATGAATTATGCATAGTTTACTTTACCATAAGATCTTTTTGATATCTGATGATAGATTCATAGAGTTTGCAGTGAGCAACGCAGCATTATAGACTATTAAGAAAAGAAGAAAATGCTCCAGAAGAGTGTCTTGTTGGAAAAAAGATGGAGAGGTAACCAAGGCAATGAATAATTGGTAAAATAAAAAAAGAAGAATCAGGAGGCAAACTGAATGGCTCTCGAAACTCGTAGCTGAATTCACGCATCACCTGCTCTTCTAAGGCCTTTTTGTGTTTGATGGACAAGAAACGACCACCAAAAACTCGTCAACGGCATCGAGACGAGACGAATTTTTGGAGTGGAGTGAAAAGAATGGAAGAGAGGGAAGAGAAAATGAAGGAGGACATCCCGAATATGTGTTTGGAGAAATGTGAGTGACGGGTAATGAGGAATTTCGATTCGTTCCAGGATGCTCACAAAAAAGCACCGAACTGGAACGGCTCGAACATAAACATAGAGGTGGTTTTGCAAAAACAGTACGAAAAACGACTATGGAAACTACTAACCTGTAATAGAAGGACCTCCTAACTTTTCGCATTGAGCCAACTGATAATTTGTTTGACATAATATCACAAACATTTTATCCGTTGACATATTTTTATATCTTTTACAGGAATCCAGATAATTGACCTCAAATTTGACGATGTGGAGGCCCTTCTATTACAGGTTCATATGTGTATGTGAACTAGAAATAATATCTATAAACACTAAAAGGTATAAATATATAAAATATTCAGGGATATCTTGTTTTCAGACAGATGCAAAGCTCCGAATAGCTATTCTGATCCTCTGCTCGTTTCTCTACTCTCATTCATTCTCATACTAATCCACCAAAATTCTACCAAGATTATTCTCTGATAGATTGAAAACAAAAAAGAATGGAAAAAGCCAGCCAAGAAAAAAAACGGAAGGAATAAAAGACATTGAAAGCGGGTACTTAAAGGGCAAGACGACATAAGAAAGCGGTTGGGACGACTGGAAGGTAGGTTTGGAAAGGACGGACAGACAGAGGGAATAAAAGTTCCGAGAGCAGACACGGCAAGCGAGGTGTTTCTGAGTTCTCACCGTAATTTGGCTGGTAACGAGTTGTAGTCGTGGAAGACGTCGTTGTGGCTGTAGTCGTCGTCTTCCTATTCTTCTTTGTCGTTGTCGTTGGTTGAGTGGTCACTGTTGTTGTCAGAGACTTGTTCGTTCGCCACGCAGGTCCTGTGACCATAGGCTCAGGTAAAGTATCCACCTGATTCCAGATACTTGATCCCAAATAATCTGGATTCTGCTCAGCGGCTTCTTTAACACTCGCATACGGTCTAGGTAAGACCGTGGAACGATGCGTGCTGCTAGGTGCAGAAGTAGTGGTTGTTAGTACTTTTGTTACAGCAGGAATCGACGGTGTGCTCTTTGCAACAGAAGGTTGTGTGGCGGCTGTTATTCCTACACCGTCTCCACCGAACTGGTCGTCGCCGGAGCCGTCAAACTCGTCTTCTGATTCATCACCATCGGTGATTTGTGACAAAAAGAAAACAGGCAAAGTGGTGGTGATGGGATGAGGAATTGTAGACATTTTAGGTGATGGGGTTCGCCTCGTTGTCACTGCTGGAAGAAGAAACAAAAACCACTATGAGTGAGATTTGTTGTGTGGGGGTGAACGGATGCAATCAAAACATATTATGGCCAGTTGTTAGTAATAAAGACAAAAAGTTAGTTTCAAAGATTATTATTTTGGGATTAGTTTGGATTTTCTGGTGATAGAGCAAATCAATCAGATAGCGGCTTTATGCTTTTTGGAAATCCGTTGGATTCATTTAATGTAGCAAACAGTGACCTCGAAAGAAGCTCGACAAAACTCACGACAGGCTATAGCACACATATTTTGTACATAAAAGTACTGTAGCTTGATTTCTCAAAAAGTAAAGTTATGTATGCTAATCGATTTCGAGATTTATGTTTTTGCGGTCAGCCGACTCATTTGAAAATAATTTTTTTAACTCACTTTCACTTGGTCGAGTACTTGGGATATCCGCAACAGCTGGAAGAACTGGGGAGAAGAATCCTGCAAAAAAAGAAGAGTTATCGGTACTTGAAACATCTTCAAAAGGATCCCCGGGAATATCCCTTTTCAACACCAAAACACTACCATTGGTCTCTCCGGACACATCATTCATACTACGATCAGCGATTCCATGATCATTTTCTTTCTTTTTCTTCTCTTCCTGATCTTCCCCTTCATAATCATACGAAGGAAATGAGGGCGTCTGGGGAGCGTGTCGAGGAGCATCGAAATTTGATGCGAACTTTGGAATATAGCTCTTGAATTGCCGACATTGCTCGTCGTTCCAATTCATTAAGCACAAAATAGGTGATACTGTTGTAGTAGCACGTGGCGTACCACCCCGCAAATTCTCAATGAATACCATCTGGAGGAGGAGCCTATAGAGATTGAAAAAAAGGTGAGAAAGTTGGTAGTGAAAGGAAGAAAAGAAGGTATCGGATAACAGTGGTAATAGGAGACATCGAAGAAAAGAAACTGCTAATTGGATGAATGAATTCAGGATTCTGGAAAACAGTTGTGATTCCTATTATGAAACCGGAAACAGGAATATTTTCAGAATGTCGCTAAAAGCCGAAAAAAATGCAAAAAGATTTGGAGAAAGACTGCCTTCCAGAGGTGTTCAAACACACACAATTGGTTAGTGGACCAACCGAAAAAAGGAAGGCGACTTCTTCTCTATTCTTTTTATTATTTATATATAACTCAAGATGGAAGAAGAGCACAATAAAGTTATAGATGGATGATGGAGGATAAAGAAGAAAATAAATGTTATTTTTGTCCAGGATGAAGAATTTGGAAAGGTGAAAAGTCTAGCTTGGAAGTAAGAATCTGAGGTTACCAAAGTGCCAAGAAGCTGTTAGGCTCCTCACCAAAAATTTTGAAAGAAGGCGACGTGAACAGAAACCGAGTGAACTTGTCAATGCAAATGAAGATCGGAAGACTCAAGGGGGGGGGGGGTGAGTGAGAGGCTTCACACCGGAATTTTTGACGCGTCCTTCCCGTTTTTCTGGACACGAATACATCGTTTCACACTTCTTCCTTCTCCTACTTCTTCTTCTTGTCTTCTTCTTCTTCTTCTTCTTCTTCTTCTTCTTCTTCTTCTTCTTCTTCTTCTTCTTCTTTCCGCCTCCTATATCTGTGACAAATTTTTGGCAACGACGGGACATAATTAAAGAAAAAGCAAGAAGGAGCGGCGGAAAAGGAAAGCGACGACACACTTCTTATTTGATTTTTTGAAGAAATAGGCAACAGAAAAACGACTTTTTCGCAGTTACTACGTCTTCTAGATCTTCCAGGAGGGGGAAGTGACGATTTATTAGAATGAATTTGAATAAAAAACAAGAATGAGATAAGAAGAAGAAAAATGAAAGAAAAGGGCAAGATCCACGAATTGACTGGATCACAAAAGAAGGTATTAGAGTACCTTTTCAGTCAAAATATTATTCTGGTAAAAAATAGGATCTGTGGAACAGAAAGGTCCCACAACGACAACTACCGTAACCCAAAAATATTTAGTTTTTTAAAATTTATTTTGTTGTTTTTTCAAGTTTTCTGTTAACTTCTCCAGAAAAATCGGAATATGAAATTTTTTGAGAGTGAAAAAATTGACAGAAAACGCTCGAAAATCAAGATAATAAATTCTGAAAATCAAAAAATTCTAGATTACGGTAGTTGGGTGGGACCTTCAGCCACGGTTACCGGCGTTTCTTTTTCACAGCTCCGATTGTTTGTATCAGAACAATACCATATTATTGAGTATGAGTTATACGGAATCGAGGAGATTTTTGAGCTAAATTGCACGAGAAATGTCCTGATTTTCGAATGAAAAAGTGCTGTGGTTTTTTCGAAGACCAGGTGATTTTTCGAAAAGTCAAAAAAAAATTGTTTAATAGTTTTGAAACAAAACTAGTATTCTATAAAACAACTCCAAACTCAAGTATATGGGAGGAATAATTTCAAATTCTGACATCTTAGCTATTCTGAAAAAAGAGGAGTCAGGGATATAACCTGGACATTTTTTGATGAAGCTCAAAGATAACCAATCGGAAACATTTTGGGTGTCTCCTCTCATATTTCGTGTGTCTCCTCTCATATCTGGGTCAGTTTGAGGAGCTCCCGGACCCCTCTCACTTTTTGTATCGGTCCCCGGGGGGAGCACTCACACTTCGATAGCAGGCCCCCACGATTTTATATTTGAAAACAACCAAAAGCACTTTTTATAGTTTTTTCGTGTTTTCAGATGACAAGAAAAGGTCGACGGCAGAAGGGTATTGAGAAGAAATAAAAAGTAGAGTGCAATTGGAAAGGAAAGAATTGTATGAACTACTGAAAAGAAAAGGAGACTGACTGTTAAATAATTCACAAAATGAGAAGTCGGAGAAGAAGTTAACTTCATGAAAAATGAAAACGTTCTTTCTGCAAAATTGCGTGTGAAACATTCCTAGAAAGAGATAAAATCTGAGCAATGAAATTAGCATTAAAAACGATGTTATATGATGAGCTAAGAGGAGCTCACGGCTTCTTTGTTTCCGTCTCCTAATCCATCATTTATTCCGAAAACTCAAAGATTTCCGTAGAGTATTCAAAAGAAGGAAAAGGGAATGGGAGCATCTGGTGCACTTTGACCGGATTCCATATGAAAAGAGGACACCCCCGTCGTCCCAAGATTATCCAATCCCTTCCTTATACTATTTCCGAAAAGAAACTATTGAAAAAGAGAAAGAGAAGCATCAGGCATCATAAACGAATTTAGACACCTACAAACGGCTATACAGATGTAGAGGCATCGGAAGGTCCTCTTCCAAACAAGAGTGTATGAAGCACTTTGTGGAATGAAGGAGGAATAAAACGAAGGGCAACTGCCTCAGGCTCATGTTTCAAAATCTAACTGAAAAAAATGTATATTCATATTTCATTTTGAAAATTGTGAAAGTGGCTGAAGACGTGTATATGAAGACGTACGTCCACGAAGTATATGTCTAGGATATTCTAGTTTTTTGGAGATGACCGAAGAAAAAATCTCAGGTATTGAAAAGGTGGGATTAGGGGTGAGGTGATGATAAATTGGTTCTAATCTGTTTGTATAAAAGAAAAAGTTATGGAATATCAAGTTGCTTTCTACTAAAACTTATACAGTTTTTTTCACAGCACCTACGACCATCTATGATTTTGGGAACAAAAAAGATAGATCCAAAAATGATTAATGCTTAAATTCTGAAAGTTCTTAGAATTCAAACTATGACCTCCACTTTGCACTTTGTGTTTTGTTTCAAAAAAAATGGAAATGATGTCAATATTTGGAAAAAGAAATAGAAGAAAAATAAAGCAGATGTTGGTTGAGAAGGGCCATTTTTCTCTCGCACCTTTTTATGATTTGTCTCCAGTAGGAAGGGCGGCAGCACAGCTTCCGCTCTTTGAAATAATAGGGGCACGGCTTCAGAAGACGTGGAAGAAGAAGAAGAAGAAGAAGAAGGCGACGATTTTCTCGGCCAATTTCACACCAAATTTCAAGAAAAAGAACGGAGGACCGAAAGGAAGTAAGTGAACAAGATGAAGTGTAGGAGACAGGAAACCGTTTTTGAGAGTATATCAAAAGTGTCAGAAGAAATTTCAAAACTAGGATATAATCTGGTAGTATATGTATTTCCTATTTATACTGACAGAACGGATCCATGAAGCCCTGGGACATTTTGTGTACGGCTTCTCCAAATTGAAGGTGAACAGTAGCCAGGCGGAAATAAATCGAGACGGGTGTGTGGAACAGATGTAACAGGAAAAAAAACGAGAGTCTGAGATTCGAAATCCTCGTAAATAAATGATTTGTGCTATGTTGTATTCCTATCTCATTTTACTCGCCTTCTTTCCCGTTTCGTCTTGTTTGTAAAAAAATACGAAAAAAGAATCACAAAAAGAAAAAAGAAAATTAATTGCGTTTTGAAGATTGATGAGCTTTTCCAGTTTTTCTATTCCTTGCATCCCAGTTTTCCTCCACAAAAACTTTTTTGAGGAGGCGGAGGGAAGCATCTTGGAAAAGTTATGGTTCTTGTGAATGTTGAGAACAGCTCCCTCCGGAATTGACCGCGCCATTTTTGGAAGATGCAGAATCGAGCCAACGAGAACACATGGATTTGGTGTTTAAGGGAAAGGGGACCCGAATAGAAAAAATAAAAGACGTACCTGTTGAATCGTCGGTGTCAATAAAACAAGTTTGTTGCTCTTCAAGACTCAAGCAGCTGGGAGCTAATGACTCGATCAATGCTTCGTTCGGATTCTGAAAGAGTTAAGGATTTTCAGATAGAAATAGTTTTAATACAGATCATGAGATTATTTATGAAATATTGTTCGAAGAAGTCAGAAGTTATGGATCACTGATACTGATAAGCCACATTTGTTATAACCGATATGACCTCGAAATAGAGAAAAGTTCCATGAGTTTATAACTTTAAAATATAGAGTTTCTCTGGTTCTGATACTAATGCATGTTAGAGGAAACCAAAACAAACTTACAAATTTTTGAAAACATAATTTTTTAACTTGCTAAATTTCGGGCCGGCCCAGGTGCCTTTTTCTGTTGATGTTGCATACTTTTGTTAAAATGATCATTTGAATTTTCGGATCCCAATGCAATTTATTACTGGTTCTTTCTTAGAGCTTCTCAATCCATGAAAAAAATACTTTTTTTAAATAACCACAAAAAATCTAATGTTCTCTCAAAAAATGACGAAATCTTGCCTCCATACCCAGGCCGGTGAAGATTCCCCCACCGGCCCGGCCGAGCCCGCCACATGTATGATTTATTTTTTTGGAAATTCTAGAAGTTGAACATAATCTGTACAAAGATATATAAAATCTGTCAACTGATAATTTTTATGATATTATTACGAACATTTTATCAGTTGGCAGATTTTCGAAATCTTTTATACGGGCCAAGAATAAACAGCTTAAACTTGACAATGTAGGGCCCTTTCTATTACAGGTATTTGGAAAATTTTTAAAGAAAAATTCGAGGAGAAAATGAACATCTGGACCAGATCATTCGGAAATTATATAATTTTAGTTCGAGCCTCTGTGAAACTAGAACTAACAAGAGAATCATCGATCTGCGAATTTCCTCGTTTCCTCTAGAAACAAAAATAAAGAAACACTGAAAAGTGCAAATTCTTTCACATTGTAACACATAGATATGAAGTTGTCAAATAAACATGTTGTCAGATGAGAACAACTATTTTTCTGAATCCTGTCAGCGTTAGCTGAAGACGGCGTCTCGCTCTTCTCGGAAATGCATACGCACAGCTACATAAAACTGGATTTCTCTTCTTTTTCTTTCACTACAACAAAAATGGAATTTTCAACCCGCTTTAGGCACTTTTCAGACTGAAGACGTTTCTTTTATGGTTCGATATGTGCATATCGCAAAAAAAGAGAGTGAAATTGAAGCGAGAAAAATGAAACGAGACAAAAGTGATGATGAGACAGGAATAGGAGACATGGAAAATACTGAAAAAGAGGAGTGTGTGGCAATTTCTGTAGATTACTAATTAGTTTGGAGAAGAGAATGAAAAGAGACTAAGAAGCTTTATTGGAAGAAAAGAAAGGAGAAGAAGCTGTGTTGGCTTTTGTTCAAAGGCGTTGTCGCCAACTGGAAGAGGTCCAAAACATTTGAATATTCGATTCATTCCTTCTTACTGGAGAGCCTTCATAAACGCGAACACAAAAGAGTTGTACACTGCGTTCCGTTGTTCAAAATGTGATTTGCATGTTGTTCAGATGACTTTTACGACTGCTACTAGGAGGTCTCTCGTTTTAAAAAGGAAAAAGATTGGAGATTCTCAAATTTTCGACACTTTCTTGTTCTAGAAAAAAAAAGAGAAAGATGGGCGAAGAAGGAGACACAATAACATTAGTGCAAGTGATTCATCAAGTGCCGCCTTCCTCTCTTTTCTTTTATTCTGTGCAAGAAAAAGGACTTATTTTAGGTGTTTTACGATTATCCACTTTTCGGTGTACACTTTTTGTACCAAGGGTTTTCCTAAAAACTTTGAAAATGGATTTTCATAACGAAGTATGTATTCAAATCGAAACATTAGATTGAAGCTAATAAAACAATTCCGTTAAAAGAGAAATAAGTAGAAGAGAAAAATGAAAAGTGTTCATTTTCGCCGATAAACTTTCTAGAGATCTTTTCCACATCGTTCTTCTCCAAAGTTTAATAACATAATACCGTTAACACTCTAATAGAACCACACCCGACTTTCAACTTTGAGCCGATTTATCTTGGTTCTTCGTAAACATATCGAAAAGTGGTCAACTGACAAAATGTTTATTATAATATCAAAAATATTTTGTCAGTTGGCCACTTTTTGATATCTTTTACAGGAACAAAGATAAACTGGTTCAAAGTTAAAAGTGAAAATCATATGTATATTTACTGATTTGTGTTGTATACAAAGATTCAGTAAATCTTCATATACTTTTCCTAGATTTTATTCATTCATGGGACTCTATGACTCATTTTCAGAGATTCTTTGCTCTCATCCTCAATAGTTTACTTTTCATATTTTCTCCTTCCACAGGCCCAGTATCCAAGGGTACATCGAAAAAGGGTACATCGAGTTCTTAGGGTACATTGGTTCCAAGGGTAAATTGGATTGTTCGGTACATTTAGGTGGACAAAAAAAGTAAATAAATATTTTTATACATACTATTTTGATTTCTGCTCAAAATTGTAGGCTTAGGCTAAAACGCCTTACAGTCTAAGATCCCATGTACCCTCAGAACCAATGTACCCTAAGAACTCGATGTACCCTCGATGTACCCTTTTTCGATGTACCCTTGGATCGTGGGCCCCCTCTACATCGACTCTAAAAATCCTATAAAAATATTCCAAACATCCTGATCCTCATATCATGCTCTCATTAATTTAAAGGAAGTGTTGGATTAAATTTTTTCGGCTGAAAATTGCTAACCTCTTCAATAGAGTGCGCCATCATCATTTCAGCTAACTCGTCGTCTTCTTCAGAACTGTTGCTCACTGCCTCCGATACTGCGGTTGTTTGAGGTGCTCCGATTGTATGGATGCGGTTGGAACCTGCAAAAAGGTGTATGAATTGTACGAAAAAACTGAAAATTACAAAAACAGAAGTTTTTATTCACTTCATGATTCCTGAAATTTTCAGGCCGGACGGATAAGTGCTATGTCATTATTCAGAATCTCAAAGTGGACTATATTCCACTGGAAATGTGAATAACTGATTTCAAACCAAAGCACAATAGTTAGAAAATAGTAAAGTGATCGGAAAGATGAAGATTACAGAGTCTGAAAATGACAGGTTTCTGGAATTGTTTACGATTCGGACATTTTAGGATGGAGGACAATAAACAGAGAGAATCATGAGATCTATAACGGAGCGGTTTAGAAAATCGGATGAGAATGAAATGAGCCATCGTAGAAAACAACTGGGTAAGATGGTCGCGCAGACTCACACGCTGCCTGCTCTTCGTATAGAAGCTCTATACATACTTCAACATTCATTTATGAACATTTTTATGACCGAACTTCTTCTTCTTCTCCTTTTTTTTCATCTGAAGAGCACAATCCTTTTCCTGAATCGGCTTCCTCTTTCCTCAATGTATTCCACCACAAGAAAAAACTAAGAAGGACGAGCAGGAGGATGAAAAACGAAAGACAGAATAGAAGGCGTATCGAGTTGTATGTGCTTCGAAACAAATTGGGTTTCTTCTCTCCTGCACCGCTGACTTGCCTTTTTTCTGTCTTTTTTTGGCTTCGTTCTTTATTTCTTTCTTCAAACACCAAAAATTTATGGGCACCGTTGGAGTATAGTAGTGGACATTCGAAATTGCTACTTGCTTAAAAATTGGATTGCAAGGAAAGAAGAAAAAGAAGAAGGAGTACAAAAGAAGTAAGGACAAGATTTATTAAATCAAATCAAAAGGGCTAAGAATAGAAGGGTTATGAGTGATGTGTATGGAAAAGAAAGAGTAAGAAGAAATAGAAAATTAATGACAACAGGTCAAAAATGATGTGAAGCGGAATCGATTTGGGTGGCTCGAAAACGACGATATATAGAAGAAGAAGAAGATGAAGACCGACACGAAGCAACCCAAGAAGAGGAGAGTCTCTCTCCTTTTTCTCTCTCAAATTCTCTACCTGATTGTATGCTATTTCAAAAAAAGGGACTGAGTTGTGTGTTGAAAAAAGCTTGTGCAAAGTAGTATTGGGTGGAAAGTAGGTGAGTTAAGAGACTGAGAAGAAGAAGGAGAAGAAGATGAAAAGAAATAAGGAAAGACGAATATCGTTTTCATTCTAAAATTGGAAAACTGGGATGAAGCTTTTTTGGTTCATCCTCACTTCAACCTCGGCCGAACAAAGATCCTTTCTGTTGGTCAAGCGTCGGAAAAAAAGAGAAAGTGTTGATCAAAAATTCAAGAAAAAAAGCATGGGTTCAAAAGGTGTAGTGCACTTATGGAAACACTCGAAAAGTACATTTTCTTCAAAAAATCGGAACTATCAGTTATGTATATCCTGACGAAAGAATGACATGTTTCAAAAGCAAAAATTTTTATTAGAGTTTTAAAAATTGAAAATTGTTTCTCGATTTGAAGAACTCTTTTTTCCGCGATGCAGGATGCAATCATGAAAGCAAAAGTAGAAACAGAAATCTATGAAATCTAAATTAAATGCCGTAAAATCTGTAATAAAAGAGCACTCAAACTGTAAAGTTTCAGCGGATTTTTCTCATTTTCTATACAAGATATAAAAAATGTGTCAACTGACAAAACACTCCTAATATTATGATAAATAATTTATCAGTTGACAACTTTTGTATATCTTTGACAGAAAGCGAAATAAATTGGCTGAAAATTAAAGTTAGGCCCTCTATTACAGGTTTTACGGTAAATATTTTTGAAAACGAAATTCTCTACAAATGTCTCAAAAGCAGCAAATTTCAGGTTTTGCGATAAAAACTTTTTTTCGTTGGATTCTTTTTGATGGGATGCTAGTAAATATAACTTTTTTTGTATAGCTGAAAAAATGTAGCTTTAAGAAGGTTTATCTTCATGAAAATAAGCAAGGCTTCTCTCGAAGAATGATTTTGCAAGATTCGGCTCTAAAATATCGTGGGAACGATGAAAAGTGCAATAGATGAATGAAATTATAGGTGGAATGCATCAGAAAACTCTTGATTTCCGAGGGCGTTTTGAAACGGAGAGGAGTGGGAAGGAAGGGAATGGGCTCAACGAGATCTTCTGGTAGAAATAAGAGTAAAAAGGAGAGAGAGAGTTCTCACACCTCATGCATTTTTCACGTCAATTCATCATGAAGCCGTCGTCGGGGTTAAGAAGACTAGAGAGTGGAATAGATGAGGAAAATGTCTGTGAGAAGAAGAAGAGGAAAGTATACTCTCTTTTTAAGGAAATCGGGGGATTTGTGTATTGGGGATGGATGCAGTAGAAAAAAGAGGATGACATTGGATGTGAAATGAAATACGATTCTTCTCTCCTTTTTGAGATATCTATTTTGGCTTCGGAAGGCCGGAAGCTGTCGAAAGACTCATTGTTGCATGAGTATATACCACTAGAAATCTATGATACAAGTGTTGAAGAAGGCTACTAAAGCAACCGAGAATACGTGCACATCTTCTCCTGACTGACCACTTTCCTCGTGAATAATTGAGAAGACGTCGTTGAGAAGAAGAAAAAGAAGAGGAAGAGTCGGGACCTCCTCCTCCTCTTCTTCTTCTCCTTCTTTTTCAACAAACCTCAGCACTTTGGCACTTTTGCATTAATATTAATACACATATTTAGGAAGATCTTCTTTCTCTTGTTTAAAAATTTTGTTTCACTTTTAAAAAAGAGTTTCGAGAAGAATGAAGTGAGAAAAAAGGAGAAGGAGAAAGATCTAGAAAAGAGGAGCAGGATTAGTAGAGAATGACTGTGAATGAGGAGAAGAAGGAGAATGTGACGGAAGTTTTTGGAACGGCGAGGAGAAGAAAAATGTGAGTGAGATTACTTTTTAGGAAAAGAGTCGCTTCTCTTTTCCTAAAGATTTTGCATTTTTATATTTATCTTAAGAAACCATCGATCACATACTGAATGACCCTAATACAGGCAATCAGATATCTATAGAAAAAGAAGACTAATTTAAAAATTGGTTTTTCAAATGTTGTCGGACAGAGATTATTTTTGTCTAATTTCATTGCGCGCCGAAAGTTCGTGAGTGGGCGGAGCTTCGGTGCTGTAGCAAAATCCTTAAAAGTTTTTTTGTTGTTTTAAAAAAGTTCTAAATTGATTGACTTTTTCAAAAAATAAAAATAAGGCCAGAAAACAATTACGAAAATACATTCTCCTTTAAATGCGCCTTTAAGGATCTCGCTACCTGACTTAAGCTCCGCCCATCCTCGAATTTTCGGCTGCAACGCGTATTGAAATTAGACAAGAGTAATATTAAAATCTACGAAAATTGTTTTCTGAAAACACTAACACACAAAACGAATTCATGTTCATCTATTTTTTCACAATTCAGCTGAATATTGAATAATGTTTTTGATTTTCTTGTTTTTCAGAAAATTGTGTTATGCGGAAATTTTCAAAATGAAGAAGCAGAATGAAGAGGTGCGAAGGAAGGAAGCCATCAATTACGAGCTCCAGATTTTCGAAAATTTGCATTCAGAATGTTGTGGGAGTGAGAGAGAGAGAGAGGAAGAAGACGAATGAAGTGAAGAAAGAGAGACGGAAATGGCATCTAATTTGGATTTATACTCGTATTTATAGAAGATTCTATATAAAGTATGCAAAGACGGAAAATTGGTTTGTGTGGGAAGAAGTAAGAAAAACGGCTCTCACCATTCTCATAAAGATCCAAAACCATCAAACCATTGACGTTGACTCCCGACACTTCACCCTGGTATGAATCGAAGATCTCCGTGTTGCGACGATGACGTAGCATTCTGAATCCAAACTTCTTGATTTATAATTCGGTCACTGCGAATACAAACCTCCTCCTCTGCTCCAAATGTCTTGTGTTGAATGATGCTCCAATTGATATTCTGGTTTGCATATTCAGTAAAACTAGGTCACTGGCTTTTTTTGGTCTATATCTCAATGCGGGCAGTTTATCCACTTGTATCGTTAGGCTTGATTCGTTTCTCGATATTTTGATGACATGTGGAAATCCGTCATTCAGAACACGAGTATGATAGCTGACAGTGTGATCTCGACTACCCAAGTTGTAATGAGCATTCAGGTATCCTTTGTTAAGAAAAATTGTGAAATAGTCCTGGTCCGCGGCACATTCGATGGCAATAAGAACTCCGTTTGGTTGGGTGGTTCGAAACGAAAAAACAAAATAGTCTTTGCTGGTCGTCGGACGTTCATTTGGAGCGTATTCGTAGAAGATTGCAGATGGACTTCCATCGAATCGAACTGTTGTTGATGCTGAAAAAACAATATTAGAACAGAAATGTTCATATCCCACGTACGATTCTGACATCGATCTCCAGAATGTGCTGTTAGGCTACAATCACAGCGAATGGAACTCCATAATTGAATGCACCGCCCGTGATTCGCGCATGCATCCTCTACACATCGAGCAATTGGACCTGTAATTCATTGAGTGAAATTAATTCACATAACACTTTTATATTAAAACTGAAGAAGTGATCAAACTGAGAATTAAAAGTGGCGGATTTTTTTTAAGCGATAGATAGATGATGGTAAAGAGAAGAGGAGAATAAGAGCAATACCAGAATGCCGGATTCGATGATGAGTCGGAATGACTTCTTCTGTTTCTAAATTCGCAATTAAATAAAGTTTAGTATGGAAAGAAATTTCAAAAAGTTAACAAACTAACCACTGCATCCTCGATTTACATTCATTCGACTATCAGCATCTTCATAAAGATCCAGAGCCTTTTCATTGATTCGAAGAGTTGAAATACATCCACGATATCCGTTGGAAGGACGGGAGACTCCAAGTGGATTACTTCCGAAGTACAGTTTACCTGACATTCTGGACTCTACTTTCTTCATTTTATCAATTATCAGTGTAGTCGTTGAATTATCCACCAGAAGAACATGATCATTGGTTTTCTCATCTTGATAAATAAGGACACTATGCCATCTCATATCACTCAGATGTTGTCGATAAGGAAGCTTTGGAGAGGTTGTATGAAATTCTTGGCCAGATATCCGGTATGTGTATTTTAACCTGGAAACTTCACATTTGCACTCTACTAGTATAATATTCACAAACCGTCCGTTTATAATCTGAAGTCGAAATGACTGATCATAGTCATGTTTTGGCAAAGTGAAGAATATAAGAGCAGATCGCATGAGCGTTTGAAATTTGAATTGAACCCGGAAAGAACCAGCTAGAGATGATATTTTGTCACTAGAGAATGCTACATAACCCGTGGAGTTTGTGAAAGATATCGAAGCGATTCGTGTTTTGCTGGAATTACAGAACTGTAAGTTCAACATTTTTCAAACCTTTCAAACTTACACATTCCTCTGTCCTTTACTCTCTCGACTAGTGGATTTGCTCAGTAGAGCACTGTCGCGTTTTGTTTTAGCAAGATAATCGTTACCATTGAATATCAGTTTTGAGAGGAATCCTTTAAAATGCTCATCTCTCGGTGGCGGAGAGGATGGATGAACTGAATAGGCAGCACCAATTTCATCAATTTCAACGGAGATTGGATTTTGGAGGTATACTGAAGCAGATCAACGTTATGTATATTTTGAAAAAGCATTTCTCACTGCTATGACTCCAAAATCCATCAAGATAGAGAAGAAGTTTCTGGCCGAGACGTCGTACTTGCAGCTCATGCCAGTGATTGTCTGATAGAGATTTTCCCCAGGAAAATGTCTGAAATAAGTTAACATACTTGATTTGAAAACATTCTAAACTTACATTGTTTGTTAAAGAATCTTGAAGAAACAAATTGAGAAGACTATCATTCAAAAAAACGGTTATCTTGTCATTTTTCCCGTTTGCTCCGGTATCGAACAAAACTCCTCTTGTAGAAGATGTCTGAAAAAAATTTTTAATCTGAATAATTTCAGCAAAAACTTACCCGAAACCTGATTTGAATATGCTCCACTTGTGATACTTTTGTATGAGCAAGCACGTGCACTTTGGATTCATCTCCGTCTACTTCTACCGCAGTTTGCTCTGAAACTTTTATGTTTCAGCTTGAAACTTCTAGACTAGCTCACCTATCTCGCACCGTTTTCCCTCGAAATTTGTATTGGAGCAATCGCATTCGAATGAATTTAAGTTCCGACTACATCGTCCAAAATTTTGACAGGGATTCGGTTCACAGATATCCAACTCATTAGAAAGAGAACAACCAAGCTCAATTCCAGTGGTGTTTGTTGATTCAAACTGCTGAGCAATCTTTGCAGAAACTCCATTGAGTCTAATGTTTTTGATGCATCCTGTATAACCTTTCTGGAGTGTGATGGACCAAACAGATGGAGGATACGCAATTGAGTTATTCGGAACATTTCCGATAAAGATAGGATCATCAATAATGAGATTAGCAGAAACTCCAGGTGTATTAAAGTCGATTTTAATAGCATCCACAATGACACTTCCTGTTCTTGATAGTCTATCCAATTGTACATGATGCCATTCTCCATCACTGACTTTCATTGCAGTTGTTTGTAATCGAACCACTCCTGATCCCAAATTGATTATGAGGAACAAATGACTATCTATCAGTTCAAAAGCAACATAATCTGTCGCATTATGCTGCATGACACCGTGATAGAGAATCAATCCATCTGGAGATGTTGTTCGGAAGTGAAATGCTGGAATTGTCAAGGTTTATTCATTTATATTTGTGATTTAAGATTTACATAGACTCCCACTGGACAGACTATTCCATCTTGGTAATGTTAAATATGATGATGTATCAGAGAAGGATAGCACATCGGACCTTTGAGAAGGGTTCTTGCAAGAATACGATAAATCTCCACCCGTCTTTACACACTTCCTCCGTAACTCTGGTCTGCCAGATTCACGAATAAAACTCGTGTAGCATCTACATCATATCTGACTTTCCTCATGCATCCACGAAACGAAACTCTATTCACTTCTTTTGATGGATTATGCTTTGGGATCGATCCAAGATAGGCAAATGAGTTGGATATCCAATCTAGTTCTGGAGCATATTGTCGAATTTCGTCTCTTCTTCCATCGACTATCAGAGTCATCTGAAAATATCTGTATTGTTTTCCATTCATTCAATAATTCATGAAACTAAGAAGGGAAAAATGGTGATTGGATTGGATTGGAACAAAGGAAAAGATTGGTTTGGAAATAAACTGCAAACTTTTCAGCCATGTGGTTTTAGGAAATATGTAATTGTGAGAACTATTGAAATTTCCTATCTAATGTTCTTAGATTTCTAAACTTATCAAGAATTGTTGAACATTTTTCGAACTACGAAAAATGAAACAGGGAAAAAATTCATGCGGGTGAACCGAAGGGAAGAAGGAAAAATTGTTGAAAAGACATCTTAAAAAAGAACTCAAAAATAATTGGAAAGCGGTTTGGAAGACATAGCGAACTGCAAACAGTCTGCCGGGAAAAGGGTGAAAATTGTGGGATAAGCTCGTGCTGTTCTCTCGTTCCAGATTACGAGATTCAATTTTTGGACAGCTGGGTGACACACAAACTTACATGGATTGCCACCATCTCCTCCGAATGCTAAAAACCCGGGTCAAATAGATTTGTTTTATTTAATTAGTAAGTAAAGACTAGAAACTACAAATTGTTGACCCTGCTGGAAATCTTATAAAGGAATTATAAGGCAACTTACCATTTGAAGGGACCTCTCTAGCACTATCGTATGCCAGGAGTCATCATCGTATCGTTGAGATGGAAATGAGTTGAACATTCGGATGATTCGAGCATCTGAACCATCAAACTTTGAAGATGCAATAATCGCACCATCCTGTAGCATCAGATGTAGATAACTCTAAAATGGGTTTTCTATAAATGTAACTCAATTTCTTTCAAAAACCTTCTCATCCCCAGCATAAAAAAGCATAGATGTTCCATGTACTGTTTTGAATGTCAATGTTAAATTCTCCTTTTTCGCCCTCACTGCTGCTGATATGTTCATGGAAACATCGTATCCAACCCACTCATCTCCTCCAAAAGTTAGTTCTCCGTCGTTTTTCTCTGAAACCAAAAATAGGAGTTTCCCACAATCTCCGACCTTCTTCTCTTTTCTGTTTTTGTTCCTCATCCCATCGTCAAAAGAAGAAGAGGATCTATGGGAATTCTTACCAATTTCACAATTTCTTCCGTCATGATCAGAAAACTGGCAATCGCAATGTGGTCCATCGTTGGCTGAATAGCATTCACCGTCGTTGAGACACACGAATTGCTCGCGTGACGACATCTGAAGAATACGATTTTCAGAAAACAAATTCAGAAAAGCCAAGAACAAACAGATTTCGACTTGCAATGGTCGTCTTCGTTGGTGCGTGTGCCCACGGATTCCAGAAGCTGTGGAGATGTGACACCTGAATAACAACCAAGTGTTATTTGGTTCCCCTTCTATGACAGGATATCACAACAAAGTTACAGGAAGATGTGAATACATTAGAAGAACACACTTCTATAGTTCCAAAAGGTCAGTGATTATGAGATGTGTAAAGAATCAATACACACAAGTGAAATGAAGGTAACAATTAATACATATTCATATCCATCAAAATAACTAATAAGAATCAGTGAGAAATGGGAAAGTGGGACTCGGTTTTAACTCTTACTCTTCAACGATTTCATTATCTCGTTCAACTTGGACAAGTCTTAAAACAAGAAGTGCTGAAAGTTGAGGCCAAAGATCTCTATTGCTTTACATACCTTGTGGATATTGGCGATACATCAGATTGCGCACGTTGACTGCCAAATGACGAGTATATCGACGGAGTGGAGAGCTCATCACGGGAAGCATGTGCATATTCTGGAACATATTTTAATGCTATTGAAGAATTTGAATCCAGAGCTTACTGGTGGTAGTCCTCCAATAAAGACATCAGAGTTTTTCAGAATATTCCCGAAGACAAAACTTCTTTGGTTCAAGATCTTGAAAACCAAAGTGTAGTCCAACTCCAATTTTACATTCTCCCATGATTGAAATATCGTTAGAGTATGCCATTTGTCATCATCTATTCTGACCTGAAATTCCATTTTCTTTGTTTCATAGTTCTATTTTTATAATATTGCAACAATACTTCCTTCTTTTACTGACACTTGTTCTTTTGACTTAATCCCAGTGGGACGTGCTCTCGGAGCTCACTTAAAGTATAAAATATATGGGTTTCAATGCGGATGGCGGCATTGTGGATCGACTGCTCAAAGAACACCGCTTCTCGCGGAGATAACTTGATTCGCAGATTTATGACCGTTGGGTATAGAGAAACGGAATAAGAAGAAAAAGTCAAAATATATAGAAGAAAGAAGTTACGAGAATGATGGACTAAACTAACTATGGTCATGAGTATTGTCCGATATCTGGGTTCTTCGAAACTCACTTCTTCTATCCGAATCGTGTTTACTGGTCTTCTTTGGCCAAATTCATTGGAATTGTCACCTAACCTGTAAAACGAGGAGTTATGAGAATCGAGATATTTAGAAAAATATTACCTGAAATCTAATTGAATGTGGCCTTCGACGATTGTCAGTGAATAAAAGTTTCCATGAGTTCCTCCGTCGTCTGTGTAGAGTAACATTCCATCGGATTGCCGTGTCTTCAATTCCATCGATAACGAATTTTCGAAGGAATGAGCCCATTTCGGATATCTGAGAAATGAAAAATCGATTATCTCCTTATCTGCATGGATCACAGAGCTTACCGTGAATAAGAATCTGGAGCTCCAGTAAGAATAATTGAATCTACTACACCGAAAAGTAAATATATCAAAAGTGCTATTAACCATTTTGAATATTGTCCAGTATCATCGAACTTCCGTCTCATTTTTGTCGCATCTGTAAAAAATGGGAAGTGTGTAGAAGAGCAAGAAGAAAAGGTCCACAAATAGGGGGAGTTCCATTAAAAAGGCGAAAAAAGGCAAAAAGGAGGAGTAGGAGGCACAAATCGGAAGATAAAGCCAACATGGCAGAGGAGAAACGAGGTCATGAATAATTAATAGCTGGAATTGGAATATGTTGAAAAAGTACTTCAAAAAGGTTCTAGTTTTTGTAGATCCTCGATCCTATGAGAAAGTGTAGAAGGAAAAAGAAGAACATCGGAAAAGGTGGAAGAGAAAAAATAGAAGGAATTTCAGGAGCACAAAAAAAGGAAAAGAGAGGGAGGCGCCAATTTGAATGGACATTTTTGGGGTAGAGTGGGGGGATAGAAGGAAAATGAAGTAGGACAGGTACATTTATTTTCAATTGCTCTTTTCTTTTGAATCGAAAAAAAGTTGAAATTTGAAAAGTGCGGATTTATTAAATTTTTTGATAATTCTCTTAAAATGTGATGTAGTTAAACTACTAGAAAATCAGGATGACGAAATTTAATATTTCAAAACTTGACTCATTCACAACTACACTGTTATTATGAACTTTCCTTTTATTTGCAGTTGGAAGGTAATGTCTGCAGTATTCAGTATTTTGAATTTTCATTATTTTCAAACGGGTATCAAATTCCAAAATGAAGCACCGCAATGGGGTGGTTTTGCATAACAATTGCAATGAATCCGTAGCTCTATAAATAGTAAACGAAAAGAAGATGAGAATATCGTGGCACTCGACGATCAGTCTCCAGGAACAATGCTTCAAGAAATAGAAGAAACTGAATAGATGATTGGAAGACACGGAAGGATTCTGGCGAAAGTCTGTAGACGGACATAGAGGGAGTCAGATTAATAATGAGCTGCAGGGAAGAAGTTGAAGTAGTTGAGAAGACAATTATCTGGTGGACCTTGAGCAAAAGAGAAAAAAAGAAACGAAAAAACAAAAAGAAACAAAACAAAAGGTGAGAGGGAAGAAAAGTGTCAAAGAAATTAAAGACCAGAAGTCTCTGAATGGGAAAAAAAAGAAACTTCGATGGGTATTCATACTGACGAGTACAAGTCAATTCCACAGAAGAAGAAATGGGCGGAGCTTCCTCATCATTTGCATGAAATGAATGATGAGAAGAGAGAGGAAGGGTCACTTGGTATTAGAATACACAACTCAGTATAATTATAATGACTTTTGATGACTTGAAAAAAGAGAAGAGAGAAAAACTGAATCCTGCATAACCTGGAGATGATTACCGGATTCTGGAAATAATTAGGTTCGTTATGAAAAAAGAAAACAACGGAAGCTTTCAAGACTAGGCTCGTTTCTTATTTTACTTTTTTCTCCAGATTTGTTTATTATTTTGTTTTCTTTGAAATAATAATATCAGAAATTCAGAGCTTTTGGATGCCCCGAGATCCCCGAATAAAAAAGTCTTGATCGGATTAGATTTGAACGCAAAAAGACCTCTTTCGTCGGATTCTTTCTAATCCGATTTTCCGGAAGGTCTTCTCTGTTTCAGAAGAAAACGAAATAAAAAAGGACACACATACGCATCCACGAACAGAAGATAAGAAGAAAAAGACACGGGGATACATTGAAATTGAATTGAATTCAGGCGATGATGTCCCGAGATTTGTCAGCAATTCATGCGTGCTTTGTTATGCTACTGCTGCTTTTTCTGTTGCTCCAGTAGTCGATGGAAGAAACGATGAGCCTTCTTCTTCTGTGCAGCACATAGACAAATGCACAAGGCTCAACTTTTAATCGTTTTACTGAATCTCTTTTTCGGAACGAATTAGCTGTGAAGATACTCTTTAGACAGCTCGAGACGAGAGAAGTAGGCGACGATGAGCCAGTGCTCATTTTCTTCAGACAATGATGGGTGATTTAGATTTTAGGACACAGGATATAAAATAAATGTCATGTGGCTAGGTAGGATCTGTTGTATCATCTAGATATTTTATTCGTTTTGGGAATTCTAGAATCGGAAAATGTTGTATTTTGTATACAGTCCTAGTTTAGTATTTGGTGGCATTTGCAATTTGTATACTCTGAACGAAATATCGTATTAACTGTAAGTGTCCTTCACTTTTAACTGTGAGCCAATTTTTCTGGGTTCTTGCCAAAGATATGAAAAAGTTGTCAACTGATGAAGTTTTTATCAAATTATCACAAACTTTGACACTTTTTTGATATTTTGCATAGGAGCCAAGAGAAATCAGCTCAAACTTGATAGTGTGCGGGTCTATTTTAAATTTTAAGGTATTGAATATTCTCAAAGTTTGAAATATCATTAAAGATCTAAAAAGATAATTAAAGTTTTTAAGATATGTTTTGGTCATGACTCGTAAAACCTAACGCATGTTGGATAAAATTGAATTGCATATTTATCGAAGTTATCAATTAATTAAGTGTACTGTAGAATGTCCCAAAGAAGTAATTTCTTGATAGAAAGCCATCAGAGTATTTACACATTCTTAAAAAACACAAAGCACATAGAAACTGAAGACCTATAGAAACCTCCGGTAACGAACAACTCCAGCAGAACGAATTCTCAGAAAAAAAGAACAAAAGATTTTGGAAAAAAAACCACAGGCGAAGCGAATAAATAACGAGAGATAATTAGAGTGAAGCAGGGAAACGGAGAATTTATGGAAGTGGCGATGTGCACGTTGTGTATTTTAGTGTTTCTGAACTAGGGGAAAAAATGAAATCAGAATCTTTGGGGTGGCAAAAGAAGAGCAAGAATAGAACGGAAGTACACAAGCGGAATGTAATGTAAATTAGAGAATGTAAAAAAGGGGAAATCGAGGAAAAAGGAAAATGGAGATTAAAAACAGCTAGGAACGGGTGCAATGAGATTGAAAGAAAAAGAAATACAAAGGGATGAAACCTTAGGTGCCAACTAACAGAATGATGTCAAACTTTTTTAAAAGCTAGATGAAAAAATGAGTGGATTTGATTGACAGAGGCCTACACAATATTTTTAATCAAATAGCCAAAACTCCCACATGATTCAATAATTCGGCCAATGTAATCATGTTTAAAAATGTAGGAATAACTTATGGACTTTTTTATGTTCAAAAGTCTAGATTTCTTTAATATGATAAAATACCGTAAAACCTGCATTAGAAGGGCCAGCACTTCTATTGTTTCAAGCAAATTTCCGAGAGCCCTTCTAATACAGGTTTTACGGTATTTCGAAACCAAAAAAAACTACGACATATCTAGAAACAAAATCGTCTACGATTGTTGTCAACTTCAGACCTCCATTCCTGAACTTCTCGAAAACAAGGAAATTGTGGAAATTGTTCGTTCCTGCGTCTTTTTTGTGGCTCCGCGGCAGTGAAAAAGTATACACTAGGGACACTAGAATAGGGGTGTGGTTTGAAAAAACAACACCTGATAGATGCTGGATGTTCTTGTTTTTGGGTCATTGATGGAGGGTATAAAACTAGAACGAAAAAGGAAACAACAAAAAAGGAAACCGGCCACAAAACGTCGGAAAAACGAGACAAGGAGTAGGGGAAGAAGAAGCCGCTAATAAATGGGCATTGAATGAGAGCACTAGTCCCAAAGGGAATGATAAGGCAATGGTAGTAGATTCGTGGGATACCGTTGAAATGACGCAAGGAGTGGTCTTCGGGAGATGGCTTATCATATTCGAATCTTTCGAAATGATGTTACTCCAATTTCAGAATTTTTGGGTGTCCTGTTCTCTTTCTGAACACATAGGTTCCCTAAAATGGCCATAGCTTAGAACTCAGAACTGAATTATAAATAGAAAGTATACATAGTAATAGAAACAGCTTTCTAGCGAAAAAAAATTCGGCATCTATCGTTCCGAGTTTCAGGGCAAAATATGCGGAGCAGCCAGCACAAATCCCGGACAAGAGGAGTTTGGAGTCCCGAGAGAGATTGTTCTGTAAACTACGGAAAGAGAGAGCCCTCAACACAAAAATGGAGTGGTTTTGGGGTGTAAGAAGTCGAAGGGAAAAATGGCACAGACGACTTGTGACACTTTGATAGAGCCTTTTTGGACGGTTGACTTTTTTTCGGTTTTGATTTGTTTACAAAGTTCATTGGGACTCTGAAGAGAGATGAAAAGAAAACGAATTCGAAGAATTTGAAGGATCTAGATGTCCTGTCTTCCCTTGTGACCCAGAATGGTTCTGAATGAGTTTGGGAATTTTCTGGAATGTACTCTTCCCGAAAAAAAACTTTTTGTCATAAATCAAAACAGGCCGTCGGATGAATTCGTTTTTTTCTCGAAAAGTTGTATGTTCAAGATTATATCACGAGAGTGGTTGAACCCGCGAAATCCGTCAATAGTCACGAACGGCAGAGGAATACGGTGTTGGACCTACAGTGTTGGATTTACAGTCTTATCCAATCACCGTCCATTATCAACTCCAAGAGCTAGAATTCACTGGAAACTTTAAAAAAACAGCAAAATGATTGTCAAATGACCTACATCTTCCCACTCGGTTCCTTTTAAGAGAAATTGGAAGAAAATGTAAAAGACATACTAATAAATATAGAGTTGAAGACTAAATGGGCCCATCAGAAAAGTGCTTGAGTCCACTTTTCTCTTCCCTTCCCCACCACCTTGAAACCAAGTCATCGGTCTTCATAACAACGGCGCACTTATTCAACGACAAGGTTTACCCCATAAAACTGTCATATACCCAAAAGAGTCAGAAAAGGAAGAAGAAAATCTTCCAATATGATGTATAGAAGTAAAATAAAATCGAAGAAGGAAAAAGAAAAGGGTCCCGAAGAAGGCAAAAGTCAGACAAAACGGGAAGTGGCTGGTTTGATTTTGAATTGCTCGTCGCCCTTCTTCTCTTCGAAAGAAGACATAATCAGGACCAAATTGTGTGTCGGAGCGTCGGGTGAGTTTTTCGATTCGTTCTTCTCTTCATGCTTCATCAATTTGGCATATCGAATGTTGTTAGTGAATCCCCTTTCCTCCACTTTTGATTTCTATGTGTGTGCAAGAAGTTAAAAGGGGGAAGAAGAAGGAACATGATTACATAAATGTCCTGATGACGTGATGATGGGTAGAAGGAAAGAGGACATATTTAAATAGATGATGACGGGAGTAATCTCTGAAGTTTTGATTATGAGGCGAAGTGTTGGGAGCCAAGAAGGGACACATTCAAACACGAGATTCGAATGGATTTTTAATAAAAAAAGAAATCTAGAGAATTTTACAGTAATCCAATATTTTTCTATTGAATTGTGTCTCAGAAATTATTTGGAAATGTTATTGGTGGTAAGGGATTCCCGAATGATCTCTGACGAGAATCTCAACTTTGGTTGAACTCTAGAATCTCTTGGCACTAGCATTCTACTTGCAAAAAGTGAGAAGACGTTCTGAGGGAACGAAAAATTTGAGCAAAGAAGAAGAATTCATATTCAGAAAATGGTTTTGAAACAAAATGTTCTCCTTTGCGAAAAACTCGCTCCCCTTGAATTTATGAGATTTCCTCCCGTTTTTTTTCGACTTGTGTACTTTTCCATAAATCATCAAATTCTGGTATGTCTGTGTGTGTTTTTTTTCTAAAAGTATAGGGAAAAAGAAAATGAAAAAAAAAAAACAAAAAAGAGTAAGAGAACGAGAAAATCTACGATTCGAAACCCCTTCCCAACGCCGTCAGAAGAGCAGCTCAGGAGAGAGCAGGAGGTCCAGTTGTGGCTTCAAGCAGACATAGAGAAGAGAAAAAAACGGGAGGCATGGGAGGGCTCAAACCGAAAAAAAAAACAATTACTCGCCTAATTACGTGTCTAATTATATTCGTTCGTGTTCTACGTCGTCTCCTGTACAAGAAAAGAAAGAAGAAGTCGAGTGAATAAGTGAAAAAAGAAGAGAAGAATGGGTATACTTGTTACTCTCACGCCGTCAGAAGACAACATATCCAAAACAGCTTACTAAGCTGTTTTTTTTCGACAAACGAGAAAATTTCGAGTACAATTAAACTTCCAATTACTATGTATCATCAGTTAGGATTTGCTGAAAGATGCACACTGTAATCCCGTATTTGCTTTAATATAAGCCCTTCCAAACCGTCAACTTTGACCTCAATTATCTTGATTTCTGTGAAAGTATCAAACATTTGTCAACTGATAAAATATTAGTGATATTATGATAAACAATTTACCAGTTGACGCGTTTTTGATATCTTTTATAGGAATCGTGATAATTGAGCTCAAAGTTGACTGTTTGGGTGGCCTTCTATTTCCGAGATCTTCCAGCGTCAATTTGAGTGCTTAATGAAAACGTTTGAGCATTATGGAAGCCCAAAAAGTTTTAATAATGAAGACATTTTTATGTCTCGAAAAACTGTGCTTTCCTCCTCTCCATCCCTGTCGCATTGGACTTCAAATTGAATTCGAGAAGCGGATGCTCTCTTAGGAAGTCAAGGACAACATACGAAAAGAGCGAGCATTGAATTCAAAAAAGCAACGATAAACTCATTTTTCAACGCTATCATAGACATTTTATCCAGAATCCGCTGGTGAAACAAAATGAAAATGGACACTCTTCCCAAAAACAATGCCACAAATAGAATACTCAAACTTCAAAGTTCTGAATAAATCAGTTGAAAGTACAAGACATGCACACATGGATGACTTGTAGAAAATGGGGTGTGCCCAGACAAAAGAAGAAACGGGTCAATGTTAGTCATTTACTTGTGAAAAGAAAAACATAGTACAAAAAGTAGGAAATATCATATTCTGAGGTAAAAGTGTGACAAGTCATTGTCAGGTTATTATTCAGAGTCCGAGTCGATTACCACACGGGACCTCTTCTTCGTTGGTTGTTTCTTCTTGGCAAACGCATCCTCGTCACTGTCTGAATCGTTTGATGAGAACTCATCTCTCTTCTTCTTCTTGGGTGATGGCGATTCCTTAGACTTCTTGATGGAGACTTTTTCGACTTCAACGACTTCTTCCTTGGTTACTTTCTTCGATGAGCTGAAAATGCTGGCAACTGGTCCCTTCTTCTTCTTCTCTATTTCTTTTTTCGCGGGAGATGTCTTAACTGAAGATGTCTTTATCGGAGATTTTTTCGCTTGCGACTGCTTCACTGGCGAAGATTTGACAGGAGACTTCTGAAACAAGGGAATCAAACGAACAGTTTTTTTGAAGATATCTTACCTTCTCTTTACTTTTCTCCGTCTTTACAACATCCTTCTTTTCGTCGACTACTTTTGGATTTTCTTTGGAACTTCCTTCCGAAGCGTTCGTATTATTCAAGTCAGCTTTTTCTTCCTCCTCATCTTCTCCGTCCATATCATCGTCATCTTTCTCATCATCTTGCTCAATTTTCTGATTTGAGAATATCTCTTGATTACGGTACATTTCAAGAACTTGTTCAGAAGATGTTGCGTCATCAGGATTCTTATCATCACGAATACGAAGGAACCGAGGGAATCTTAAAGAAATTCCTTTGCCATCTTCAGTCAAACCTCCAGCAGCTTTGTGGCGAGGCGATATAGTAATGTCAGCACATTTAACTTCGAAAACAAGATGAGGAGCAAAAATATCGTCCGGTTTCAGAGTTGGGTCGAATTGATAATACACTGGGGCACGATCGATTTTCTTTTCTTGAAGAATTTTGAATTGCTCCGAAAGATCCTCATCGGTGAATCCTGTTCCAATCTTGCAGACACTTTCATATTCTTCTGTAGTTGGATTATAGCATCCAAGAAGATATCCTCCATATACTCCAGTTCTTTTTCCGTTTCCAACGTATGCACCCATCACAACAAGATCCAAAGTATCTCCGACACCATCGACGTAGTCTTTCTTCATTTTCAGCCAACTTTTCGAGCGACGAGAAATCTCATAAGTTGCTTCAGTATCAAGTGTTTTGATCATAAGACCCTCACATTTGTTTTGAATCGCCTCGTCGAAGAATGAGTTGATTTCGTCAGTGTCCATGGTGTCGACAGAAGTTGCAAAATAGAAACTGCCTTCAATCTTTTTGAAATTTTTACGTAGCAATTCTCGTCGTTTTCGAAGTGGTTGCCGGACGAGGGACTCTCCATTGAAGAATAGAAGATCGAAAAGGAAAACACCGACTTTGACACCATTGTCATCCGTTGCATTCTTTCGCTTCCGGGTGGTCAGTACTTGGAATGGGAGAATCGCTCCAGACTCATCGATTGCGACAACTTCTGCGTCTACGATGAACGATTCAACTCCTTCGCCGATGCAAGTTGAAATCTTCTCAATGATATCTGGGTATTTGGAAGTATTGTTCTCTTGATTACGACTGTAGATGAAGATCTGTCCATCTTCTCTCTTGTGTATTTGACCACGTTCACCATCATACTTCCATTCACAAGTCATCGTTTGGTTTCGGAATCTACGCATGATCTCATCGATTCCCTTTGTTGGATGGGCTAACATTGGTTTCAGTGGAATTCCCGGAGTCAGCTTACACTTCTCCTCGAGAACTTCTATGCCTTCTGACAGAGCCACTTCGATTATACGGTTGTAATTGGGGCACTCACTGTAAAACATTAAACTGTAACGGAGAAGTCAAATCGTTTGAAATTACCAATAAGCAGTTTTCACTCGCTTCACATTCGTGTCCTTCAATGCGTCTAATTTTTCTCCAGTCATTTTCTTCTCACTTTCTGCTTGCTTGGCAAATGTGAATGCATGTCCGAGAGCGGATAGAACACTTTGCTCGCCGAGCCCTATCCTCATTTTTCCTGCGAGCATTCTAACTAGGAATCGTGCTTCGATTCCTTGACAAGCGATTAGTAACGCACTGATAGCATCTACTTTTTTGTTCATGGCTGAAACTCCACTAAGTTTGGCAATTTCTGTAAGCTTATTGAAAACAGTCGGAACAGTCAATGCTTTTGGAACGGCAAGCATCTTTTGATTGGAACGCGATTGCTGTGCAACTGTTCCCAAATCTCCTTTGATCCGCAGATCCTCTTTGATCTTGCTCTCAGTTCTACCGGTTGCTTTAGCAACAGCCTGTAAATTTGGTTTTGTTAAATATTTAGAATAGTCAAAAATAGACGTGTTACCTTGATCAGTGAGTTTTCGGCAACACCCAGCTCCAAACCCTCATAGGATGGTCCAAGTTGATTAACTGACATGTAAACACATGCTGTCAGATCTTCTGGTGAAAAATCGAGAACTTTAGTAAAAAACTGGGCGAGTTCATCAATCTTCTTCTTTCCCGACAAATCCTCAATTTTTTCCAGGGTTTGCGCGAAGTCTTTATAGGGAACTCTGTAAAAAAACTTATTACTACTTGGAAATAACTCGATGAACATACTTTGTTCCTTTCGCCCATTCCACAGCCGCTTTTCCTGCTTTTGAGAAGAACATCTGGAAATTGCGAAATTTATTTGAAAAACGAAAATATGGTGAAAGTTATATTTACGGTTGAAAGACAAGTTGAGAACATATTCGAAAATCCTGAAAATGTTTTTTATCGTTTTTGATAACGGCTTCTATGAATACAGAGATGGATTCATGAGTTCTTGGTCGATAATGCGACTGAGCGAGAAGACGTCGAAAATTCGCGTTTTTTCGAATTTCGCGCACTTTGTATGGAGCGCGCTTACGCAACATGTGAGAGAGCGTGTAAGACGAATAGACGCAGCGTGAGACTCTGTCTTTCCCACATTTCGAGGCCAGAAGCTGATGTTAAACAGTTCTGAATGTGTTATTTATCGGACATAGGTTTGAATATAATAATTACAGAATGCTCCCAAAAGAACAAGTCAATTCTCTGCTTCAGAAGGAATCCCAAATACTTGAGAAAGTTTTTCTTCTGGTCAGATGTACCAAAGGGGTTGAATGGAAATATCAGCAACCACGATTGACATCAGCTGAAGAATGGATTCTGAAAGCTGATGAAATTATGTCTGACCTTGAAAAACTGACAGATGATATTGTGCTTGCTGAAAGTTTCAAAGAGGTATTATTGCATGAAATGTGAAACAAGCTAAGCAGTATTTTTTCAAAAGATCAATTTAACCGAAAGTGCTCAGCTGACGAAACGGCTCATCGATGTATCCAACGCAATCAATAATATCACGAAGAACATGTACAAAATCGTCAACCACAGCCAAAATGAGCGTCTGTTTGCTGCGTAAGAGTCGTGAATGTATTCTGAAAACATTATACTTTCAGAAAAGTTGTAGCTCAGCAACGTATCAAAACACTGTTGGTAGATCAAGAAGAAGCAGAGAAGCTTCTTGAATATCGGACTAACTTCATTCGACAAAACGATGAGAAGAAAAAACAAGAATTGAAAAGAATGCGGGAGACAGAAATTATCGAAGAAATGCGTTCTCAGGCTTTGAAAGAACACAAAAGTAAGATATGTTTTCCTTGGAAGCTTTTTTATCTATTGGTTAAAGAATATCTGTCATCACTGGAAGCCGTCAAAGCACTGGGAGAAGTTGAAGAAAACACTGTCATATCAAACGATTCACTCGCAGATGATGTCACGCTTACAGAAGGGCATCTTGAAATCAGAAAAAGACGACGTTCACGAAGTCTAACTCGCAAAGTCGTCGGCACCATCAAAGTTTAAAAATTAAAATATCTCTTATACAGTGTCGTTGATTTTCAGAAAACCATTCGCAGAAGTGTGTCACTCTTCAATAATCACCGAGATCATCACCAGAATCCAACTCCTAAAATTTAATGTTTCAAGATTCTCCCACTGTTTATATTGCTCGGAACTCTCACTTTCTGTGAAATATTATTGCCAAAATATTACTTTGTACTAAAATTGAATCTCATTTTTCATGATTGAATAAAAGAGTTCAGCGTTCAAGCATCTTTTGCACCGATTCCATTGTATATCCTTCATAATACTTCACCATGAATGTTCATCTGCTTCTTGAATCACTCTATGAAGTAGAAAAACCAACAGAACCAGTAAAATTAAACTGACTGCATCACGGTTTTTAGTTGCTGTTTCAGTGTTTTTCTTCTGAAATGTCTAAGGCTCGTTTTGAAAAAAGCTTTAGTATTTAACTAACATCCTCAGTGGCATACATGCAGAACACTCAAAGCTGTGCAGTACTGCCGGCAGTGATTACTCTGTCTTATTTTTCAAAATTAAAACTGCTGGCAATATTCAGTGAATGTAAAGCGTCATGCGGCATACATGCGAAAAGGCATGCGGCGCCTTGCATTTTCTCGCCCCGCCCACTTTCATTCGAATATGTTTTCAAAGAGGTTTTTTGAAAATGAACGTTTTCTTCAAAACCCTCTGAATTTCTGAAATTTTCTCTATAAATTTTGTACGCATATTGCTTTTAGCGTATTATCTCGCTTCTGAAATGCTTTAAATAGGTTAAACCTTTGATTATTCCAGAAAGATGGCAGCTACTGTATCAGATCCTTACGAACAAATACCAGCTGCTCCAGCAGATGAAGAAATCGGTATGTGGTTAAATAGAATATATGATTTTATATCTTTTTTCTAGAAGACAGACCAGAAGCGGACAAAAAAGCTCTACTCAACCAAGTGTTCAGGTCGCTAAAACGAGCACAAGACCTTTTTTATCATGATTATACACAACCACCTCCAATGCCAGAAGAAAAGTGAGTTTTGATTTGACCGTTAAATTTTTCTCTCACTATCGAAGTTTAATTTTCTAAAAATCAAATTTTCGCTGAATGCAACTCAAGATTTTTTAGTGACAATCTCATACGATCTATAAAAAGAACGCATGAATATGGAAGTGTTATCAAAAAAGTCGAAGAAGCGAAAAAACGAAGAGAAAACGAGATGCTGGCTCTACCTACTTCCCAACCTTCTGTTGGTGCTGGATCAGTAATTGCTGCAGCTGGAACTCCATTGGCTATTACGGATGGAACTGGAAAATTGGTGAATCAACAAGCATCATCCCAGAAAGGAAAACTGTTGCCTTTGGTACCTCTGGGCAGTAATCAAAATGGAGAAGACAAAACAACTCGGTCTCTCCTTCCATCAAAAGCGCCAATGATGATGAAGCCGAAATGGCACGCACCATGGGAGTTGTATCGCGTCATCTCTGGTCATACTGGATGGGTTCGAGCTGTGGATGTTGAGCCTCAAAATCAATGGTTCGCTACAGGCGGTGCTGATCGAATTATCAAAATCTGGGATCTAGCCTCGGGTGGTCTCAAGTTGTCCCTAACCGGTCATATCAGTTCAGTGAGAGCTGTAAAGGTTTCGCCAAGGCATCCTTTCTTGTTTAGTGGAGGAGAAGACAAGCAGGTTTCGTATTTTTTTTCTCGCTAATTATTGCAAATTCTTTTTTCAGGTGAAGTGTTGGGATCTTGAGTACAACAAAGTTATTCGTCATTATCATGGACACTTAAGTGCAATCCAAGCTCTTTCTGTTCATCCATCTCTTGATATTCTTGTCACATGTGCTCGTGATTCAACGGCTAGAGTTTGGGACATGAGAACTAAAGCTCAAGTTCACTGTTTTGCTGGTCATACAAACACTGTCGCTGACGTCGTCTGCCAATCAGTTGATCCGCAAGTCATCACAGCCTCACATGATGCGACTGTACGTCTTTGGGATTTAGCTGCTGGTCGATCGATGTGCACACTCACTCATCATAAGAAGTCGGTCAGAGCTTTAACGATCCATCCAAGGCTGAACATGTTTGCATCTGCGTCTCCCGACAATATTAAGCAATGGAAGCTGCCAAAGGGAGAATTCATGCAGAATCTATCTGGTCACAACTCCATCATCAACACTTTATCTACCAACGACGACGGAGTTGTTGTATCAGGAGCTGATAACGGATCTCTTTGTTTCTGGGATTGGAGATCTGGATTCTGCTTCCAAAAGATGCAAACGAAACCTCAACCAGGATCTATCGAGTCTGAAGCTGGAATTTATGCTTCATGCTTCGACAAGACGGGTCTCAGGTTTATCACTGCCGAAGCTGACAAGACTATCAAAATGTACAAACCGGATGACTCAGCGGTGAGAGAAATAATAATATTATTAATATGTCAAGAACTATTTCAGACCGAAGAATCTCATCCAATTGTATGGAGACCGGAAATCGTCAAGAAGAAGGCTTACTGAAGATATCAAATACTGCTCTCGCTCTCATTGTTGTCTTTTTCAAATTCAATTATCATAAATTATTTTTCCAACAAAAATTAATCTGTTTTCCTTCTTAATAACCGTTGATTCCGGATCATGTTTCTCCAATAATCCTCAAGAATTTGTTTTTGCACGTCATAATTTTCAGATGGCGAATCGCACGGAGAAAACTGCTAAAACTGTTAAAGGAACAAATCCTCAGTTTTTGGTGGAGAAAATCATCAGACAGCGTATTTATGACAGTATGTATTGGAAAGAACATTGCTTTGCACTTACAGGTAACAAAAACCCGCTTAAATTAAACACACTGTGCTTTTCCAGCTGAACTCGTCGTTGACAAAGGAATGGATCTTCGTTATATCGGAGGAATCTACGCTGGAAACATCAAACCCACGCCATTTCTCTGTCTTGCTCTCAAAATGCTACAAATTCAACCGGACAAAGACATTGTACTGGAATTCATTCAACAAGAAGAATTCAAATACATCAGAGCGTTGGGTGCAATGTACCTTCGACTGACATTCGATTCCACAGAAATCTATAAATATCTAGAACCATTGTACAATGATTTTCGCAAGCTTCGATTCATGAACAAAATGGGTCGATTCGAGGCAATCTACATGGATGATTTCATCGATAACCTGCTCCGGGAGGATAGATACTGTGATATCCAGCTGCCACGCCTCCAACGGCGATGGGCTCTCGAAGAAGTAGACATGTTACCACCGTACAAATCACTTCTTGATGGGGATCTTGTTGCGATGTCTGAATCTGATGAGGAGGAAGAAGAGGAAACGAAGAAGGAGAAACCACGATTGACTTCAAGAAGACGTAGTCGTAGTCGTGATCGTGAAAGAGAAGTTGGTGACAGACGAGAAGTACGGGAACGAGAGAAAATGAGAGAACGTCGAGAAAGAGGAGACGATGAGCCAGGCCCAAGCAGCTGTTTGAAAGATCGGGATGAACGAAGAAAGGATCGTGACAGAAGTCGTGAGAGAGATCGCAGAGACAGAAAAGGTTGAATAGATTTCAGTATTATTAAAACCACTTGATTTCTATTTTCAGATGATGAGCGACGAGATCGGAAGAAGGAGTCGTCTTCTCGTCGTGGTGCTGACAATGATGAAGACCGCGAGATTGCAGAGGCGAATGCTCTCCGTGCAAAACTTGGATTGGCTCCCCTCGAGCGATAAATTCGGCTTTTGTTTATATTTACCTTATTTTATTTCATTGCGATGTTTTCTCTCTCTCCCTCCCCCACCCATCTAACAATTTTCGTAATGAATTCTAAAAATGGACGTTGTCACACATGACATTGTGTAAATCGGCATTGCTTATACTTGTGAGCACCAACACCTATTTTCTGTACTTCTCGTCAAACGTAAGTATCGAGACGTCATGTAAGTGCACTTTTGCTTACTTTTTTGTTCGAAACTGCGAAGCAAGAAAAAACGGCGAGCAATCGGAAGTGGCTAAATGTTCAGTTCTTCTCCCACCTCCTCTAGTAAAAAAATTTGCGCTCGCTAAAATTTTCTTTCAATGTCATTCGAAAAACTTCTGATGAGTCTCCCCGGACACACAGAATGCGCTTGTCTACCGCTTTGCGTTGATTGTCAGTCACGGTGAGGAGACTAATTATCTATGAAGGAGATTGAATTATTCTCAATAGACAAGTAAAACATTTCAGAGTGGATGACTGTGTCAGCGGTAGAACATCTAGAAGTGAAGATATGAAATCCAGTTTCGGAAAGAAAGAAGGAGAATATTCGAGATTAGTGAGCAAATCCAGCAACAAATTGCTCAATTCTCTATGGGAAAAGGTAAATTCGTACAAACCGGAGACTCGTGAATTCTTCATCTTCAGAAGCAAATCCCAGAAGAAGGTTGGACAGAACACACCCTAGATCTATTCCTGTCATGGTTGTCATCTCACGACACCAACAATCGTGTTGATATGGTAAAGCGCGATGTGGGTCTAATCCTATTTTTATATTCTATTCAGATTCCGGTTGGAGCTGGAGAACGTGAAGGAAGAGTTTTGACGCCATTGGTTCAACGCTTACATTCAAAGTGAGATTTAGTGAGATTATTTTCCTACTGACATATTGTATCATACTCAGCCTGACGCATGGAATTGGGCGAAGTGGAAACTTGTTGGAAATCCAACCGAAAGCCCTGGGATCATCTATGCTGGCCTGCCTTTCCAATGAGTTTGCCAAGCATGCACTTCATCTTCTAGATACTGTGGAAAACTACGAAATTGCATTGTATTTCACATTCTTTCAGGTCTACAAACAGTTAAATCGTGTATAGTAGTCCCATTATGTACTGGAATGTCTCTATCTCTTTGTATGACTTCATGGAGGCGACGAAGGCCGAAAGCAAAATACGTGATTTGGCTCCGTATTGATCAGAAGTCATCGTTAAAAAGTATCTATCACGCTGGCTTCGAAGCAATTATTGTAGAACCAACAAGAGATCATGATGCACTAGTCACTGACGTAGAAACAGTGAATCGAATTGTGGAACAAAGAGGAGAAGAGCTGCTATGTGTGATGACAACGACATCATGTTTCGCCCCTCGATCCCCAGATAACATTGAAGCGATATCAGCAATTTGTGCCGCCCACGACGTCCCTCATTTAGTAAATAATGCCTATGGATTACAAAGTGAAGAGACAATTCGAAAGATTGCTGCAGCACACGAATGTGGACGAGTGGATGCAGTGGTTCAATCACTGGATAAAAACTTCCAGGTTCCTGTTGGCGGAGCACTGATTGCTGGATTCAAACAAAGCCATATCCAATCGATTGCACAAGCATATCCAGGAAGAGCTTCTTCTGTTCCATCTCGAGATCTGGTTCTTACTTTTCTCTATCAAGGACAATCGGCGTTTCTAGAGCCATTCCAGAAACAGAAACAGTAATTATAGTAAAATCTTCTGAATCGTCAAATATTTAATTTTTAGGATGTTCCTGAAAATGCGCAGAAAACTGACTTCCTTTGCTGAGAATGTTGGAGAATGCGTATATGATGTTCCGGAAAACGAAATCAGTTTGGCAATGACTCTCTCGACGATTCCACCCACGAAACAGACTTTATTCGGCTCTGTTCTTTTCTCTAGAGGAATCACAGGAGCAAGGTGAAGGATAACGAAATACTGAAGATCAATAAAATAACATTTCAGAGTTGTGCAATCAAGTCAATCCAAAACAACAATCGAAGGATGCGAGTTTGTAAACTTTGGATCTCATACTGCAGAACAACACGGAGGATATTTGAATATTGCCTGTTCTATTGGAATGGCAGACCATGAATTGGAAGAACTGTTCACTCGACTCACTTCAAGCTACGCTAAATTTATTCGACAATTAGCAAAGGAAGACGATAGGCGTGGTGGTTCCTCAGGAAGAAGAGTTCCTATGAATGAATCATTCGATATGGAGAACGATTAACAAGTCCTTGTTGTATTTTATTTTATTGCAACTTTTAATTTTCCTACCGGTGTCCCAAATTGCTTCCCCAAATAAATTCACACATGAAGCCCCAATTTTAAGAACTATAAGTTATCTATAACTCTTCGCGAAGGTCGCAAACATCGGTGAAAAAAAACTGATAAGAGGTTGAGTGTCATGTGTGCAGATTGTGACGCTGTCAATGCTTTTGAACGTTTTAGTTCTTTGCATCTCTGCAGGTACAGAGTACGATTCTGCGAGAAGCCTTCTTTTCCGTGGAAAGTGATGTAATTATGGTGATAAGATTATCAGTTAAATGGCATAACAAAATGGTCGAAGGGTCAGAATAACTAAATGTCGGACAAAAATATATGATTTATGATGACAGTAAAAAATGAAAATGTTCACTGAACAATTATTCTAGTACAAAAAAATTGGAGCTGTGGAAATGGAACGCTGGTGGCCGTGTTCGAATGTCCCACAACGACAACTACAGTAACCTGGAATATCTTTCGTTTACCGTATTTCTTTCCTCGGTTTCACTGTTTTTGTCGGAAAATTTAAAAAAAGGTTACGGTATTTGTCGTTGTGGGACCTTCTAGTGTTTCTCTTCCACACCTCCAATTTTTTCAACAGTATAATGAAAATAACGACTCCAGGGAAATTAGGGCAAACTTGGACATCTATGAAAGTGATCATTAACTGCTCGATTTATCGGATATTTACCAAATGGGTAAAATTGAAAAAGTTTCAACTTCATCGAGTTTCAACTTCTCATTTGTACAAATCCGTTCCGCGGAATTAGACAATAAACGACTTCTCTCCTTACCGATCTTCCCAGTTTCTACAATTTTTCAGAATTCCTTTAACCGAATTTTCTGTTTACGGTCTAAATTCCAGAGTTTCAGTCACTTTGAAATTTGATAATTTGAAAAACTTTTCCGAATTTTAAATTTAAATTTTTTGAACATTGTTCATCTTATTGTTAATTCAACTAAATCCATTGAATGCGTTTATTATTTTGGGCGTCAGGTGTCTTTTTTGCACACAGCCTGCACATCAAAAACCTTTTATTTTATAGATTCATGAAATTCGGTCTATTCAAGACTGAAGACCAGTAACAAGTACTGATAAAACTATAAATCACGATGTACCCCAAATGTGGTAAACAACTTTTGCGAACAATCACGAAGAAGAACTACCGTAATCCTTGAATGTTTGATTCCCACATGTATTTTTCAAAGTTATCGGTCGCCAAAAGCCGGAGATTCATGTTCTCGTGACGATGGCGTCCAATTGATTAGAAGGGTTAAGCGCATGCACACTTCCGTGATAAGACCCGAAGAAAGGAGGGGCGAATAAATCAAAAATGGTTGCGTCGTGTCGTTTCGGTGCAAAACTCTCTCGCTTGATGCGAAGTCAGCACAGCTGATAAAGGAAAAAGCATAAAAGAGGGTACTCTAGGAATAGAAACTCAGACTTTTGTTCTTATCTCCATTGAACTTTTCTGTTATTTTTCTTGAATTCTTGTCTACTAAATATGGTTAGTTGTACGGATTCAAGACCCAGTCAATTACATATTCTTTCCCAGAACTCCATTATAATGCACGCCGCAGTAATCTCCTCCTACTTCACTGGACCAACAATCCTTCCAGAAGAAACGGTTGAAGAAAAAGTTCAAGAGACAAAGAAGGCATTGGGAGAAGAAGAGAAACTTGTGGATGACAATTCTATGGAATGCTTTCTCGAGTTCCTGATCGAATTCTTCAATTGACATTGATCTCATCATATTTTAACTTATCTTCGAAACTGTGAAAGTATTCACATTCCTTTGTGTAACCTCTATGAGGTATCATTTGACTTTCAAATGAATTTGTATTTATTCAAACGATGCTCTTTTCGTCGTTTTCAAAGGGTTCCGATCAAAAGTTTTTAAATGTTTAGATATTCTGTATTTCGAATTTTTTATTATTACGGAAAAATTCAAAAAAAAGTCTGAAATCCCTGAAAAACGCGCTTGAAAATATTTGCGACTATGGACAAGGACTTAAGTTCCCGTGCAGTCAGAAATCTAGACCAAAAAAACCTTTTAAAAAACTTAGGCCAGTTTTAGATGGCAACTTTTCAGAATTTTTTTGTTCGATCTTTTGTCTGAGCAAAAAGGAGTACAGTAATTAAATTCTCAGTGTTTTTGTGTTCATTTTTCAAGAACGCGGAAGGGAAAAAGGGAAAAAATTAAGAGAATTTATTAGATTTTCATGGTGTCTTATACATCGGATCCAGGTGAAAACATACGTAATAACTCGCTTTATATTGCATTCTATATTTCAAACCTATCCTCATATGTGCTCCAATACAACGTCATTTCTAGCTTCAGATGAATTTTATAAAATCACACTTCATTGTCTGTCAGTGTTTAAAATTCCTCTTCACACCCTTGGAGCGTATATCGTTATAGCGAAAACGCCGGCTAAAATGTCTTCTGTTAAAACCAGTATGCTGATTCTCCATGTTTTAAGTTCCTTTCTTGACATTTATTTAAGCTTTTTATGTATTCCTGTATTCACCCTACCAGTTAGCGCTGGATATCCGTTAGGTATTTCTGTATGGCTTGGCATTCCCACACCTTTACAAGTTTACCTAGGTTGTACAATGGTTAGTGGTAAGTTTTGATTTGAAAGCGAGGAAATGACTAATTGGATTTAGCTGTTTGTGTATCAATCCTTGGGTGTTTTGAAGAGAGAAATTATATTCTCAAGAACGGAAATTCCCAGACAATCAGATGGAAACGAATTATATATTTAGCTTCTCTTTACACAGTTTCCTGCCTTTACATGCTTCCAACTTATTTGTTTATGCCTGATCAGGTGAACGGAAAATTTGGAATACTGCAGGTAACAATATCACAAAAAATGACATCACCATTGGATAGTTTCAGAAAGTCGCATGTATTCCAGAAGATGTTTTAAATCGTCCAGGGTTTTTTGTCCTGGCTGTAGATGGTACTGTATGTGTGCTCTCAATCTGTTTGGATACAGTTTTTCTGTTCGCTCAACTTATGTATTTTGTCATTTCAACTACATACCGTCTTTCCCAAACTAGTTCAAAATCAAATGCAACGTATAAACTTCAAAAACAATTTATGGTTTCTCTTGGACTTCATACTCTGATTCCAACTTTTATGATTGCGCTTCCAGTAATATATTTAGCTGTGGCAATATCCCAGAATATTTACAATCAAGGTTAGAACTCTCGAATTGAGCTGAAACGGAGATTGAAATTTTTCAGCGGCTACAAATATAGCCCTTGCTGCTATCTCAATGCATGGTGTACTATCCACAGTAACAATGCTTCTTGTTCATAAACCATATCGGGTGGAAACATTGGCAGTGTTCCGAATGAAAAGATATCTTAACACCCGCATCAATACATCCTGATTCTGATGAACAGTTTCTGATGGAGAAATGATTAGAACTCATAACATTGAATAAAAAAAATGTTATTTTTGTTATTCATGCTTAACTTTCAGACATTATTATGTCTGATCCCTGATTTTTTCAGCAGCTGCAGTTGTGTTTCTCAGATTTTACCCTCGCTCTTACATTTCGAATCCACTAAACTAAGCATGTGAATGTGCTCATATGAAACTTCATATTTTGATTCTGATGAATTCTATCTGACAGCTCTTCATATTCTAACAGTAATTGAAATTCCTGTTCATTTGTTTGGTGCGTTCATCGTGATCTTCAAAACTCCAAAAAAGATGGCATCAATCAAAAATAGTCTATTATCTCTCCACTGTTTGAGTGCATTCGTAGATTTTTATTTGAGTTTTCTCACATCTCCAGTTTTATCAATTCCTTCTAGTGCTGGATATCCATTGGGAGTATCTAAATGGTTAATGGTTCCCACTTCAATTCAAGTTTATTTGGCATTCTCACTTGTTAGCGGTAAAAATTAGAAATTAGTACAAACTTATTTTGTTGTTTTCCAGCAGTCAGTGTTTCAATCGTTCTACTCTTTGAAGGTCGTTACTATGTTCTAGCGAACGGCGCGAACTCCAATCGTAATTGTAAACGAAAATTGCATTTGATATTTCTCTATTGCTTATCCTTTTTATTTTTCTTGCCCAGCTTTTTCAATATTCCTGATCAAAAAGAAGGACAACTTTCACTAATTCGAAAGATACCCTGTTTTCCTCCAGATCTCTTGAATCGTCCCGGCTTCTTCGTTCTTGCAGTTGATGCCACAGTTTGTGCGATATGTGTTGGATCAATGTCTTCATTTCTAGTGATTCATGGTTTATTTTATGTGATGTCAATCGTTTGGCAACTTTCGGGTTCTTCTTCAAAATCCAGAAATTCTCACAAGCTACAGAAGCAACTAATGATAACTCTAGGAATACAGGTGGTAATTCCTATTTCCGTGTTCTTTGTTCCAACTTTTATTTTAATTTTTCTTGTCTGTAGTAATCAGTTCAATCCGAGTAAGTTCAGTATGAATCATCACTTGAATCTTCTCCGGTTTCAGCTGTCACGAACATGTCTGTCGTGATGGCTGCTGCTCATGGAGTAATATCTACAATGACAATGCTCATTGTACATCGACCTTATAGAGAAGCCACACTGGATACATTCTACTGGATAACTATGAAGGAAAGAAAACCAACAGAATCTAAAATTATGATAACTGTTGTTGGTCAGAATGCTCAAATAGCAAAAAGAGTTATTTCATAAAGAATAAATCATTTTATAAAAATATCTATGACATTGAAATAACAATCATTCAAAGTAGATTTTTGATAATCTGTTGATAAATGTTCTGACCGGGCAAATTTAATTAAGTATTGCTCCCGATTTTTTGACCATCGACTAAAGCAGCTGAAAGAAAGGAGCAGCTGAAAAAATCTTTAGAAATTGAAAACTTCTATCAGTTTGATTTTTAATTTTCTCCACTTGATGGCTGTGCTCACTTGTTTGGCATGTGCTCAGAGGGTATAAGCTTTCTAGCAACTGATGAGTTCTATGCGGGCACACTACATATTTTAACTGCGATTGAAGTTCCTGTTCATTTATTTGGAGCATATATCATAGTTGCAAAGACTCCAAAAAAGATGAGAACTGTTAAATCCAGTATGCTCCTACTTCATTTTGTTGGAGCATTTGTTGATGTTTATCTCAGTTTCATTGCTACTCCAGTACTCACTTTGCCAGTATGCTCGGGATATCCGCTAGGATTTTCATTGGTTTTAGGCATTCCAACAAACGTTCAAGTTTATTTAGGAATTTCATTTGTTGGAGGTGAGGCAGCTCAGTTGACTGATTCAAAATTTTCTGTTTCAGTGATATCCGTAACTATTCTCACTTTTTTTGAAGACCGCTACCACAGGTTGACACATGGACATGGGTCAAATGGAAAAAGAAGCTGGAAACGCATAATCTATGTTGTGATTCATTATATTGTTTCTGTGTTATTCATTGCTCCTGGATATTTGAACATTCCAGATCAAGCGGTTGGAAGAGCGGTTACGAAGAAAGTAAGATTTTAAACCGCGAATTTAGGTCAGCATGCTTGAATTTCAGACGATTCCGTGCATACCGGACGATGTCCTTACTCGCCCTGGATATTTTGTATTGTCTGTCGTGAATATCATTCCATGTCTATGTCTCGTTTTCATGTTCTCTTTGGTGATGCCACAAACGATTTATTTTGTAGGAGCCATTTTTTACTATCTATTACATACTGTATCCAAATCACAAACCACAAATCGTCTCCAAAAACAATTTTTCTTTGCGCTGTGCATACAGATATTTGTTCCTATTGTTGTTCTAATGTTTCCAGTTTTATATATTGTTTTAGCAATTTGGTTTGACTACTACAATCAAGGTAGGAACGATACCGTTTCTTTTTCAATATGTATTCCCTATCTTTTATAGGAGCCACTAATATTGCTCTTGCTGGTATTGCGTTTCATGGAATCTTGTCTACAATAACAATGCTCATAGTCCATACACCATACCGTAACACAACACTTTCAATGTTCCGACTCAGTCCTAAAAATACTGGAAACAATTCACAACAGATCTGGAAAACTGTTGTTGGAGCACATGTCACTCAACATAGTGTTTGGTAATTTTAATGAATTATTATAAACATTTTTGTGAAATAAGCCTTTTATTAAATGCAAGTATTGGAAAAGAGAGCGAGTTAATGGTTTTGGTTGTTGCTGTTATTGGTAGCAATCTCCTGATCCAACTGATACGTGTCGTAAATTAGCTCTTCTTGCCATTGATAAGGAACGAAATGGAGGATGGCATGGCTCTGAAAACTTTCCTAGTCTTGATCAGTTTTCTGCAGCTCCAAACTTCATCTTTAAAAGTTCAAATTCTAGGCGAGTACGCAAATTAAAAAGTGACAGGTGTTTTTAAAACAGAATTCGCAATTCGATGCATTTGAAATGTTATCCAAACATAAAACAGTTTACAGTAGATCGGTACTTCTCGTGACAAATATTCAAGAAACACATTAAAACAAAGCTGTCTAAGTAAAAGTTCAAAAGGGAAAGCTCGTGAGGAAATTGCACTTTTACGATGGAGAAATTTAAAAAATCAATTTTAATGAAAAAAGGAAACTTATGGAAATTTCAATCTCTTTTACTATTACCGCAAAACCTGTATTATATCAGAAGGGCCCTTTCAATAGACGGACCTCCTCCAAAACTACTCAACTCCTTCTTTCTCAGAAATTTAGTCAATTTTGGCAAAATTGATAGGTTTTCATGAACTTTGTACAAGAACTCCCTGATTTTTGTAGTAGAAACTCACCGCAAAATGGACACTTTTGGCCCTCAGACGGATGTGAGCGATTTCTTCTGGAAATGTCTCTAGCTCGATTTCAGCTTTTTTCAACTTCGATGGAGGATCATTCCCTGTGGAAACACGAGATCCGATACAACCCATTTTCTGAAACGACGGATTGTATGTGGATAGAGAGTTGAAGAAAATGGGTATTGATGTAGAAGTAGAGAAAAAATGAAACGAAAAGAGAATGGAAATGAATGGCCTCTTACCGTTTTTCGAAATGTGCAAGATGGTCACCCGAATGGAAGTCTCACATGCTACTGCCCTTCAACAGCTTGACTGTTTACCTAGAAGAAAAAAGAAAAGAAGAAGAAGATGGCTGTGGTGTCCGTCAGTTGATGTTGACATCATTCACAGAACAGGGAAAAATTTAAAAGAATATTTTCAAATTAATTATCTTTATTCAGAAAAGATGACTTCAAGAACTTATTTATGGAAGATTCTTCCGAGAATCGCACCCAATTTAGCAGCAGCTTGTTTGACTGCCTCTGGTGATCCTGGAGCTGGAGCTTCTGTAGTATCTGGAGCATCAGTGACATCAGACTTGGCTGCTTCAGATACATCATCAGATGCGGCTGTTGAGTTTTCAGTATCTTTGTCAGTGACAGCAGCAGGAGCTGATGGTGTTTCTGTTACTTCGTTGTTAGCAGCAGCACCAGTTGTTGGGGCATCTGTGGCTTCCGCGGTGATGTCGTTGGCGGTTTCCTCGGCTGGAGCTGATGTGGAGACGTCCGAAACATCTCTCTTTCTTCTAACAGGTGGGATAACAGGGGCTGCAGGGACGCCAGTATTGAAAAAGTCAACGAAATTCATAAATGCGAAGATCTCGGTAGAGAATTCTCTAACTGCCAATTCTAAAAGAAGTCCTATGGCAGAATTATCCAATCCCATGCATGTGACTTGGGTGACATCAACTGTTTTGGAATAATCGTCTTCATCATAGAGATCAATAGCGATTCCTTCGTATCGGCGTTCGTCACGATCGCATTTCACAACAACTCCTGCGGTGCTTCCCATTGCAATCAAGTTGGTTTGGCGAACGTCACGAGAGCTGTTGTGGCGAGCTAAACGATTCGAAATTTAAGAAAAATCCTCTGAATCAGTTTTTTTACCGAAAAGGAAATTGACGTTCTTAGGATCTTTGTCACAACTGATGAGAGCATGAACATTCCTTCCGTACTTTACATATCTGATGACTGGTGGGTAGAAGGCTTCAGCTGGAATACCTGGCAACTGTCCGGCGAAGGTGGTGATTTTTGGGCATTCTAAAAAATTATGGAATCACAATCACCATTGGAACCTAACCACTCACCTTTGTGATGACGTTCGCGACTGCTGTAGTCCCAGTAGTGAGAGTCGTAAACGGCAGGAGGATAGTACACCGGATTGGAAGAGTAAGATGGGCGATTGTAAGTTGAGCCAGATCCGTAGGTGGCAGAAACTGCTGAGACGGCCACGGAAAGTGCTAGAAAAAATAACATCTTTGGAGGATGATGCTTTTTGGGGCACAGAGGGCCTTTTATATTGAGCAGATGAAAGAAAATATAGAAAAAATTGAAATTGAGCATCATCGATATTATTGAAAGGATAGTCATAACAAAGATATGGGATGCAGGGTCTTTGAATCATTGGGAACAAAACGAAACAATGAAAGTTTTGATTTACAATGCAAGAGACAACACAAAACGGATATGAGAAAGGATAATATATCCTATTGGGGTCCAAAAAGTATCAGAAATGGTTGATAATTTTCAACTTCCCGTTAATTTCAGATTATATGATTACGGTTGGCTTCTTGTGGATTTAGCATTCGACTGAAGATTTTGTTTTCTCTTTTTGACGCAGGCTATAAAATTGGAGATAATAGTGTAATGAATGTAAAACTTCTGGTCTGAAATATCTGATAGTAAAACTGAAGATTATTAACTGTATGCTGATTATATTGATCGTTTCAGTTGATAAGTGAATTTTTCTGAATTTAATTTGGAAAATTTCTTGATGACGTCAACCGTCTTCAATTTTTTTTTCATACTCTCATAACATAATTTGAATCCTAGATTTTTTATTTTTTTAATATAAACATAGAATATGACGAATCGAATCTTTTTGAAAATATTTTCCCATCTTCGTTATAAAAGCTCTGACAGAGACCAACTCGATACCTTCGATTCCGAACAATGATTCTGAATCTTTTTACCATTTCGGCGGCTCTCTTTGGCCTTGCTGTCTGCGGAAACTATGGCCGAGACAACTACGATGCAGCCAACTCCAACGGAAATGGCTACTACGCAGGACCACATTTTGTAAATGACAAAGACTGGGGCAGCAGCAGCAGTAGCAGCAGCGAAAGCGACGAAAGTAAGAAAATAAGGAATACGTTTATAAAATACTGCAATTTCAGAACGGGAGTGTGCCCGCCTTGGAGTGTTCAATGTCACCAACTCTTTCGCACCATTGTTCTCCGCCCCAAAGATAGCCTACTACACTCGTCAAGGAAAAGATAAGGCTATCGTTGTCTGCCCGAATCCTCAAGTTCAAATCCTCGTGGCTAAGTCAAGAAATGCAAACCCAACGGCAGAAAACATCAAAAATTACGCTCTTATCTCCATCAGTAGCAAGTCCGGTGTTATTCTCAAGTGCAACAAACGGAAGGATCGGTGCGTTGATAACAATATAATTTTTTCATGGAAAATATTCAATTTTAGATATGAAGGGGTCAACTTGCCAACCGGAAACACAGTACCACTAGACGCCGTCGCCTGTGTGACTGCCAATCCAGATGGAATGGAGGAATTTGTTGAGCCAATTTATGACTTCCTTGTCGGTTTCGACAAAATCAACACCGGAGGTCTTCCATAAGAGTACATATTAATGTGCAAAAGAAAAATTATCGAATAAATGTTTTCCCATTTACTAAACAAGTGTTTCTTATTGATATTTATCATATTGGTTTTTTAAAATGGAAAGTGAAAGTTCGAAGCCTAAAAATTCGACTCAAAAATATGATATGATGAATATGATCAGCTTTTCAGCGTACAAAGTGTGCTGAATAAGGACAAGGTACTCATTTGATTTCAGATTCCCTGGAGCAACTAGAAACAAATACCGTAAAGCCTGTAACAAAAGCTCCCTTTTTGGTTATTCTATTTCAGGTCTTATGGTAGTTTTTTTTTCAAACGAGTTTGTAAAGTGATTCAGAAGTTTCAGACGGGCTTTGAGAATTTGCTGAAATTTGTACTAAGGTACTTTCGAACATGCTGAAAACGGTTTCGGGAATATCTTGGTCCCATTCCCAATAGGAATCAAAATATGGGCTCTCAAAGTGTTTTCAGTACTAAATTTTAGCCAAAAATTCGCATTTTTCGAGCTTTAAAAGTCGTTTTTCAGGATGGATGTTTTTGAGTGCGAACTCATTTTCAAACATTTCTCTATCATCTGAAATACTTGCTGAACATTTTCAAGAAAAAATTGTTTTTTTTTTGAAAAATTTTGGAAAAAATCACCATGGAGTCCCCACTTTGAAAGTGATTTTTTAAAGGTGACTTTTTGAAAAGTTTTAAAAAATGTTCCAATAATTCAGAAACATTAAAAATAGCATTCTGACAAAATTAGACAGTCCAATTTCGGCTTTGGGCTCTGAAAATCTCCAAAGTGTGTTTGTCGTTAGAACTTTATCAATCCCAAACTTCTTAAATATTGCTGGAAATTAACTGGAACCTATAGAAACAGGTTCAAATCTTGTATGTGATCGATTTAACAGTACCCCACCTCAAAAAGAGCAAAGTTGAGCAATTTTCAGAGGCTGAAGCTTTCGTTTCTTAACAATAGAATGCTGTAAGGACCAATTGAAAAGATAATTTTTAAACTTTTAATAAAGTTCTCATAAGTTTCATTTTTAGTGGGAAAACCATTGAAATTCATCAAAAAGTATCAAAAAGTTTCTAGAGGGCCGAACTGGGAATCAAAAATTGGTTTCAAAAAACGCAAAAAAAAAGTTTTACCACAGTGGGGGTCGAACCAGCATTCAAAAACAATTGACACCCCTAATGAGCCACCTCTTACCACAACACCACATGCACAGGTGATTCGTGATTGACCAATTACAGATGAAGAGCTATAAACGACCCAATTACTCACCTGCCGCGAACTAGTGGTTCTACAAATGACCATTCACGAGCAAAATTCGTATCTTACTAACTGGCCCTATAAAAGTTCCACAATTGACCAATCGCGAAAAAAGTCTTGTGTTTTCTTTTTCGAAGTTCTTTCACCTATATTGGTTATTTTTCATCGTTTTTTTGCAGTTTTCTTTGCAATTTTTGTCCGTAAATTATTATTTAACCTACAAGAACATACTAGAATACTGTATCAGCAATTATTTCGCTTTTTATTTAAAGAAAAATTTTAAAAAATGGCCGTGAGACAAACGTCGGAAGCTAGAAGTATAAGTTTCGGTTTATTCTGGAGTTAGAATTGCTACTGTACTTTAAAAAGGTGAAAAGCGTTCAGAAAGTCCGAATTTCTAAACCAATTTTCACAGGGACCCAGAAAATCTGAATTGTTCTGGTACGTCGAGGACAATCCAGAAAAAAAGAATTTAGGAAAGTGGAAAGAAGGAAGAGCTGCAGTCAACGGTGGGTAGAATTCGAGAAATCCGAAAGAAAACTTCAAATTTCAGACGGTGTTGATCGGGAATTCGGAATTATCAAAGTGGAGGATTTTAAAAAGTTCCAATATCTTGTGTCGGAGGTATAGTGAGAAAACTAGTGGGAACTTGAAATCTATAAAAATTATTTCAGTTTCTTCGAAAAAACTATCAACGTCATCATCTGCTCTTAAATCGGTTCGTCATCGACTAAAACAAAAAGGGACAAAACGAGAAACTCCTGCGCGATACCAGCAAGTACGACTACATCGGAAAGGAATGACTTTTAACCAGTTTTTTGTGTTTTTCATTGTTTTTTATGTAAAATAAATCGTTTTTGAGCAGCGGCTAGCTTCTAGATCCAAAAAAAAATATGCCAATTATTGCTCTCAATTGTAGAAGATTTGCTCGCGATAGGCGGAATATTGATCGTTTGCGGTGGCGCTTTCGCGATTGGTATGTAAATGGCCTGCGGCAGGCATGTCCCGATGTACCCATGGCGATTTTTCGCGAACAATATTTCACCTATTATAGACGCTGCGCGAATCACCTGTGCACAACCGATATTTTCCTCTCACGCGGAATTGGTAGATGAGGGAGGGGGAAGCCGAAATCGGCTGCGTGGCAAAATCGGACCAAATTTTCAGACGAAGATTGTCAGCTTTCTAATGAGAATGGGACCTAGATTTTTTTATCATCGTATAGAGGATGTCTCAAACTATATGTACTGAAATTTTCAGAAAATTCTCAAGTCTGAAAACACTTACCTTGTCAGATTGCAAGTGTTTATTATATTTTCAGCTTTGCGTGGATGTTTAAAACTGAGCGAGTATACCTCGAACATTGAACGAATTCTTCAATTCAATGAAACACATAAAAGTTCAACGCGATTCCCTCTCACTGTTTTTCTCAGTCCTGCTCAGAAGAAACAGGACGAATGTTTACTCAGCAAGGAAAAGACAGGGGGCAGCATCGGATCTCTTCTCTGACCATCAATTGGTCAATGTTATCATTACGGAATTTTATGAGAGGGTGATGAGGATGATTACCATTTAAAAAATGAACTGGAAGGGTTGGGAAAAATTGAGAATTAGTTTAGAAAAGGCTTTGGATTACAGATATCAGAATGATAATATCGGATAATTGATTTCTGACGGAAATAGTATTGATAAATTGAAAATATACAAATACAAGCCGAAATAGAAAATTTCGGCTGGTTAATTTATACAGTTTTCAGTTGAACTTATTAACTCTATTATCTTATTTTTAATAGCTCTAATAATAAAAAGATTTCCAATAATAAAAAGATTTTCAACATTTGCACCTAATTCAATCAACTCCAACTGTTTTTGTCTTTCTGTCTAAACATCATGATCGTTTCTAAATTCCTTAATTAAACACCATAATGTCTGAGACGTGCCACCGCTGACCCCCGAATTGTTTCGACAGTTCGCGCGACTCCAGAAATTGAACAAGAAAAGCAGCGACCCGTCTGTCCGTCGAAAAAAGTGTGGCGCGAGCAAACGGTTTTTTTCTTCTGATTCCAAAAGCAGTGCTCACGACGCACGTCGGCGTCTCGCGGCGCGGCGCGGCCTCTGTGAGGGCGTTCCGCAAGAGACTACAAAAGCGCGGCGACGAAGCACAGGCGGCCCGTAGAAGAAGAAGAAGAAGAAGGCATAAGGAGAAGAGATAGATAAAGCGAGGATCTTGAGTGCTCTTTTCTGCCGTCTACTCGTGTCTCACCTCTGACCAACACTCGCACTCTTTGACCCCTCCCTCTTGCATCACTTCTGGCCGAAGCACTTGAGAAACTGACCACCAGCTCCGTCTCCTCCCTTCCACAGTCTCCACAAGACTAGCACTCTATTTCATTTTTGTGCTTGTTTCTGTAACATATTCATCATGATTAGGTAAGCTTTTGTACCATCTTTTCCAAAAATTTTACTTTGGTTATGGAACATTTTTGGTATACTGTAGATTTTCATGAAAAATTGGGTTAGTCTTGCCTACAGTATACCGTAAAACCTATTAAAGGAGGTCCCCTTAACTCTTACCTTAAGCCAATTTTTCTATGTTCCTGTCAAAAGTAGTAAAAATGTCATCAACTGTTAAACGTATTATCATAAGATCAGATTTTCTTGTCAGTTGACTTTTTTTGATAAATCGCATAGAAATTGAAATAATTAAGCTTAAACTTGACAGTGTGGCGGACCTTCAATTACAGGTTTAACGGTATAATATCTCAGCAGCTCTGCAAGTCCAAGAAAATATTATTCAGATACTTTCTTCCTAGTATGCACAAGAAGTAAATACTATAGCACCAGTAATATAAAGATACTGTAGTTTTAGAATACATATCGGTCCATAAACTTTTCTGGTATTTTGAAAACTTTGAAGTAGAACTGGTTTGAAGTCAAGGGTTTTCTTTTGTTTCAAATTGGTAGAATTTTTACTTTCGCCAGAAAAAGTCACATAAATCTTAAAGCTTTGAATTTTCAATGAAATGTTCGGCTGTTAAAAGTTTACGAAAACACGGAAATTTCTAACGTTCATCTAATTGTAAGAATCAGCTCTCGAAAAATGACCTCAAAAAATCAATTTTAATATTTCCGCTCTCCAAAAACACATTTCGTCCTTTTGACCCCAATCTGTCCTGCAAAGATAAGCATGAGAACAGAAATGTCAAAGCACTTGAGATCCAGAACGGGCTCCTCCGAGAAGTTTTCCGCACTCGAGTGCACGCTTCATGTTTTTGGGATCAACACTTTAGACAGATCTGGATTTTTGGGAACGATTGGGTCAAGTGTCGGTCAACAATTGTTTATTTAAATGGAGACATGTTGAAAATCTAAAATTAGAAAACAATTTTTAACTATATATTTTTATTTCATTTCAGGAGTCTAATTTTGTTGACTCTTCTTGTCGGCTACTCGACTTCTCAATATGCACAACAACAACGAAGTGGAACAGTACAACAGCAACCAGTTCAAAATGTTCAAGCAGCTCAACCAGAAGCAATTGACGGAATTCCTGCATGGTATCAGATGGCCAAACCAGTCGCCTCAAGAGTTCAACAACTTCCACAAGCTTCTCCATCGTACTACGAGCGAATTGAGCCGACGTACGAGCAACGGAGAGGAGAGCAACCAACTTACGAGCGACCTGGAATCCAAACTAATCAGTATGCCAAGTGAGTATTCGAAATTAAAAAAATCATCTCAACACGAACTTTTAGTTACCCATCCTATCAAAACCGTCAACCATACGAGAATCTCAATGCATTAACATCTGGAGCCTCATTAAGCAATCTTCAAGCCAGCCGTCGTTATCCATCGGCAGCATCTGGAGGCGCCGGAGGATCTGATGTGAGTAGGTTGCGACACGCGGTGATGCACGCCCACCACACTCCACCGACACCATCACCGGCGTCCTACACTAGAACACAACACCATCATCCGGGTCGTGTGGTGTGGTATACGTCAAAACGGTCCAGTCCGTATAATGTGATCCGTACCACACTTCCCCCACCACTCCCACAATCTGTCTCGCAAGAGCTTCGAGGTGTCAAAAAGTTGATTGCAATGACACCCTATGATCAGACTAGAGATCAGCTATCTAGGTGGTATGATCAGATGAGAGCATTCTATTACATTAATCAATTCGTAGATTGGGGAACTTTCAAGAACATTTTCTTGAATTAGTAATTTAGATTCCCACGAGATCACTTTTCTTTTAGCCTTCTCCTTTTAGCCAGTTCATTTTCCCCCCGGAATAATTAGTATGTCAAATTGACAAAAACCATCAACAAAGTACAGTATTACAGTCTTCTTAAATTCTGGTAAATTTTTCATTTGGTCCCCGGTGAGCATGATGTATTATTATGGGTTTTAAATCTCCCTCTTCTTCATCTCGTATTCTATATTTCCCCGGTTTCCCCCTGACATGTTTTATCGGATAATTCGATTGTATCTATATGAACGTAATCATCTGATAAACAGTTTGAATATCATTGTGTTTGAAATCAATTTTCACAAAAAAAACAAATTTTGGAAACAATTACGTTTGTGCAAGAAATAGAATAGAGAAACAGACACAATGATATTCGAACCTATCCCTTTCCTTCTTCCTTTCCAACCTATTTTTCCGCTCCTAGCCTTACGCACTATCGCACATCTTCAAATGCTTCTATAGCTTGGTTTTCCCCCTGCTTTCTTCCAGATTTCTTTTTTTTTCTTTATAATCCGCTTCTTTTCTCTACAGATGCCTTACGACTCGGCGCTGAAACGCTATCATAAACTTTTACTGAAACGTCGCCAATGGACAACGAAGATTGGTCGTATCTTGGCGTCCACTTCTCCAATGACTCCTTCTACCGTATTCCCAACTACAACTACCACAACCACTCAAGCCCCAACCACAACCACTAAGAAAATGCCAAAATCATTGAAGAGTATCTACTCAACGATCATTCCCAAAACTAGCACAACCACAGAAACGCCAACAGAAGCCCCATCCACTACTACCCAGGCAACAAGAGTTACTGGTAGACTTGTGGGAAAGCCAAGAGGCACATTTAAACCACATGGAACTAGAAAGGGCTGGAGAATGTGGAAGAAGGTAACCCCAAAGTACGTCGGGAAGTCGAGCGTCACTACTACGGAGGTCCCCGTTTCTTCTACTACTATTCCAATGGAATCCAGCACCTCTGTGACTTCGACAACTACATCTGAGAACCCATCTACTCCAGAACTTCCGTTGATTGAGGAAACAGAAGAAAGTCAGGGGACAGAAGCTTCTACTTCTACTACTTCAACATCTACGACTACTGAACCAACAACTACAACCGTCGAGACCACGACTACAGAGAAGCCAACGACAACAACAGGATCGGAAGAGGAACACGCAGGAAAGGGACCCTCCCCATTAAGGTATATTTGTCGGCATAAAGCCGGCTCGAACGAGCACGATCCGTTCAGCGAACGAAGAGCATCTACGATTGGACCATTTAGACCGATCACAGTTGGACACAAATGGAAGCCGCTTCGGTTCAAGAAGCCAGAACCAGTTGACGAAGTCGACACAGTTCCAGCTACATCCAACACTAAGACAGCAATCAGCACAAGACCGAAAGGGCTTCGACTTCTCGAGTATCTTTTGGTGGGCTTCTAATCTTTCTTTTATTTGCCTGTACTCTTTTTTCTATCTCTTTCTCGGGTTCCCTAAGCGGGGTTCTAATCTTCTCACTCTAATTTTCAGAAGCAGACTGATACGTTTGCCAAGGGATTACAGAAGGCGATTGACGGTGTAAGTGCATCCGGAGTGTCATCTTCCTCTATACTAACAAACGAAGTAATTCCTTTTTCAATCCCTTATTTTCCATTTTATTTTACTCTGTTTCTTCCCATTTTTGTGCATTTCTAGTGGACTGTTTAATGTAGTTTAAAGGATGAGAATGTTGTTTGAAAGATACCTAATTTTGATCGGAAACCAATATAAAAATAATAGCAAGTAAACAACAACAAATACCCTTCACATGGGAATGTATAACAACTCCCAGCACTCTAAACATCAACCTCTTTTTCAGCCAAACACTGAACTTCTGGCTGCTATAAAAGACGTCGTTGCCAAGTTCAAGGTAGCATAATTATCATTCTACTGATTTAAACATTTTTGTTTCAGGCAAGCTTGGATGAGGCCGGAATCGATCAGGACGTCAGACTTATGGGCAATCAATTGAAGAATACATGGCAACAATTGAGGACAGGTACGACGCAACAAGGTTCCGTTTTCATTTCCGTTTCATCCCCCCAAATTTAAAGCACTTTGCACAAAATCTCTAACCTAAAATTCTGCACTCTCAGGACTTGATCGTGGTGTGAAAGCGGTGCGTCAGAGTGCCGAAAGCTCAGTTACCCACTTCAATTATGGTCCGCAACCACTACCACAACCCCAGCCTGTTCAAATTCCATACCATCACCAGCATCATCATCATCCAGCTGTACATCGCTATACACCTGGTTAATACCTTTACTAACTTTTTTTTCTTAATTCGCACTTTCATAATTTTTGTTAAGTTTGATCCCATCCATTCTCTTCGAATCACATCGACTGAAAATTGAATTTTAGGACCCATGAATGAACAAATCGGACGATTGTTTGAGAAAGCAGTTGCTGATGCTGCTGACCAGAAGACACAACAACAAATTCAACAAGTTCAGCAACAAATGATCGCTCCAAGACCATAAATTTTCATTCCGTTTGAAATTTGCTCAAAATGTTCCTAGCCAACAGATTGCAAGTCAAGCAGTCTAAAAGTACGTACACATTGTACACAGTGTCTTTCATTCTTTTTTTTCTTGTTTTCCATCAATGACCAAAATAAAACAATGAGTTCTATTATTTTTGGATTTGTTTTCAAAAAACTCAAACTGCGACTCTATTCACAGCGAACAAACGTTCCGTCGACAAGCCGTTAACGGTCCGCCCGCATTGCCAAGGTGGCGACTAGACGCCGTTCGCCCGTCCGCGCCTTATCAAATGACATTAAACAGTTATCCACCAGTCCTGCTTTGCCTGTGTAGTTTGGACTAGTTGAAATCATATCAGCCATAGTTACGCACATCGAAGTCACATCAGCGAAACCGAAAAAATGTCTGATTTATAGGCCAAACTGGTCAAACAAGTGAGGTATCGTCCATTCAAAATGATCAGAGCACAGACCCCAAAAATACCAAAGTCAGGTTCAAAACAATGTTTTTTTCTTGTTCAAGAATTCATGACGCCCTTTAAGTAAAATTCAATTTTTTATACTGCACTAATTGGAAAAAACCGATTGTAAGCTCAAAAAAATTTATAAAAGTTTAACAATTATTGCAAAAGTTTAGAGAAATCTTGGCAATGAAGTCCCATAACAAGAGAACTTCCTCCATCAACAACCAATTGATGTCCAATGATATACGAAGAAGCTTTTCTGTCGGCCAAAAATGCGATGGCTTCAGCGATATCCTGTGGCTGTCCCATGACTCCAGCTGGAACACATTCTTTCATTGTAGCCATTGTGGAATAGAATTTTTTGGAGACTTCTTCGGGCATTCCCATTGCTGAACCGAATCCAGTAGCTACAAGTCCTGGACTGATCGAATTAACACGAATTCCATGTTGGATTAGATCGATTGCAGTGTTACGGGTGTATTGATCCAGAGCAGCTTTAGCGATGGAGTAGTGAGGGAATTCTGGCGTCTGAAATTAAAGTTTGATTAAAGTAGTACTTTGGAATTTATTCCTTGTAAACGCACAGCTCTGTTTCCGGAAGCTATGCTAGAAATGTTAACAATCTCTCCTTTGGTCTCGGTCAAATGTGGAACTGCTTTCTTGGTGAGAGCAATGACACTTCTCAGGTTCAGATTCAAAGTAGCATCGTAGTTCTCAATACTCTGAGCTGTACCAGTCTTTCCTTCTGAATCTGGAATAGCAGCACCCGCGTTATTGATCTGAAAATTTCTTTCCATCATTCGCCTGAGAAAAATTTTTCACCAGGATGTCAATCTTTCCGAACTTATCCAAAGTGGTTCTGAGAATCTTGTCTTGTCCAGCATCCGTAGTCACATCAGCTACAACAAAATTTACATTTCCTTCCGGAACGCCAGCAGCCAAAATCTGTTGTCTGGTTTCCTCGAGCCTTTCAGAATTTCTTCCAGTAATGGTTACTTTGGAACCTTCTCTAGCGAAAAGCACGGCTGCAGCTCTACCAATTCCGTTCGAGGAGCCTTAATCATTATTCATGTTAACTGTGTTATAAGCAAAATCAGACAACTCACCAGTGATAATAGCAACTTTTCCAGCAAACCGAGACATTGGTCCAGAAATTGTTTTCTGACTCTTAGTACCTTTTCTCTCTTTTATACCAACAATTGTTGTTGAAACGAGACAGGAGAGGAGATAGACGCAGACGGCGCAAGTCACAAAAATTGTGACGAAAAATTGAGCCGAGACCAACTTTTCTCGGGGAAAGTTGAAATCAAAGCACAATTTTTGATGGGGTATTGGCACAGATAGAAAACACTTTTCATATGGTTGAAAAAATCTTGGTTAATTTTTGATCGGAATTTCATAGTCTCTGATTTTCAGAATCTCAGAATATCTTAGAATATTAGAATTCCGGAATCTCAGAATTTCAGAATTTTCGAAATTAAAGAGATTCAGATATTCAAAACTTCTGAATTTCAGAATTTCAATGTTTAGATTTTTGAAATTTCGAAATTTCAGAGTTTCAGATATTCAGAATTTCAATGTTTAGATTTTTGATATTTCGAAATTTCAGAATTTCAAATATTCAGAATTTCGTAATTTCAGAACTTCCAGAATTTCAGAAATTCTGGTCTTTATACATGCCAAATTTGACAATATTTTTGACCACACGTCGACCATCGTTTCACTTTCAGATTTTTAGACTTTTCAAACTTCATAATCTCAGAATAGCAGAATCAAAATCGCAGAATATCTTTAGAATACCAGAATCTCAAATCTCAGAATTTCAGAATTTCAGAACTTCACATATTCAGAACCCCAGGACCTCAGATACTCAAAATTTCTGAAATTCAAAATCTCAGATACTCAAATTTCATAATTTCTTAACTTTCAGAACTTCAGAATTCCAGAATTCCGAAATTTCAGAATCCCAGATATCTCAGAATTTCAGAATTTCAGCTATTCAGAAACTCAGAATTTCAAAACCACCCTATTTAAGAATTTCGGAATTTCAGTATTTCAAAATTCAAGAAATTCAGATTTTTAGACATTCCAAAATTTAACCATGTTTTTAATCAGAATTTTCTAGTTTTAGATTTCAATGTGTGGTTTCAGATTTTCAAATTTCAGATTTTTAGACATTTCAGTTTCGGATTTTGTTGTCTACGCTGTAGTATAAAATCTTGACTGCCTAAACTAATTAACAAATAATTAACAAATCAACGAAAAATCCAATACAAAAATTTTCATTCAATCAAATAAATGCCGATTGCCAAGTTTACCGAATCCATGACTTATGTGTTTACTTGACTTTTCTGAGAGCTTTTCCTTCGTGATCATGTCCGATTTCGTGGGTCTGAGTCTGTTCAACAATCTGAACCTGACGAGCACTACGTCCAGTAGACATGGCACTTTTGGATGGAGTTTTCAATCCTGGAAGAGCCTGACGATACTGGGCAGCAATGTTTTTGACATCGTCATTCATTTGGACAGATGGTGGTTGCATCACCTGAAAATCATCATGTTTTACAGAATTTCTTAGAATTCGGAGGTTACATTGGCAGCCAGAGCTTGTTTAGCCCATTGTTTGGCATCAATGGACTCAGGACGTTCAACGACAAAAGTGACTTTTCCTTTTTCTTGGAGATTCTTGACAAGAAGATCTCTGGCGACATCCTTATCAGTCACAGGAACACCATCCACGTCACACAAGTGATCTCCAAGAATCAGACACTTCTCAGCCAATGTTCCAGGATCAACGCGAGACACGAGAACACGGTTCTGGAAAATTATCCGTGAATTTCAAACTATCGGACACTGCTGCCAACCTGGAAATGTTTGATTCCCAATCCAAGCTTTGGGCCGTTCTGAACCCAGACGAGAGAGCCAACTCGTAGACATACCCTTCGCGTCTTTGGATGATCTTGGCACGATCGGCAGGAATATGAACACGGGCTTCGAGCTCTTCAGCTTTCTTGTCATCACGGTTTACGATGATTTTGGCACACGGGGCTGCGAAACGAAGAGCACGGAAGAAGTCATTGCAGTCCTTGCATTTGACTCCATTCACTTCCTTCACTTGATCACCGATCTGGAATTCAAATTATCGAAAATTAAGATTTGCCACAATTAATATTGGAGCGCATTAGCCACAACCACAATTTAAAAGAAAACAAAGGAAAAAAGGGTTGAAATAGGAAGGCTAAAAGTGGGAGTAGAAGGGTAGGGTAGAAGGGTAAAAAATAGATACTGGAGGTAGTTAAAACGTAGTTAGGTTCAAACTTACTCTCAATTTTCCTTCGGCAATAGTTCCTGGTTGAATCTTGGTGATGACCAGTTTGTCGTTTGGAGTTGCACCAAGTGGTTCTCCCTCCTCCATGTCAACTCGAACCTCGATCATCTTCTCGGATGCCATCCTTCAGTTCTTCTTCTTCTTTTCAGCTTCGGCGATTCACACGACGATATTTCAAAGACAATTGTTGGAAACTGTTCAGTTTGTGTGTGAGAGTCCAGCTTTTATACACATCATTTTATAGATCTTATCTGAGATAAGCGAGGGCATCACTTCGAAGAAAATTAAATTACACGTGGGCTGATAAAAGTGGAAAGTGGGTAAAGGTGATCCCAGGCAAACAACATGATCTCGGCACTCGGGCGTCGCTGGCAACTTTTGGTCGGAGGTTACTCAGACTCCAGATAAGACAACTATTAAAGCCGACCGATCTCTGACAAACTTATGACAAGGTTCCGAGCTCTTATTTTATTATTATTTCAATTTTCAACTTCCGACCAAATCTGACCATAGCCCGCCATTCAGCAACCCTGCTCAAAAAAAAATCCAAACCCTCCTCAAATTCTGCTCAGAAGTTACAAGCCAACAGCCAAGCAGCATCAGTCGTTATCATTTCATTTTCAAAAAAGAACTTGTAGAGATGGAATGACTAACTGTTGAGCTGCAGACGAAAATAACCAGATAACAAACTTAATCATGAGACCACCAGTTCAATCAACAGAACCCACATATAACATGTACCTGACTTTCTAATTTTTCATAAATTTTTAAGAAGATTGGTTTTGTAATTCAATTGAATTCCGTTTTCCTTCCGCACTTAAACCTATAATCTATGATAAAAAACTCCGAGAATGTTCTCTGTTTTATGGAATTGTATGGAAGTTATCAACTATCTCTAACATATTTGACAACTCCGCTAACAGTCGAATCAACAAGTCAAATCAAAAAAACTTTCAATATTTTTCACTCGTTTCTTTTTTATTATTCTGGTACAAATAAATTGGAGTTGCGGGACAGAAACGCCGGTGCCCGTGGCCAAAGGTCAACTATTCAACGACAACTATCTTAACCTGAAAATATTTTGGTTTCTAGTGAAAAAAAATTAACTGAAAGTGCACGAAAATCGAGATAACAAATCGGGAAAACAAAAACATTTTTTGGTTACTGTAGTTATCGTTTTGGACTTTCGGCCACGGCCACTGGCGTTTCTCTTCCACAGTTCCGATTTCTTTGTTTCCGATTTCTTTCCAGAATAATAGACAATTCATTCCGATCTTTCAATATGAGTTCTTCAAAAATTTAACCTAAAAGTGTGACATTTCCATTCCAGACACCAGGTAGTAACGTTGTTTCAATACACAACTTTTGTTATTCGATTATTCAACCTACTAAATGTCACCCAACATCTCCCCCCTAACTTTCTCTGACTCATACTCTTTACTCGAACTATTCTTCCCACCGCTTTTCTGTATTTTTATTTTTTCTGAATGTTTCTAAATACCCAAATGCTCACGTACACATATACAGAAATCGAACCGCTGGTGTACATTCCATCCGAATTTTTTTCTTCTCCTTCTGATAACATATATGGCCTCTCACCTCTCACTCTAAATTGTGTTATATTATCAATTCGTTCGCTGAAATTATGGGTGTGTCAGCACACTGTCGTAAAGATCGATTGATTTGATTTAGAATTGATTCGGAGAGCTTATTTCCTCCCACCATTCTTCCTTCCTCTAATTTTTTGATATCAGCAACAGCTTCTCAATTGGTCACTAGTTCCGCTTTACGCTTTTTTGTTCGCCTTTTAATAGTAGTTGTAGTAGTATTTGACCAACATCTCACTCCTATCATTCACCCTGTTTTATTGTTTATCATGATTGAGTACGTCTTCAGAACAATGCTGAAATTTGTCAAGAAGAAGACAACATCGACGACGAGTCCATCACCAGCGCCGCCTATTGAGATTTCAAGACCCAGTAATTTAATTGTATCAAAACACAAATTGGTTCGGACAGAAGGAGATTTCATTCTAGTCGTGGAAGATGATAAGTGCGTTTTTTTACTGTAACTTATTTTAAACTTTTAGTTAAAGGAAAATTTACAACAAAAGATTTTCTTTCAGTTCAAGGAAACCCCTACTTTTTATTTTCAGAGTGGTCGGAATCTTGGATAAACGAGATTTGGAATTGGCTGTGGTCCCTACAGTCCAAGCTCCACCACGTCCTGTATCCAGCACGTTATCGTCCACATCCAGCACTTCTTCTCCTCAAAGTCCCCCATATCTAGTTCCCACAAGTTCAAATCGTTCCGCTTCAGGTTAGTCAGCATCCAGAGCCTCTTTATAAAAGGACTGCCTAGTTGTTCATTATGCACTAGGTTACGTTAGATGTCGTTATGGTACCTTCGGCCACGGCCACCGGCGTTTCTCTTTCACAACTCCAATTTTTGTACCAGAATAGTAATAAAATTTTATTTTCAGAAGTCGACTTTCCTACACTATCATCTCCAGTTGGCATTTCTCCAAGTAAATACAAAACTCTTCCAGCTGGTTTCTCAGCTAAACAGCAGTCTCCACTTTTCAATTGGCAGTTTAGTCAAGGATCTTTCGGTCTAGACTCATCAACTTCATCAAATTACAAGGTACCCAATTCTTTTTCATACCACGATTTTACATGAAATCCTTTTTTCAGTCTACAAGTGTTGAGCAACTATTTTCTCCGCCAATTCCAACTCGTAATCGATCAGAATCTACACTTCAACCTCAAGGAAGTCAGAAATACGATACGATTACATTTGCTCCAGCAGTACAGTTGCCTTCAAACTCTGCATCTGCTCAATGCAATGTTGAAATACATTTGGGAGATGATCGGTCTCTTCCACCACCTCCTAGCCGAGCTCCACCGGTCCCGTTGAGCTACTCTCCATGTCTTTCTGCAGTAGTTCATCCTGACGAACAACTAGATTTCACAGAAGTGCAATCAGTTTCCGTCGAAGATCGCGAATTAGCAGCGATGTCATATGAAGAGGTTAGAAAAACTGCTGAAGATATTGAGTCATATATACAAGTGAGCCTGATCTACAATCTTAGTGCATTAATTTGATATAAGTTGTTTCAGGGACAAATTCAAGAGAAGTGGTGTCATGACAGAGCACAAACTGAAAAATGGATTGAAAACATTGCCGGGAGAGTAGCCAAAACTGAAACGATCAACACGATAAAAATGGAAATGGGCAGTAGGAAACGTCCATCTCTTTCGCAAGTATTCGACCAAAGCAAATCGTCGTGTCCCTCTATTGCTCCGTCTGATCCGGAGCCTCACAATGATTACGAAAGATTGTACTTATCCAGGGAAAAGTTGCCCACTGAACGTCGAAATAGTACAGAGTCTGAAAGTGGAGATATCGAAGACATTCGTTTCTGAGTTACAAAAATTTCTTTAGATCACAATAAATCATTCATATATATTTTCATAATTCATGATGCTTATTTTTCGTATTTCTTGAATTCCATGCATGCCGGTGGTTGTGTCTCGGTTTTCTTCTTGCTGATTTCGTTCCAGTTGGTTGATAATACAGTTCCGTTCGATTCACTGAAAAATAATAAAGCCGTTCAAATCTCGACGCATTGCCTACTCACGAATAGCTTTTCATCATAGCCCGACGAACATCATCTGTTGCGTTTGCATAAATTTGTTGGAACATCTTGTTCACCGCAGCATCTCCTTCCAATTTCTCCTCTTCTTCATCCTTGACTGCTTGTTTCTCAATCGCGTCCCAGTTCTTTTTCACGTTGGAAATAGGAGTTGTACTCGGGATAAACTCCGTTGGCGAAGTGGTTGGTGCAGAGGCAGCGATACCTTGTCCATCGCTTAGAAGAGAATTCCAGCGGGAGAACCGGGCACTTTTCGGGAGGCGAATTTCAATCTGAAATGAACTTGGAAGTAGACAAAAAAAAGTGCTTAAAAGTAATTATTTTAGTTTTGTTGACAGTCAGACCACATGTATCGCTTTTGAGGGAATGATCATCACGGTTGTGAAAAACCGCTAACACTCGGCTTATTGTCACTCAGCGAGTGACTCATCATCCTGTCTTCTAAACGGGAAACGAACCAGTCTTGATTCCTTCACGTTCGTACCCGCTAACCATACGACTACGCACTCCCTGCACTTCACAATCAGTATGCATTCTTATATGGGTAGGCAGTAAAACATTATTGATTGCGTTTCAGTTGAAAACAAACCTTGGCAGGTGTGCACTTGACGGTGACATCTTCACTAGTGACTTGGCCGAACAGTTCTCCGTCGAAAAGAACGTCTTCTAACTGATTCACTGTCAGGTGGTTATCATCCGAGATAATAACTTTGCAATCCTCTAATGGCACACCACGTTTCAAAATTGTCAAGACCACATCTGTATCCGATTGAAACCAATCATGTCTGAAAAATGAAAACGATGAGCAATGGGTTCGATAGAATCAATCGAATCACGGCTTCATTTAGTGTTTTTCCAAATAAATTATTTCTCAACCATTCAAATGGCGATTGGAAAAACTTACCTCGGTTTTGTACTCATTTTGATGCAGCTCTGCAATTATTCCTTCGAATTCAGTTTGCACAAACATAGAGAAGTATTCAGAAGGCATCTAAACCTCTAAAACTGTTGCTCCAGAAGAAAACGCTTCAAAAGATTCAATAGGTTCATTTTATTTCAGTGAAACTCGGGTGTAAAGGAAACATTACCACCGGAAAGGGGGATAGGAGGGAGAATACATTGAATAAATTAAAGAGAAAATGAAAAGAAAATCAATCATGACCACTCCCGATTTAGAGGGTTCCAAGATGATCCTTGACCTGCTGCTTGGTGAGTCGGTGGAATCCAGTTGCATTGCAGATGGCCACCTCCACATTGCCCTCGTTCATTCCAACATCGAAAGATTCTCTGAGAGTTAAAAGAGCGGTGTGAATTCCATCATCAAGTTCAAGAGCCTCGGTGAACCGCTTCTCCAGGAATGTTTTGGCATTGACGTCGTTTTTGCCGAGAGCAGTTGCTTTCCAGGCGAAATAGGCTCCAGAAGGATCGCACTGGAAAAGAAGTGGGCGGCCTGGGTTCTTATCCCAACCGGCGATGAGGAGAGATGCTCCGAATGGACGAACTCCTCTGAAACATGTATATTTATTTGGGAAGTTCTTCCAAAGTTTTTTACCCAGATTGGGTGTACTCCTGCATGACTGCTGCAAGCTCGGTTACCAATTGAATAGTTGGCATCTCTTCTCCGTACATCATCTCATATTCCATGGCAATTTTACGAGCTTTCTTCACGAGGATACGAAAATCTGGTCCCATTCCACTGTACACGCATCCGATATGCTTGCTGATCTGTTCAACCTTCGGTTGATCGTCGGTGAGAACCGAACCGACATTCTCCGTGGCCAAGACGACTCCATCCTTGGCTAAAAGCAAATTGATAGTTAGGCGATATCAACTATTGCGGTTATACCTCTCAATCCGACGGATGGCTGTCCATTCTTGACTGCGTTCAGTGCATATTCGATCTGCATCAACTTTCCCGATGGGCTGAAATCAAATTTTTATTCGTTATTCGAAATAGGGGTTAGAATACCTGAAAGTGGTGAGGGAGAAGCCGTAGTGATCACCCATTTTGTAACTGGATTCTGTAAATTATATTTTTGAAAAACAATTGCTGAAAAAAAGAAGTAAACTGAAAAAAGAAGTATGGAAAAAAATCGAGAAAATATGAGAAGATCGCGGCAAAAATTGTCATCATACGAAAAGTCCAGTGGCGCGCACTTTCTGACCGGCGACATTTCGGCATTCATCAATTTTTCTGATGATTTTTTGGGCAAATGAAGGTTTCTTCTGTGTTTCTAGCTAGATTGAAAGACCTAAAAGGTGAGAAAAATAAAATTAAGCTCAGTCAGGCAAAATTTATTAATTCAGAAGCGGAGAAACTAGCATTGTCGTTTAGCGGATGTGGATTTCTTGGAGCGTATAATTTTGGTGCGGCAAATCGTCTTATAAAAGATAAAGTATGCACCTTTGAAGATTTTCCCAATCCTGCACAAAGTTTAAATGCGCATCCCTTTTTCCATTAAAAAAAATCCCGCCACGCGATGTATTTCAATGCATTTACAGTTATGTCGCGAAATGCTTTGAAATACATTTCGCGACGCTCATGCATTGAATTTCGAGGGCGCGGAAATGCATTTCAATACATATTTTCGCTACATGAATAACCCCATAAAGGTTTTCGGACATGTGAATTGACAGATTATTAGCAGTAAAGTCGATCGGGTTGCTGGGGCATCTGCTGGAAGCCTTGTTGCTGCAATACTCGTTTTGGAACCGGAAAAGTAAGCATTTATCCGCTCACACACTGCTTTATTAACCGAATCTGATAAAAATCGTTGATATTCATTAAGAATCAATGATGGAATCGAGACACTTTATACGATGGCAGACCATGTGCACTCTCAGCCTTTTGGTGCCATGACTCCCGGTTACTATCTGAATGATCAGCTTGTTAAAGTATACAACGAAGTTCTCATTCAGAAGAATTTGAATCAGAAGTTTCCAGATTATTGACGATTTTCTCCCAGCTGACATTGAAAAAGCTCAAGGAAAATTGCACATCTCGATCACTAACAGAAAAGTAGGATGAATAAAAAGTTCCATTGTCATCTTGGAAATTTCAGAGATGGGAGAACGTCATGATTAACAAGTTTGATTCTCGAGATCATTTGATATCTTGCCTGCTAGCCAGCTGTTACATTCCAATGTATTCTATGGGTTATCGAGGTGTTCCTCCAGTAATCAATGAAGAGGTATTGATTGATCTAAAAGAATGATAAACAAATAAGAGAAAATTTCAAGGAATACATCGATGGAGGAATGACCAACAATTTGCCAACTTTTAGTGATGTTCCGACTATCACATGCTCTCCATTTTCCAGTCAAGCCGACATTTGTCCAGAGGATCCTTCCACATGGAACGTTGTGTTTGGGAAGCAGACCTTCAAGGTTTCTTCATAAAACTTGATACATTTTCAACATCACCTGATTTCAGGCTAGCACACAAAACTTGTATCGTGGTGCCCGTGCTCTGTTTCCCCCAACTCGTCATATTTTGAAACAGTATTATGAAATGGGACAAGATGATGCGGAGACATTTATTCAGGGAAAAATATAATACGAGTGCCATTGTTATAAGCTCGAATAGTTTGAAAAATAAATGGTTTAACTAAATTAGAGTCGGGAGTTGGCGTCGACTGTCTGTTGACGAAGAACACGGCGCTTCTTGACTTCGGTTTTCAGCTTGGCGCTCATCAATGCCAATGCTTTTGCCTTAATTTCATGCTCCTGGAAAAGTTAAAATTGAAATTGATTTTTTGTTTTTAAAAAATAATTTGAACTCACTCGTTGCTTCTTCTTCAATAGTTGTTTCCTCTCTTCTCTTTTCTGTTCCTCTTTTGCTTCTCGGGCTGCCAGTTCCTCATTTTCAGTCTTTTCTCCATCTCCTCTAGAAACAACGACGTAGCTTCTGACTCGTTTGTTAATTCCAGTTGGTCTGGTGTATCGAAGCAAGTGCATCTTTCGGCTTTCCGGTGTCAGTCCCATCTCAAGCATTAGAATCACTTGAGCCCATTGTCTTTTCCATTCTTTCCTTGTTAGGAAAATAGTTTCATATGTTCTTGTCATCATGGCAATCAGCAAATTGAATTGGAGAATCGACACAAATGTTTCGAAAATCAGAAATATGATTTTGCCAATCCATTTCATCCAGAAATTATCACATGCAGCCATTTCACGATACAAAACCGAAAACTCTCCAATGGTCATAATAAAAGTTCGTAGAAGAGCATCAACTGGATTCTCCATGATGTTATTGAATTCTGATCCCAGTGGATCTGTCTTTTTGATAAGTGTGGAGTCTCGTTCACATGATGTGAAGATTAGGTAAAATGCTGAAGTTGAATGATGAACTTAGGAAGATGAAATGATAACTCACATTGCGAAAATCCAACCAGAAAGATAGAATAAATCATTGCAAATCGGACTAGATCAGTTGCGATAATAGTATACACCATCAAGACGAATGGTCCAACGAATGGGATAGCTCTAAAACGTTCATCTTAATGTAATAAGACTTTCCAGTCACACCTCATGTAATACAAAAAGTGTTGGGTGACAAGAAGAACACTAATAATAGCCATTGTGTTGTCAATAGTCAGGAAATCTCGTGGAAAGAACAGGCAAGGCGGCAAGGAATCGAAATTAGAATGAATAAGAATGCTCCTTTAAACATGAGTTTAGCAGGGAAGGCTTTCTAAAATTATAGGAATGATATATATTAGGTTGGCGGGAAAGTCTTTGTCACTCTGTTTGTTTAATCACTGTTCTCGTATATGGAGGCTGTGTATGATATCGACTCTAGTGAATAACAAGGTGATAAGAACCTTCCATATAAACAAGTCCCCATCTCCTTCCCTGCTCCTCATCTGTAATTGAAACGATATGTTTGTTCCCACTGCTATTCACATCAGACATGTTTTGATTTACCTCTTCCTATCTCACACCACGATGAAGGATTCGGAAACTTTCTTGAAGAATGTGTACAACACACATGCCCCTCACTACAATACTATTCGCAATTGGTTCCATCGTTTCGAAAAAGATGACTTCTCGCTCGATGAAAAGGGTCGCTCTGGGAGACCCCGTGAGTTGGATTTGGACAAGCTGAAGCACGCATTGCAATCGGATCCATTTCAATCTAGCCGTGAACTAGCTGTCACATTCGGAGTTCACCATAGCACAGTCCTTGAAGGTTTGAAGTCTCTTGGAATGAGAAAACTTTTTGGTCGATTCATACCTCATCACCTGACTCAAGCCAACCTTGACCGCCGAGTCGACGATTCGATTACTCTTCTCACTCTCCACGCGGGCGATCGATGGCTGGACCGGCTAATAACCGGAGATGAGAAGTGGGTCTTCTACGATAATCACCACAGGAAATCCCAGTGGGTTGGAGAAGGAGAGAGCCCACAGGATGTCCCAAAACCCGACCTTCATCCGAAAAAAGTTATGCTCTCTGTGTGGTGGGGAGTGGACGGCCCCATCTACTGGGAACTTCTGCCCGAGGGCAAAACAATAACTGGAGACCTCTACACTACTCAACTACGAAACCTCAAGAAAGCAGTCGACCGTTCGGCCCTGAAAGACAAGAAAGTGTACTATCAACATGATAACGCTCGCCCACATGTTTCGAAACAAGTGAAGCAGGAGCTGATGGGATATGGATGGAATGTTCTCCCTCACCCCCCGTATTCTCCTGATCTTGCTCCTTCCGACTATTGGTTATTTGGCGATATGACACGTGCCTTCGAAGGAAGAAGCTTCAATTCCCGTGGAGCGGTCGAAGCGGCACTCAAACAATACTTTGCCTCACGCCCGGCTGGATTCTACCGCAATGGAATCCATAAATTGAGGGAACGTTGGAGACATGTTGTTGATAATGATGGACAATATAATTAATTATTCGGTTATTTTTTCTTTGAGAAATAAACTATTGAAAAAGTGACAAAGACTTTCCCGCCAACCTAATACATGAAATTAAAGTTGAATTCTAACCAAGAAGTTGAACCATTTCTGGAATCCAATCCTTCGAATGTCACCCAAATCGAAAAGAATCTGAAACAACATGACAACGATGGTCATGACTTCACATCCAAGACGAAACCATCCATGATACCATGGCCACTCGGAATAGTACATCAGATGACATTGTGTATCAATTGAATGCCACTGCAAGTAGTTCGAAGAGTTTGTGGATTCCGTTTCACCGTCATCATTGATTCGACCGCGTGTTATGTGCTGAAATACTCCAACCTAAACAAAAATCAGTTGCTTGTGTATTACCTCGGTGGTGGCTGACGAAGGACGGAGCATGTAAGCTGATACGAAGCAGCAATAGAAGAAAATGAATCCAAGAAGTGATCTGAACCACAGAGCTCTTCCGTATGCCTTCCATTTCTCATCTAGAATCTGCTCAATCAGTCCGTCCATTAATTCCAAATGTTGGGTGGATTCCTAGATGTACGATTTGTTTTTTTTTTTAATTTTTTAAATTTATGTATCTCACCCCATAAACCACCAATGACAATGCACTGGTATCATTCATTTCTCCCGTCACTTCATCAATTGTATCAATTTTTGTAAGTGGAATAGCCACACACTGAGATACACCATAAGTCCAGACTTTCTCACATTCGAGTTGCAAGATTTTATTGAACATCTGAAAGTATTCTTTCATGTTCATACACATCCCTATCTATCAAATCAAACCGTTTTCTTTGCCAATCTTGCAGCAAGTGTTAATGCCGTCAAATTCTGTTTATTTGCAAGTCTTGGATTACCACCTGCATCCAAAACCGCATCTAACATATCCATTTTGTCGTGGATAACACACAAATGGAGTGCAGTATTTCCATTGGTATCCTGTGCGTTCAGATTTGCTTTCTTTGCTAGAAGCATTCGGAACAGATCATGATGTCCCGTACAAACAGCAAAAGAAAGTGGATACTCTCCAAAGTACATCGATCTGAATTTATTTCTTACTCGCTGCACTTTAAAATGTCTAACGTGCCAGGATCACATCCTGACATGCTTCATTTCACTAATCCATGTAATAGACATACCCTGTGTAGTTTGTATTCTTGGTGAGTTCTACGAATTCATGCTCCAAACTATCCGTACGACTGGTTTTTTGATCTTCTGCACAGAAGAAAGCTCCATAACACCTTTGATTTAAGTCAGCTCCAAGACGAAGAAGTATAGAAGTGAATTGAGCATCTTGGTTAACAATTGCCATGTGTAAGGGGGAGAGCCCTTTTTTTAAATTCGTATTTTCAATCTAGAAATTGGCGTACTTACCGTAATAGTCTTCAGAAGTACATATATCATTGATCAATTTCGGAAAGAAATGAATTAATCGTTTAGCGATAATATTGTGAAGAGCAGTTCCTTGAAGAAGACAGATGGCTAGAACATGCTCTCCCATCGAGCCTAACAAAAAAGTATTTCGTTTTTTGTCAATTAGTATCTAGTACCTCTGTCATCCAAATTCCAAACCATCTCTCTGTACTTTGATTCCGATTTTCCACCTTTTCCACCACCATCCAACAATTTTAGTGCTAAAAACTTTTCCCGTTGATTTGATTTTGGAGGATTAAAGGATCAGACCTATAGACTATGCTAAGTTCAAATTGCTCCAAAGAGCAGGAAGTTCCTGAATGAGTTCCCCAAAAATTGTTATGATGTGATACTTTATTGTCTAGCGTTTTTAATAAAAACCAATTTTTTGATCTATTCAAAGAAATTCTAGGATTAGCCAGCTGGTATATATATATATAACACATATTCATATCCCCAGAATATTTTCAATTTCATAAATTCTCAGACTGACCTTTCTTTAGATCTCCAGCCATCTCAGCCTGTCCTTGATCAAACTCATCCAGAATGTTTGGTCCACTTTTACCCTTTCCTTTCTTCCTTGAAAATGCGCCGAGTTTCGCATTTCTCTCCTGAAAATGTATTCATTTTTTCTGAAAAAACACCTTCTTACCTGATTCCTGGCCTTGACCAGTTCTGCAATTGGCATCAGTTTTCCTTTTCCTGCATTGTACATGAATTTCCTCACTTCCTGATCCAGGTAGGCATCAAGCATATCATAACATCCAAACTCTTTGCATTGTCTAAAAATTATAATTATTGAAAAAAAAAAACTCAAAAACTTTGGACCACCTTGCCAGCTTAATCAAAACGCCACCTCCGTGCATATCTAGCATTTTGTAAATGTTCCGATTCTCCGACAGAGTTCCGGCTAGTTTCTCGTCTGGGACCTCACCATCCGCCACTTTTGTCGGATTGCTACCCATACTGAACAAAGAAACTGATTGAAAATAAACGAAGAATGAGACCTTCTGACTGAGATAAGAGCAGTTTAAGGGCCGAGTGACTGGCTCGATTCGACACACGACACATTTTGTAGTTGTACACGACCAGATTCATGGAATGTCTTCGTTACTACAAAAGAGTGCAATAGGAAATACATTTTATTACAGATTGGATAGACGGCAGAACAAACGAGGTAAACACATTTCGACATTGAAATCGAAACACCAGGAAGAATAGGATGAAAGGGGAAGAATACATTGAGCATGGAGCTCTCATTGTCAGGACAAATAACGACAAGAGGGACTCTCAGTACATGGGAAGGAAGTAATTGGAATTAAAAAAAAACCCAGAAAGTGAAATCTTAAAGAATCAACGATACTGAAGGCTATTGAGATCCTTTAATGACGGATTCCCAAATGTTGGGTGATTCCTGTCAATTAGAAGTATCATTTGGATCTCTTCCGATTTTTAGACCTGAAAAGGTTAATGCTAAATATTCCAACATATTTTTTGAAAATAGTCAAACGACAAGGGCCGGATAACCTCTCCCAGACTAACTTATCTGACCGGTACTCGTATTATAGAATTCGAAAAATTTTGAGGCTTTGATTTTTTAGTGGTCTCCGATTTTTTTTTGGCCTCCGATTCCAGAACAATTCACTTTTATCACTTTTACAAACGCTTTGTCATTTAACTATTTCTGGTGTCCACATGAACCGAGATAATATGCCTCAAAGTTGACGGTTAGGGGGACACTCTATTTTGTTATACATCCGCTCTTCTTTTCACCTGTCATTTATGTCTCATTCTGTTTCTATCCCAACTCACAACTTCAGCCTCAACCTCTACTACTCCTCAGTGACCTCTGTACTCTACTTCCTGGTCTCTTAACCACCTCATTCATAACTTTCCTCTCCCATCGTATTTGACTTGTCCCTCTTTCAGCATGACGACATCAACACATTCTTTTTATGGGAGCAACAGCATCAGGCGCGCGGCGGTGCACATAAACATGCTCTGCTCTCCCGGAAAGTCGGCTCATCTCAATTTTCTGTTTCAAGAAAGACACGTTCTAAATGTTTCCTTCCTTTTATTCCTTTTTTAAAACCTTTTTTCTTCTTTTTTTTCTCTTCCTTTTTTCATCCTAACCTTTTCTTGTAAACTTTCCCATAGAAAGAAGAAGAGACATTTATCCATCAATCTGTGAGAGTTCTCTTCTTTTTTTTTTCATCGGACTCTTTGAACTTGTCCATGCATAATAATTCAAAAGAAGAAGGAGACAACTTGAGAAAAGGAAACTCAAAGTACGAGTAAGCGAAGGATGTATCTGGCTTCTGTTGCTTCCCTCAGATTCCTTTCAGCTCATTATTTTCGGCTGTCACCGCCTATATCCCTTTTTTGCGGGGGCTTCCCTTTTTGACTTCTTATCCCCCTGACGAGCCATTATTTGACAAAACGGAGAACATTTCTGGTTTCCGGTTATTTGTTACCCGCCTAGAAAAAGCGAATCTCAAGAAATGTGATTCACACTGTAATTAAAGCTGCCAGTTCTTCTCCTCCGTTCCTTTTGTTATTCCCTTTCCAAAGCTCTTCTTCACTAATTTGTCCCAGAAAATGGGTTATTTTTCTTTCAGAATGAATTCAACTTCACTTATAAATTATCGATTTTTAACATTTATAAATGGGTCAACAGTAGATTTCATCGGATGGAGATTACCACTACAATTTATCTACTCATTCGAAGTTTTTATGTTATTCACAAAGTAAGTCATAAAGTATAGTCAGTATAGAGTCAGTATAGAAGTATAGACAAAGTAAGTCATAAAGTATATTTTCAAATTCTTTCCAAACACAAAATTTCAGTTTTGTGGAATATATTTACACATTCTACCTTCTTCTCCGATTTCGTGCAATGCACAGTAATCTACATATTCTTCTTTTGTTATACGGTGGTCAATATTTTTTCTCGATGATTTCCCGGTTGTTTCAAGTGTATTTCCAATTCAATGGTTCTGAATCTTTAGATGGTGACGATAACTACACCATTCTGTTTTCCAATTTTTTGTTATTTCAGATGCTACTTTTGACAGCCTTCTGTATACTGTAAACTACACCAGAACCATTTGTCTATTCATTGCTTTCAACATGCTTCCGTTTTTAGTGTTCGAGAGGTTTTTAGTATTCAAGGATTTCCGGATAACTTCTAAAATTCAGATGTTTTGCAACTTGTTTCGCAGGCACATATGAAACCGATCGACACTTCTGGATACCACTGACCTTGATCTCTGTGATGATGCCGGTCTGTGTTCTTTCAGCAATTGCATATATCAATAGTGAGTTAGTTAAATAACTTTAAAACTTTATTTTCGTTCAAAAACTGTGGCTCTATTCACAATAAACTAACGGTCCATCGACGAGCAGTCAACGGCCCGTCTGCATCGCCAAGGCGCCAGCTCTGCTTTACCTCTAAAGGCGCTGACATTTGTTTCTATTTTTTTAGGTCACATTACAATTTTTGATACACAGTGTTTTTCAGACTGGTTTCCAATCTATGCTCATTGTATTCTTCTTATTGTTCTCAACATTGGAGGATCGCTTCTTCTGATTATAGTGACAAAATGTAACATCCGACTTCACAAGTTCGTTGTTGAAAACATCTAGAAAACTCAAAAAAAAAACCATTCGTTTTAAGTTCCTATTCAACATTGGAACATCATGGTCTCTACTCGTTGAGCGAGCGGTTTCAAGTGTCTGAAAACATCAAAACATGTCAATGGTTATCTCGTATCCAGGGATCCATCTTGTTTTTTAATGTCGCTTGTGTTTCTATTCTCATTCTCGAACACATTTCGACGAATGAAAAGCTAATTATAATGGCTAATGTGTCCTTCAATATTCTTTGCACCATGTAAGAATTGTCTTGTTTTTAAGTTTTTCAAAAAACAGGTGTTTTCAGATACGCTGCTGTGGCTCCAATTGTTGTGATAATTTATACACCCGAATGGACAAGAGAAACTATACGATTGGTAAGTTGCAAACTAAAGACGGAAGAGTTAAGGTCAGGTTAGATGCACTAAAATTGGCCTAGTTCAGAAGGTTATTGGCTCCCCCTCATGTCTCAAGTCGACTAGATTATTTTTTCATAGTTTCTAGAAACTGCGACATTCTAGGAATTTAAATAATGCTAGTTATGTATTTTTAGTGGCACCTGATATCTCCACAATCCAATTGTGATCATCTGGATCTTCGCACAACGTTTGGGGAAGAAATGAGTTATTCGGATAAGAATGTCGAGTCGAAAGTGTACTTTGATCAACTTCAGAAGAATTTGACGAAGCAGGCGATGGAAAAATCAAGGAAGAAGCAGCAGAGAAGTCCGTCTTGGAATAATGATGAACATGAAATTTTTCTGTGATATTTAACTGAACCGGCGATTCTATACCTTGTGATTGAATGCAATTTTTTATATCTTTTCCAATAATTGAATAATTAAAAACGATATAGTGAAACGGGCTTCACCGGCATTTCAACTTTCAGCTTCCTATCAAAATCTTGAACAAGTTCCGACCAGAACCTGGGCTATCCTTAACTTCTAACCAGTACTTGGAAGTCGATAACCGAAAATTCAAAAATCTATCTCAAACTTTATGTTTATTTTAAAATGTGACAAAATACACACAATTATTTACAGAGACATCAAAAAATGAATTGTTCACTTTTTCTTGGCTTTTTGTCCTTTTTTGATCCACTTCTCATTCAAATTGATTGGTTCCAACTCTTTTCCAGTCTCCTTCTCAATCACAATCATCCTGTAAGTAGATGGAAGAAGCCATGATGCTTCATTTGCCAGTTTCACATAGTAATATCCGGGGAATTCGCAATTGTAATCGAATAGATCCATTGCTGGAAGGCCACATTTAGGAATAGGAGCCACCGCCAATTCCAGATCATTTTCAGATGTTTCCTTTTCCTTCGAATAGTACAAGGTTATGGTGATGTCATTTTCATTGTGAGAGTACATCAAAAGTTCTATATCCGGTTTATCAACTTTGTAGACAAGCATTCGATGTTTCGCTGCAATGTATTCGCTGAAGACAAATTAATACAATCAATCGAGAAACTTACAAGCAGATACTGAAACCTTGTGTAGTTGTTCCATGGAAGGGTAGTGAACGGGAAGCTTCCAATACGTAGATTTTGGAATCGGTTCTACAATTTTCAGACAATCATTATCTGGAATGTTTCCTCCGTATCTCTCCGGCAGACAGTCTTGGTCAACAATCTCCAAAAGTTCTTCCTTCCAACTGGATCCAGCAAAAACGATTCTCTGTTTTGATTGTTCTGGAATGAATGAGGACAAAGCGGACCTGAAATTGAATCAATCAACGTAATCAACTAAATTGTCACTTACCACAAGACATTGATGTAACTGGGTGAATTGATCACAATGAATTTATCAATGAACTCTCGATAATGCTGTCCAACCAATTGCCATGAAACACGGAAGGGGCCTGAAACGAAAATTGACAAGTGACACTAATGGGATAATACGTCATCACCATTCACAACGCCCAGCAATGTAGGATCAAAGTGAAGACCTTCGAGATCAAAAATGTAGTGCATGAAGCATTGAACTCCAGTTTCAGCTTCCATCTAAATCCAAAACTGTACAACCTACGATCCTGCGTTTCATACCTTCATAAGTCTTCTTTGGATTTCTTCAAAAGTCCGGAACATCTCATGAAGGTATTCGGTTGGCTGCACAGCTTTCATCAATCCGGCTACATCAATTCTTCCTGCCCGATCCACAACCACCAGTCGATCACCTCCTTCTTTTCTTTGTGGGCCAATAATGTCAACCGGAGCGTGTTTTCTTCTGGCATCACTGAATTGGAGAAGAGATTGACTTTCAGGTTCATCGAGTTTCCGATCTTTACGCCATTTCAAATGTTTTTTCAGCAAATGGACAGTCTTTGGAATATTGAAATCGTTCGATTGAAGCCATCGAAGCATGTTCCATTTGGTATCATAACGTGGATCAATGATATCACTGACCTGTTGACGAACTTGTTCGATTGCAGCGTCGTTCATATTTTCAATGTCCATTGGACTGGGAGCGTTGGGTGCCATCTTGAAAAAATAACACTTGATACAGTGAATTGATACTCAAAAAAGTGGGTGGAGAAAAGGAAAAGGGAATGGCAAGCGATATTTCCAAAACAAAAATAACAAGATGGAAAATGAGAAGTGGGAAGATAAAAAAGGAAGAAGACTGGAAGAAGGAAAATTAAAAATTTCAAGAGTGAAAGTGGAAAGAAGTAAAGGAAGAGGAGGAAAAGTAGGGGAGGAGTGAGAAGGATTTAGTAAAAAACGACGATGAAGTAAACCGGTTAAGAGAGAAACACTTAACAGTTATTTTGAATTGAAAATTTGCTTGGGATTTCAATGGCAACTGTACTTTTGAGTTCCCGTTTTTTGATCATTTGACAGAAATTCGATAACAAAACTTATTGGAGCCTGGAGTTCAAACAAAACCGGAAATACCGTATTTCTTCTAATAGAAGTCCACTGAAACTGTAACCTTCAAGCCATTTTATATCGGTTACTATGAAAAATATCAAAATTTTTTCAACTGAGAAATTATTCATCATACTAACATTTTATCAGTTGAAACATTTTTGATATCTTTCCCAAGAATCGAGATAATTGAACTCAAAGTTGACGGTTTGGGTGGACCTATTAGAGGAAGCACGGTATATCGACCTGTAAATGGAAAATGGGACTTTTGTGTCTCAAAAAGGATTCATACATTTTTATGAAGAAGACGCTAGTTTTAAAAATATCCACTAGCAAAACGGAAAGGATTTAAAAGGGATAATCCAGGGATTGTAAAAGTTGAACGATGTATAAAATCCCACAGAGACGCTGTAAGCTTTGAGTTGAAAAAAATTATTTGTTGGGTAACAAACTAAATCCACACAAATAAATCCCCTAAAACCAGCCGAACAAAGTAAAACTAATTGCGGGTTTGGTCAGTAGAACAGCCGTGTTATGTGTCAAAAGTTATAAACCAAAAATGTACAACTTAAGAGTCAGAAGAACAACAACCTCCCTTATTAACCAGCTGTAAAACTTCAAAAACATTGCTGATTGTTTGCTTCCGATTTAACAAGACAGCAATGTATCGAACATCAATTACAGTTACACATTTTATAGAGACAAAGAGAGACAAAAAAGGAACATTTGTAGTCAAGTTTCAAGAAAAAAGCTTTCTAGACAAAGAAAGACGATTCGCTGTAACAAACCGCAATGAGTGTTGTTACTATAATAGACAGAGGAATATGAAAGAGAAATAGAGAAGGAAGTGGAAAAATAAGGTTGATTGGAATTGAGGCCAGTTTTCTCTTTTTTGTGTTCTAACTGTATTACTTTGTAGGAAAGGTATGACATCGGAATATTTGAATGATTCTCAAAACATCTGCTTTCTGAGAAGCTGAAAACACCAAAGAACCGACTGCGTAACAACAACCGCAGCGTGACATGAAATCACGCATAATCTAAAGCCAAGGTAAGAATCACCTAGATGATAGCGAGAAGAAGAAGAAAAAGAAGAAGAATAAAGGGGGTGGAAACGAGAAATGAATGAAGGTCGGTGGTGGTGCTTGTTTCGTGGGGCGACGACGACTGAATTCTGAATTGGTATGCCGTTTGGTTTCGTGATGGGGAAGAAGACGTTTTTTTTGTTGTTTGGTTGAATTTTGAAGGACACGGAAAATCTCTGTGGGATAAACAAATCAACGAAAGAGAAATGCCTTCTCGATTAGAGAATTTCGTAACAAGGGATCTTCTCATGGAGATCGAGAATGCTACATTTGCAAAAAATATCTACAGTAATCCTGATACTCTAATGACAGCAAAGGAAAATCGCGCGTGAAAAATCTCCACGTCTAGCATCCCTCTCCCCACGTAGCTGCCTGATATCTCATCAAAAATTGATCTAGTCACATAAGGACATCATGCTGAAAACCTTTATCATCCTTTTTATTTTATCTCAATTAGCATTTGGAGGTTATCAAGATAATACTGGTAATCTCCATGTTGAATGCTTGAATTCCCCCCCTCCCCATCCCATTCTTTCAGAATTCGATGAGAAAATTAAAGAAATAATCCGAACAAGAGCCAACGGAGATGTCTCGTTTCTTAGAAGATTTGTGAACGCTGATGGTATTCCACAAGGATTGGGGAATCGTGATGGATTCAATGATTCTTACTGTTACAATATAACTGAACGTCTTCTTGCTCATTCGAAATATGCCGACTGTACAAAGTTACAATCCTTGAATGGGTCTGTTTTCTTGTTACCTTCGGTTGAAAGGGGTTCAATATTTTCAGATCAGTAGTAGATCTCAACTTATGGACTGGTTTCGATATTTTCAAGTTTTCTGTGAACCTCTTGGAACTAAAAAATGTCGATGTGGAGATGACTTATCGAACGGAATTGACATATTTGTACTTCAGCGCTTTTCGTAAATGTGATAGTAGGCAACTTTTTTTTGAGATTCGATTAACAGAAAACAATTTTAGACTGTCTATTCAATTTTACGAGAAATCCCGCTCTGGTTGGTCTCCGTTTTTGGAATTTATCTCATGGAAATTATTTGGATACACTTAGTAACGAGTGTCAGTTTCTTCAAAAAAAGAAACATTAAATAATTTTTTTTCAGATCGTCCCAAACTATTGGTTCGCGGAAATTTAAGACTGAAACTTTCTCAAGGAGCGGATAGACGAAAAATCGAAGATCTGAAGAAGGTATGCAACAAGGAGATGTGCGAGATTCAAAAAAATGAAGGTGGTTTCATAGTCTCTGGAAATTCTAGACTTTCCCATATTTCAGAATGCCACTTCCGTCATTCGATCAAAAATTCAGATGAATACAGTAACTGTCGTCATGTCTACGGAGATATGTATTTCAATTCTCGTTTCCAAGAAAGTCAACCTGGAACTATGGATTTCAGAATTGATGGCTGTTTTGTATTCAATAGAACTGGCATTCAGTTTTTACGACCAATAATGCGAGCATTTTCAAATTGCTCCCGATCCCATTTGTTCTTCAAAAACAAGTACATGTGCACTGATCAACTACTAGAATTGAAAGATCGTTGGAAATCGAATAACGTAAATGTAACGCCAGCAGATGGCATGGATGTCAAATGCTATCGTAGGTTTTCAGTTTAGATTATTTAGATTCTTTATTTGATTTCAGAAGGCGAATGTCGAGGAGGTTTCGTCTCTGAAAATGTCAAGGATCGTTATTCTGGATGTGAAGTGATTCGTGGCAATGTTCTAGTTACAGAGCAGAGCGGTAACCTATATCCTAATTGTAAGCCTAAAGAAAACAACTTCAGGGAACGTCTCCGAACGTGTTCGTGATTTGTCGTATGCCCACGTAATCAACGGATCACTTCATCTTATCAACAACACTTCACTTAAAAAATTGACCCTTCCATTTCTTAAAGAAATTTATTCAACACAATGTAGGACTATAACATGTACATATAACTGACAAATGTATAAATTCAGGTCCAGCTCTGGTAATTCAGAACATGTCAAACTTGACTGACATCATTTTCCATTCTCATATCGAATTTAATTGTAATTCAACTGGGCCCAAAGTTTTGATTAGAAATAGCCCAAAGCTCTACTTATATCATCAAACTCTGGAACAAATGAGAAAAGCTGGAGCAATATTGGATGACTTCAATTCTGAAACGGATACATATTCGGAAAATTGTGAGATTTTTTAAAAAATCGGAAATTTTCGGTATTTTGTTCATTTTCAGCAACTTTCTACCTGGTTGGCTTATGCGTTCTTATTGTGATTTTTGTGGAAATAGCATGGGCACTTCGAAAAAATCTTCTGTTTCCAAATTGGATTTATCGGATTTTCCCAATGAGTATCAAGAGGAAATTGAAACAAAAGCAGCCGAGAAAAAAGAAAGAAGAATAAGATTACTGTTTTTTTTTGAATTCTGTTGATTCACGAATAAATTCAAGAAGCACCTGATTCACACTATAAACTTTATTTCAAGAATCAGAAAAAGAAGATTGAAGCATGAATGACGATCACACTTCGTTTGATAACTTTTTGAGTGTGACCACATGTGAGAAACGAAAAAAGTACCTTTCGATATGGTTGATATGTCAAAATAGTGCACAAAGATGTCAGAGTTCCATGAGAGCTGAAGACTAGAACCAATATGTTATTGGTGGTCTGATCATAATATGAAAAGGGGATTGAGAAACATATATAAATGGCAGGAATAAAAAGGGAAACAGTTGGAATCACAACTTGAACACATAAAGAACGAAATAGTCGTTTCTGTAGTTTCAGGGTCCTTATTGATAGCTTGAGGTTGATTTTGAAATGATTCCGATGAATGGTGTTGCAAACAAAAAACAAAATTTGAGTGATTATAATGAAAGAGAACGCAGAACAACAATAAAAAGCTATCCATGTGTGATCTGGCGGAAATCCAACGACCACTTGATCTTCGAAAAACACCGGAGAAGGACAAGGAATTACTTTCAGCACATTTAATTTCTCCTCTATCTGCCTGTCATCTGGAGTCCAATAGTAAAATGCTGGGATGAGAAATGTAGCTGTATAAATGTAGTTTGTAGCCAAAAACAGTTTCTTCGAAATGGGAAATCTATTAAAAATGTTGTTTGGAGATACTGCTGTGTAGCGAGTTTCAAAAAGTATAACGAGAGATGTCCCCACTCCGGAAACCCCAATTTGTCCTAAATATCCGATTATCACTACAGGAACACCGTAATGTGTCAGGGCGCCGAGTGGAACTCCACAAAACACTGGAGCAAAAATGTATCCAATTAGTAGAACATTTAGAGCATTGTCACAGTAAAACGTCCTGAAATAAATATTTTTCTAACAACGGATCAAATATAATTACCAGCAATGCAAAACGATTAGGTCTTTCTTGATACCGTCCATTGTTTTAGGTGTTTTGAATAAAATACAATAAAACGCAAGGATATGTATTGGAAATACTGCAGTGGCAATAGCTGATGTGATAGCTGCATAATTATATGGATCCTCAAAGAAAGAAGTTTCATTTCTACAGTTTTTCAAGTAGAAATTTTGGTAATAGTCTTCGAATGTGGGGTTTCGTCCTTTCCAAACAATGGGATCAAGAAAAAGCATTCACAGAAATATAAATGTTTTATAAAGGAGTCCTACAAACCGTTGTTTTTCACCTGATATTGTAGAACACCTGTCTCTAAACTCATAAATTTTCGAAGGCTCAAAAAGCAAGTAAATGTGATTTGTCTACCTGGAATTATATATTTAATTAGGTTCAGTGGTATCAACTTTCTTGTGGACTTGTCATCACAATGATCGACACAGCTATGAACCAGACAATGATTCAATTTCGATTTTCACCTATTATTTTTTTAAAGAGGGGCCTCTATTTCAACATTTAATGAGAGAATGGTTTCTTTTTTAGAAGTAACAAAACTTCTGAATCTCTGTAGAATTGAGCTTTCCGATATCTTTACTATTACCATGAAACCTGTAGAAAATTTCTATTCTTCGATGATTCTCTAGCGGGGAGGGGCACTTCAATTAGAGGTTCCCTTCTAATACAGGTTTTACGGTAGTTTAAATTTTAAACCGTTTTCAACGCAAACATTTTCATAAAGTTGCAAAAATCAAAAGTTCCTGAATGATCGTTCTCGATCACTGTAGCAGATGGCTTTTAGGCGCAATAGACGGTGCACATTGAATCAATAAAGCAACAAAGCATTTGCTTTTTGCATGCTGTTCTAATAAAAATGTGACCAATAGGGATTTTCGTGCTCAAGCAAATATCCTCTGTGTCAAGCCATCATCGCTATTTTTCAATAAGTACTAACAATAATGAATTCTAATAATGAACCCAATTCAAACCACACATTCTTCTCCTTTCAATTGTTGTCATTTTGTCGATTCTTTATTCCACCCAATTTTTCAAATATGATTTCGATTCCACTATATCGGGTATTTCTTCGATATACCTAGAGAATGTCAGGAAGTACAAAGAATCGTACCCGCCAATGCTCATTGGGACCTATAAATTTGACAACCGGATTCCAGTTTCAGTCGCTGCTCTCAAACCAATTGGGTATTTTATAAATCAATTTTCAAAATCGTCAAGATTTCTCAGGTACACTGTATATTGCCGGTATTTCAATCGGAATGGGACAGAACACGAGAAGCCAATGAAAAGTTTCATTTATCCACTTTTCGTCGTCATGTGTGATCAGAAGTCTTCAGAAACAGCGTATTGAAATCACAGATTCTCCAAGTGGAAATGTTTTGGAGCAATTTCAAATTAATATCACTCGATGGAATGGTTTGGTTTCATTCTGAAATTGAAGAAAAATTTTGGATGAATATTTAGAGAACTACAAAAGATTTCTGACTCATTGCTCGGCTCCAATGTTTGGAAAAGAGCCAAAATGGTTACACCTCGTTGAAATGATCGAACACTATAAGCTACAGGTTGGCTAGCAATGTCTTTCAGGAATTTCTTTGTTTTCAAAAGATCTATTCAGGGCGTCTCGAAATTCTATTTCTATGATCGAGAAATTGGTTTGTATGATACATTCCTGTTGAAATATTATGCTGACAAAAAAGAAGAAGTTGAACTTATCGAAATTCCTCCCATATACTTTGATGCTGTATCACAACAATTATTAGCAATAGCTGTGAGTTAGTTTAAAAGTATTATGGTGTAAATTTAATTTTTATTTACAGGATTGTCATCTCAGAAACCGGCTATTCTCCAACTGGACAAATTTTTCGGATATCGATGAAAGAATGATGATGACGGAAGAGAAGGAAACTCTCCGAGAATTTCTTCAAGATTCTATAAGCGATAAAAATGGAGCAGTCATGTTTGCTCAGCGATGGATTTTCAAATATGAAAAGTTGCCCCAGAAATTTGAAAATTACCAACAGGTAAGGCTCATTTAAAAAAAATCTCTGAAATGTCAAAGTAAGATAATGGAGCAACTCCCGACCAGAAGATGGCAACTGACAACTCAACCAGGGATAAACTGCACCGATGGAAAACATTGCTGGGGGAAACTGATTAAAAATAATCAGAAAGTTTTGCAAATGTTAGTACATGATGTTGGAGAGTATGAGGACGGATATATATTCCGTTGATTCTCCCACCAGATGTTGGATACATAAGGTAAATTTTCTAGAGTCTGGTAGCAGACTGATATTTTTGATTCCAGGCACTACCGTGATGTAAATATGGACAATTGGTGGGATAGGAATAAAGGAGCACTTTTGAAGTTCCAGCCATTCACAAACACAACTTAGAGTCCACATTTGAGTTCTCAGCTGCTCTGAAATGTTCTGCAAGTTCTTCATGAAGTCTATAAAAGCCAGTCAATTCTTTGATCTTGATCTCATAGTTTTTTAATTTTAAGTTCCTGAAAATGTGTCATTATCATAAAATTTTACCAGACCCATATTTGGTTACGGAACTTACGACTGCTTCAGAATCACATCACATGTTCGTGATGTCTCCATCAAAAATGTGTGCAACATGCTTATTCTCCGTAAATTCCGGGAGATAAGAAAAAGGAAATTCGATATGTGATTCTCGTCTCTTCACATAGAATTTTCTTATCAGCATAAGTACAAAAGCTCTTCCGATTCCTTTGACATTGTCAGTTTGTCCTCGTCATTCTCTCCAAAAAATGCTGAAACTCTTAACGCTCTTCTGCGTGATCTATGCAGCTCATGGGCTCGTTCTTCCTGCTTCCAGTAAGTTGTGAGACCCCATCCCTTTCGAAACAATAACATTTTAGTTCTTGCCACCTACTCTGATGCCTTCGCCAGAACTCAGATGCTCGCTCTCGCTTCAGCAGCCTACTCCTCTAATCCACAACACTGTCTTGATTCCAAATTCACAAATGCCCAACTCAAACGACAAATCTATGTAAAAAATTGTGCACTTGTGAACAACGATGTTTGCTCTGGATATACAGCTGTACTCCATAATGATAAAGCTATCGTTATCAGTTTCCGTGGAACTCAAGGATTCTTCCAATTGATTTCTGAAGCTAACAAGAGTATTTTCGAGTCACAAATGTCTTGGATCGCAGGAGGAAAAGTTTCGAAATACTTTGGAGATGCATTCTCCAAGGTTTGGGCAGCTGGCATGAAGGATGACTTCGCTGCTCTTCTCACTCAAAATCCAGGATACGAAGTTTGGGTTAGTATATTTTTAGTATATTTTTATACAATTTTTTTGATAAGTCTGTTTGCTCTTTTCTATTGCGTCAGAAATCATGACTTTTGAACTTTTAAACTGCAATCAAAAAGTTTTAGATATTAACTCCATTTTATAGGTTTCTGGACACTCCCTCGGAGGATCTCTTGCCTCTCTTGCCGCCTCTTACGTCATCGGAACAAAATTGGTCGATGGGTCTCGTGTGAAACTTGTCACCTACGGAGAGCCACGTACCGGAAACAAGGATTACGCCCATGCTCATGATGCTCAACTCGCTTATTCTTACCGTGTCACTCATAACCGTGATGTCGTTCCACATGTACCAAATGAGGACTTCGAGGGATATTATCACAACAAATTCGAGGTTTACTACCGTGAGAACATGAAGAGTGGAGCCAAATACACAATTTGCAATGGAGACGAGGACAACGGATGCTCGGATGGTCTCTGGATTACCACTTCAATTGATGATCATCTTCATTACTTTGAGAAAGATATCAGTGCTTGGGGAGATAAGGGATGCAACTAGATTCCTTTGTTTAATAATTAACTATGCCATAATGAATATGAAATGATGCTAGTTTATTTTCAATGGGAGTGTAAATCAAACCGGTTAAATTATGGCAAACATTTTAAAAAATAGATCCTGGGTTCACCAAAAGTTCCTTTTTTGAAGTCTTGGTTCTGCTTCGTGAAATCAAAGCTACAAGCCTTATGTACTTTAAGTAGTTTTGATATACACCCTGTAATAGAAGACAACTAATGTAAAACTTTGATCCAATTTATCGTGGCTCCTGACAAAGGTATAGGAAAGTTGTCAACTGACAAATTGTTTATCATAATATCGCAAACATTTTATTGTTTTACACATTTTTGATATCTTTCATAAGAGAAAAATATGCTCAAACTTTGAAACTTGATAGTGCGGTGACCATTCTATTACAGGTTCTAAGGTACGCTTGCCGTTGTTTTCTAAATTAGCAAGGAAAAACGTTTTATTCAATTATCGAGTAAAATCATGAAAATACAATAAATCATTTGAAAATAGCTTCAACCATTCTGGCTCCATGGGCATGAGCTCCAAGGATCAGTGAAGTTCCTCCATCGGCAACAATAGTTTGTCCGATAATGTAGTTCGATGCGTTACGATCAGCGAGGAATGCAATCACCTTAGCAATATCCTCTGGTCCAGCACAGAATCCACGTGGAATGCATTCTTTTTGAGATCCCAAATATTCATACATCTGAAATAAACCTATGAACAGCTTGAAGGTTCGGCTACAATTTTTTACCGCTTTTGATTTTTGTTCATTAAGTCCTCTAGAAACAGTTGAGAACCCAGTGGCAACTGCTCCAGGGCTCACAGAATTTACTCGAATATTTTCAGGAGCAAGATCAATGGCAGCAGTTCTGGTGTATTGATCCAAAGCAGCCTTCGCTATCGAATAATATGGATTGGCAACTTGCTAAAAACAATGATAAAATAAGAATTTTGAGAAAGAGTAAACTTACAGCAGCTGGACCAGCTCCAATGCTTGAGATGTTTACAATCTCTCCTTGTGACTTTGCCAAATGTGGTCTAGCTTTTTGAGTCATCTCAAGAACACTTTGAACATTCAACTCAAAAGTTTTGTGATAGGTGGACATCGACTGATTGACACCAGTCTTTCCTTGAGGATCTGGAATTCCAGCTCCAGCATTGTTCACGAGGATGTCGATTTTTCCAAACTTCTCGAGAGTGGTCTTGATAAGAGCTTCTTGGACACTTTCTTGAGTGATATCTCCAACAACGACATTGATATGATTATCTGGAATGTGAGCATCCAGAAGAAGTTTCTTCGTCACCTCGAGTCTTTCAGCATTTCTTCCGGTTATGGTAACCTTAGCTCCTTCAGAAGCGAAGAGAACAGCAGTTGCTTGACCGATTCCGTTGGAAGAGCCTAAAAAAAAATAATTACATTGTCTCAAAACTCTTTAAAACTAACCAGTAATAATAGCAACTTTATCGGTGAACCGAGCCATCTCAATGGGTGCAAATAGTTGATGAGTGAAGGTTTTCGGTTCTTCTCACAACTTTATATTTATATGGTTTTCTATAGACGCAGGCAAGGATCAAAAAGTATTATAAACAAAGGTAAACATTGCGAGACGTTGTGTCAGTTCTACGTTTTGTGACTATGTGTCCTCAAGGAGTTTTTTAAGGCGGGAGACCACAACATTTTGGCTCCCTTAAACTAGAGAATAGGATGATTCAAGGATCTTTGAGATGTAGCAGAAGGTCAAACGTGTTTTGTGCCGGTATTAAAAAATCAGAGATGTGGCAAAGAAAGCGTGCTGACATGTTGTTGTTTCCACAGGTGATTCGCCAACAATCCGTTACGCGCAGAAAAAAGGAAAAGAACGAATGAAGATGGTTGGAAATATTCAGATTCCGAAAGAGGCATTCCTAAATGTTTTGAAAAACTAGCATATTTCTGGCAGTTTTAGATTAGTTCAATTGTTTTTGTTTTTTGTTTTAATAAATTGTTTAATTTTTACTATAACGAACTAAATAAAGGTATAACAAAGAGAACAAAACGCATCAAACAATGAAGTTCTAGTCCCATCTTTTTCTCTCTGCCAATGCTGCTAGTGAGTCTTCAACTGTCGTGTGTCTATGTAGAAGATTTCCAACGTTAGCTCTCTTTCTAATTGTTGCTTTTGATCCTTCCGTATTCTTTG